AACTCCGGTCATATCAGATGGTGACCATGCAAAGATATCTCGGAATTCGTGTAGCAAGGTGATTACCTCGGCTCGCAACATTCCGTCTATTGATATTCCGAGTTGTATTGTCTTTTCGGGCTCTTTCTCATCTAAAATTAGCTCCTCCGACTTACTACTAAGTGGCAGCTGAGAAGGATATTCAAGATCCATATCTTGTTTGGCTTCTTTGGATTCGTCTGATGATATTCCTTGTTGAACCAAGTAGCATCCTGATGTGGTGACAACTAGTTCCGGCTTTACTGTCTTCTTCCCCACTTTCACTGCTGTAAGTAGACACTCTCGAGAACTGCGTTGGCTCCCTTGCACTATGCCTATCCTGTACTCTGTTGGGAATTTCATGACCAAGTGGTAGGGTGACCAAACAGCACGGGCTTGACACATCCACGGCCATCCTAAAATCACGTTAAACGGCGAGGGAGTATCAATTATGGCGAAATCCATTGTTAGATTTACCCTTCGAGGATATGTCCCTACCATGATAGGAAACCTAACAATCCCGCTTGGGATTATTGTGTGACTTGAAAAGCCCATTAGAAGTAATGTAGCAGGACGCCAATATGGGTTTCTTATGTTCATTCTCTTGAAACAATCACTGTAAATGATGTCGACTGCACTTCCATTGTCGACATACACACGGCTTACCCCCACATTGCCTATTATTGCTTCAATGACCATAGCGTCGCTATGGGGCAAACTCCAGGAACAACATCGCCATCGGTGAAAACTATTGCCTCCGTCCCTTTAAACCGTTTGTGACTCGGTTCTTGTGATGGGGTTTTAGTTACTTCTCGAACTGAAGCTTTCATTTCTATGGTGGACATGACTTCAAGGGGTGCACCGTAAATTGCCCCTACATTGTGAGTGATTTGCTTAGCTGGATCTGGAGGAGGTACTTGCTGGATTGGCTGTGGTCCTCCATCTAGAGAATGTTCGACAGGTTGTTGTGAGTTACTCCTCGGTTGCCGGTTACTTCCTCGATTATCTCCTCGAGGACCATGAAAGTTGTTCCATTTGGGAAAATTACGGGGTACCGCAAACTTTCCTCCTTTCCCTCGAGGGATATTTTGTGTAGCTTGTACATACTGCTGAAATTTTCAAGATTTTACCCCCGCTTCACTTTCTTTCTTAAGTTCTCTACAGTCCTCAGTGTTGTGTCCTTGGACCTTGTGGTACTCACAATACTGATCTATGGATTTGTTAGGATTGTGGGCCAACGGCTTTGGGACGGAAAACTCATCCTTGTGTATTTGGAGTATTTCTCGTCGGGGTTCAACAACAGAGTTAACTGTCTGTCGAGCTTAGGCAAGGGTGGTTTACCTACAAGCGAGAAGTATTCCTGTGATTGCTTGAGTGTCTGCTCCCGCTGGATGTAACTTTCCACTGTGGCCCACATCTCTTGTGTGCTTCAGGGAGGTTTGGTTGTTAACTTTACCCGCAGGTAGGCGGACTTCTCCCATGGGTTGAGACCTTGGATGAATCCGTTCTGGACATCTCTATCATCAAGATAATCCATCTGAAGTGATTCTCGAGTAAAATGACGATGGAAGTCCGAAAGACTCTCGTTTTGTCCTTGCTTGATCGAGACTAAGTCAATGGACATCTTTGTAATCTGTTTGCTAGGGAAGAAGCGGGTAGCCAATTTTACCGATAAGTCCTCGAAACTGTCAATACTTTCCTCTGGTAACTGCCCAAACCAACCTTGCGCCTGTCCATCGAGGAAGGATGGTAGAGCTTTAGCTATGAAGTCGAGAGACGCATTCCGAATTCTCATGACTTGTACATACTTATGTAGAAATCATTGCGGATCGGTGTCTCCTGTGTAGTTGACAAAGTCTGTGGGGAAGTCGAAGTCCTGAGGTTTTGGGCAGTCTCAAATCCTTGGAATAAAAGGGCTTTTATCCACGATCATCCCTATCATTCTTCGCATGGAGTCTCGAATGGAAGAATCCTGATTGCCTCGATTTTCTTGACGTCAAGGAGGGGGGTTTTCTCTTTGCCAGAGATCCTCGTTCCCGCGAAGATTATGTTGCGGATATTGAGTGTCATAGTAAGCATCACGATAATCACGACGGGATTTTTCCGGTGAAGCTCTGGGTCCAAGTCAAGAGTGGACGTTGCCTCTTGGACATTCCCAATCCCTTTTAGATAGCTCCTCGACACTGGGTGAACTTTGTCGATCCTGCATGCGAGACTGCTTCTTTTGTTGGTGCTCTTGCGCGAATTGCTGGATTGCTGCGTACACCACCGGATTTTTTCTTTTGAGCGCCTCCCAGAAAGTATCACCAGGGGTGTGGGAGAGTTCATCACGAGAAGCTTCGCGATAAGGGATTTCTCTGCGAGCTCTCTCTTCCCCTTCATCTGGGATTGGGCGCTTGCCTCTTCTTATTTCGAGAAGATCCAATTTCCGTCTTGTCTCCTTCTCCACGACCAAATCATCCAGCTCTTGATTTGTAGAATCAGGCAGGCCTAACAGACAGCGGCACTTGTATTTCTCGAGGATATACCTCTTTTTTCTTTGGTTGAAAGAATTGTTGTCCTTCAACCTTTTTAGTTCTATTTCAATCTCGGCAAGTCGCTGCTTTTGGTATGAGTCGGGAGCCTTGTGATGATCGCTCGGGTCTTTCTCCCTATCTCCCCCCTAATCAGTTGGCTTCATGGGGGTTTTCTCCTTTCTCGACTGCCGGTTATCTTTCTTCTATTTCTGTCTCTCCTGGAATCTTGCAAGGGTTTTATCATCTTCGGGGCTTGTTCTCTTTCCGGTTGATGCAGCACTAGATTGAGGACTGTCGACTACCACCATCTCGCCGCTAGAAAAAATCCTAGTTTGAGAGTGATAGAAATAGATTGAAAGGCTTTGAAAATCTTGAGTAAGCTTTGCGACACAAACCCTAGTTCTCGTGTCCCACTGGGCATGCCACTTGACGAAGCCTGAATTTGTATCTCTGGTTCGGCGGTGAAACTCCAATTAGGGTTACCTGTTTATCTCTGGTTCGGCGGTGAAACTCCAATTAGGGTTACCTGTAAAACAGAGCCTCGGGGGTCTCCCGAGGGTAGACACTCCGATATTTAAGTTAGAAAATAGGGTTGTGAAGTCACGTATATATAATAATTGGTGCTAGAGATAGTGTACCTCAATCGTGGTGTGAACAACCCTATTTATAGGCTGGGGATTACCTTGAGGGAGACGGAATCCTACTAGGATTCATCTTATTCCGCCGCCTAACAAGAGTCGGTTGGACTCTTAGGTTTAAGTAATGGGCGGGTCCCATAGTGGTGATGGATATGGACTCGTCATCTGATTCTTTTTTTTTTTTAAAGGATCAATAGTGGTTCCTCACTTACTCCCTGCATGATCATCTGATCTAGTTGTTGATGATCAAGAAGTGACTAGAACTTACCACGAGTAGTCAACTTTGTCTCACCCACCCAAGTTGTATAACTCTTCTCATGTGCGGTGTTTTCTTTTCGATATGTTTTAAATAAGTTGAGAAATTTTTTATGCACAAACATCAGAGATTGTGTATGGCATTAAAAAAAAAGAAAAAAACTTAAAGTGTGCTACTTGGTACCAGTTACATATGGTGATTAAAACCGATGCCAAAACCTCTTTAAAATCCCAATGGATCGAAGATGAAACTAATATACATGCATTGGCTTTGAAGTGTCAATACGATGGGCAATAAACAGTCCACAAACTAGCTAGCTAATTAAGTGGTTGGGATTGAAAATATATATATATGTGGGATGGCATGCAACATCGGAGTAGAATAACGGTGTACTGGAGATCACACAGTAACGGTTACGTTAGATAAAACATAGTTTGATGCGAAAACTGCCTGCACTAAATATGTCATGTATGGATTGGACAGAATCAAAATGAATTTTGAAGATAAGGAAAATCCGGTTGTGAAAGAGATTGGAGACCGCGGCTCAATGTTTTGAGGGGTATAAAACAATTTTTTTAGTTGGGCCTTTTAAAAATAATGAACCTACAAAAATATCGCTCTTCGTTTATATACGTTTGAGAGACGGTTGCTATAAAGCAAGGAACTAGAATAAGGAGATATTTTTTTTTTTAAAAAAAAAAGATCAATTTTTTTTTCTCCAAATTTTTTAGACTGAGTTGTAGTTTTTTTTCACTTGTTTTGACAAATTCTTTGACGAAACTTTCATAATCTAATTCTGTACTAAGTCTTTTTAATTGATAACTTTTATACTTTCACGCTTTCTGTTTATACATGTAAATAAATAAATAAATTGTTTGTTGAAGGGTATATATAATATTATACACTATTACTAAATATTTGAGGGCTTTCCAATTCGCAGGCCTAAATCAATTGTCTCACTTGTTTTACGAAAGAGCCACTCCTGTGGAGAGTTCATCCTCATGTATAAAATGTTGCGAAGATTTTAAATAAAAATAACAGGATATCCGCGGAAGTTAGAACCATGTAGTCCTAAACGGACACATGCAACACTTATACTCCCGTTCCACTCAAAATGATGGCATATTATTAGGTATTACCAAATCACATATTAGCTTAAACTTTAAACTAAAACAATAACTATCCTTCAACTAGCAACAATGAATTAATGACCGTATTCCCTTGAAGAAAAGATTTGAAAAATTAACGCTGAATTGCTGGATCTCATTATCCAAGCCCTTACATTTTGTTGTTTTAAAAAACTACTTGTGCACCATCAACAATGCCGATTTCTGTAGTAATATGAGAATTTGTGGGTGGGGGGGCGGGCGGGGGATAGCCCATATGTGATTACCTTGTTACGCAAGTTAATTTGGTGACGTCTTTGATCTCTCCTATATATGTGTACCAATGTTTTTTCTTTTCACTTTTTAGTCTCCCAGAAACCCTAGCAGCGTCAAGCCCTGTCGAAATTACAACCCCCAAAAAAAAAAAAATCTGATCAGCTAGATTTTCTCCCATAGAAGGAACAAGATGCCATCATCAGCAAGTCGCGGAATTCCGGAAGTAAAGCTTGAAGAAGTTGCTGGTTATGATCTTCCAGACCACATAATATTACTGATACTCAAACAATTTCTGCCCAAATCCTTATTAAGGTCCCGATGTGTATCAAAGTATTGGCTCTCAATGATAGACGATTCTTGTTTCATAAAAATCCGCCGAATCCAATCATATGGCCGGCCCGGTGGAGTCAAGCTTTTGGTTGGTCCACTAAGGAGTATACGCGACGGTATATTTACAGATTTCTTGTTAGTTGATGAAGAAGGAAACAAGGGTTTTGCCGTGCATCCCGCCGGAAAAGACGATGATGATTATATGCCTACTTGTTTTGATTATGAGGAAGCTGTGGAAGGTATGATATGCTATCGCGGCACCATATGGAATCCCGCCACTCGAAAAAAGTTTGATCTTCCCATTCAGTATTTGAGCATCGACACATCTTCCTGAAGAATTAGAAGACATGACCTTAGAGTTGAGTTTAAGAATTCATACTACCTAGGTTATGATTCCCTTACTAATGAATACAAGGTATTAAGTGTTTTGTGTTGTTGATTTAGTGAAATGTGGCACGAACTATAACGGAGGGGAAGTTCATCCTGGAGGGAAAATTGTAATGCAAGTTATTTCTTTAGGACCTAATGGAACTAATAAGAATTCATGGAGACACATAAGTCACCATGTTCCAGAAGAAGAAAAGACTAAAGGCATGAGAGTATTTCTTTACCCATATTATAAACTGTATGTTTACCTTAAGAAGGAGATTTACATCTTGGTCAACTATGCACATTATGCGCCGGCTATTATGGTTTTCTCGGTTGGCGAAGAAAAGTTTAGATTTATACATCTTCCTGAAGAATTAGAAGACATGAAAGTAGAAGAGTAGGTTATGATTGAGGTTAGAGAATATGTAGTTTTGATGAAAATGGAGAATAATAGAAATAGAGGCAAAGAGATTTGGAGGTTGATCGTACGTTGATCATGATCAGAGTGTAGAATGGGAAAAACATATGATTCCAGCTGCCAGAATTACTGCATCTAGATTATCTCGTTAAATATCTCGTTGGTTGTGCAGTTAATAGCAGAGAGAATCTAGTTCAATTCAGGGCCAAGAAGGAGAAGAAAACGTATTGCTCTTATTGGGTCCTCGAGCTAAGTGACGGTGCCTATGGTGACATTTACACTCAAAATATGTTGAAACTTTATCCAGTGCAATGTATCTACGGTTTTTTAATTGATTAATTATTATATATACAGTAATTATAATTGTTATTATACGGAGTTCCCTATTGCATGTAATTGTCCGAATCAAATCAATTGTACTTCCTTCAGTTTATAACAATTGGATTTTTCTGTTCGGTGGATGAGGTTTGTAAGAGGTTTACTGCTGTTGTTTAATCAGTTAGAAAACGAAACTGCACTTGATCAGCCAAATTTTCTAATTACTCTCTCCATCCCAATTACTTTTCTGTTTGTAATTAAACCATCTTAGTACAATAATTTTTTGGGACGGAAAGAATATTTAACAGGTGGAATTATTTTTTCAGCAAAGAGGTAAACAAACAGACGTTTTGTTGTGGCATAAATGGAAGCTTGAAATCCTTGGCCGTTTAAGAAAACGAATTAAAAATGAAGTTGTGCAAAGAACATTAACAAATTAAATGAATGGCTTGAATAAAGAACAGTAACATATTTGGACGTCAACCTGTGTGTTTGTAAAATGTTTTCTGTGTCAGAAAAATATCCACGTTATAATTTGTACATTATATTATTTTATGTACAGTTCACAACTTAAAATATAAACTATTTTCATGGTACATAGAGTACGTATAAGAAAAAAAAACCCTCGATTACAAAAGAAAACTACAAATTACTTGTTTGGCACCTGTTTTAGGAGTTGTGACTATAGTTGGTGGCACCTCTGTTTTTGTAAAATCTTATTTAGAGAATTTCAAGTAACTTTTATCTTAATTTGTTATGAACTTTGTCTATACTAAGACTGTATCGCATCTTATACAGGTTCGCTATGACCATCTCATCTTTCTTTTTTAAGTTTCAAGAAGCTTCATTTTTTGTTATGTCTTGATTTCTTTTAATGCAATTGTAAGTCTGTAATCAATAGTCAAATCCTCGCATTACCGACTGTTTCATCGACATTAGCTTCATGATGCAAATAATTTTTTTTTTCTCAAAGAAAAAATTGCCTTTTAAATTTGATTCTCTATGCACATCTAGGCTTTTACATATTTAGGTGGAATCCTTTGAGTGCTAATTTTATGAGAGAAAGAGAAAATATAAATGATCCGAGAAACTCGAATTTCCGCTATTGATTGGCTGTACTAAAATGTGTATACAATGACTGATGTATAGTAGATTTTTTCAGCTAAGGATTTTACAATACTTTCTAAATCACCATATATAGTTTTATCACATTTCTTAATTAAATTATTACTTTCTTTTTTTTAAAATTTTACTAACACTAAAATCCACCATTTATGTACTCGTTGGAGACGTGTCAAATTTTGGTGAGTGATGTTATGAAGTTATGTTGTAAGAAATTTTTGTCGATTTTTTTCCAAGCATACTGAACATTTTAGTATTGCATTAAACTTTTAATTGAAGCATAATAAATAATAATATCATCATTCAAATCTTTTTGTGCACCTTAAATTTTCCTTACAAATGTGACCAAAATTTTCGAATTTTACCGCCAAGTACCCCCAAGAAGACTGACCACAGCCAGCATTCAATTTACATTCCAAAGTTTTCCCCTTTTCCCGCCACAGAGAAGAAATGAAGTCGAACCAATCTTCAATTAGGCCAGTGGGCCGGCGACGCCATTCAGTCTCCGCTCAGTCAATATTTTGTAGTCCATATACAACGTCATAAATTTTTTTAATGTTATGATATTATTTGTTATTGTGTTTGCATTCAATTTAAATTACATTAATGAAATAAATACTTGTTATAAAGATGTATATATTCATACTTAAATTACATCAATAAAGACATATTACAAGAAGCGGTAAGACATATTTTGGTGTATCAATTTAGTTTAAAAGTCATGTATGTGTAAAACACAGAGATAAAGCAATCACAAATAAGTCAGTTCTACAAATTCGGATCAAGCCGGATAGAATTCTCTTCAAAGATTAACATCTTTCAACAAATATTTTAATTATTATTGCAGTTCTGTAATGATTCTCAAGTTTAGGGGCTCAATCTATTGCATTCCTATTAATGGTACTTGGTTCATTTTTTTGGACCCATATGTTCCATTCTTTGGATCAATTTTCAATCCCAAATGAATTGGTGGGTTTGGCCCAAATTAATCAACAAAATCCATATTTTTCTTTTGTAAACTTAATTATTCCCTTTTCGAATTTTTTTTTTTAGAGAAATAATTTAGTAGAACAAATTAGCAACAATAGCAAATTTGGAATAACGCACTACATCCATTACATACCAATCCATTTATGGCTTGAACCAAGCATCTCCTTACCATTCTGGGTACTTATGATTCTCTATATCCAGGCCTCATGCTATGGATGCAACATGCAATTGTAATTGCCATTTAATCAGATTAGATGAATTACCGGACATAATGCTTTATAATACTTTTCAATCTGAGTACCTAAAACGCAGCAATTAACCAAATCATTTGCTTATATGTATAGAGTAAACTTTTGTACCTAAGCTCCAAATGCCCATTTGGTATGTATAAAGATCCCACACGCCCATTTAAACTTGTTGAAAATGATCAAATACGATGAAAATCATATAGATTGTGGATGTGTAACACGTCCATGCTAGCTAAATACTTACAAGTTTCAATTCGAAGGTGTTCAAATCAAATCAATACCCTTAGTCTAATACTCTTTCTCATCGCAAAATAATGTCTCGTTTCAATTTTTCACTTTTAATACCGTTATAATAAACTAAAAATCCAAAGAAGACGATCGGCAACCCGAATTGTCCAAATTTGGGATATATACCACCATCATTGTAATAAAATCATGTCAATATCGGTATAGCTTATTTAATATAGTTTCTTGAATTTCTTTAACCGTCCATATAGTTAGTTTTTATTGTCAGGGTTATTGTTTTTTTTTTTTTTCCCAATCTTTAATTTCCGCTAAAACTAAAGTGAGCTTAACTGAATTGCTATTGCATGCCTTGAGCATTGAGCCATTAGCATTACTGTCAATAAGAAAGACTACAACCCTTCAAGAACCAAAAATAGCTGATTCTTCATCATAGTGTATATTTCGAAGCTTTTCTTCTTCTTCTTCTTCTTCTCCAATTAGGGGCGGCTCTCCTGTTAGGCAAAATAGACCAGACTAAGGCCTCAAAATTGGGAGGTCTATCTTTATATATGTGTGTATATATTACTTGTGTATATATCGTGTGTGTGTGTCTGTCTATATATGTATTTATATTTTGTATATGTATACATATATTGGAAAATTTTAGTATTAATAAACATTGACCAATTATTAAAAAAAATCGACTACTCGACATTCATATATGACTTTTTTTATTCTATAGAATAATTAAAAGGTCTCAATACTTTTTTTTTGAAAATTACAGAAAAGATGGGTTTGGAAATGCTATAACTTCAACCATGAAATTGGTGTTAACGTGGACATAAAACCTAAATTTGAAGAAAAACGTTAAATTCTTAGAAATACGCAGTTTGATGAAAATGTGGAGAATGAAACTATTAGAACCCCTCAAAATATTTTCAGAACTGATTATTTTATTTACATAGTTAATAGAGGTATCTCATCACTACAAAGTTGATTTGTTATCTCATTATTACATAGTTAAAATGAATGATTTTTTTTTCTATTTAGTTTGAAAAAATTAAAATCACTTGATGACAAAATTTTTGAAAAGAGTTGTTTTAACCTTTAAAATACCTTAAAACACAATGATAGTTTAGATATTCGTGGTTTAGATATATTTTATGATCTAAAATTTTAAAGAAAAATGTAAATGCTAAGAATTATAATCCAATTGACATATTTAATTATATTAAAAGAAATAAATCCCTTTTCAAATTCTTGTATTGCCTGTAGAATAATATTCACTATTCACGCAACAGTTGCTTCAGCAGAAAAGAATTTCTCAAAACAATTTAACAAAAAAATATTTAAGATCAACAATGTCACAAGACAAATTAAATAGATTGACTATTATATCAATATAAAAAGAGTTAATCGAAGAGACAGATCATGAACATTTTATAAAAGAATTAGCGATCAAAATAGTTAGAAAAATTAACTTAATAAAAAAATAATATTTTAAAAAAATGCTAGAAAGGTAAACTTAATATGAATCATATTTGGAAAAAAAAAAAGTTTTTTGCTCCATCTGTTATAAGCTCATGAGTTATAGTTACCGGTCTCAAACCTTAAACAATAAAGAGGGTTAGTTTTTTTTAAAATAAATTATTTATTATCAAAAATCTTCGATTTCAAAATTTGCCTTAGCCCCCAATAAGCTTTGAGCCGCTCTTGTCTCCAATTATAGTGTGTAATCTCACGAATTCCCCAGATGGCTGAAGATCGGATTAGTGATTTGCCAGACCCAATTATCAGTTACATTTTGTCATATCTCCAACAGAAAAGCCGTGAGAAGCTCATTCTTGTCAACCAGGTGGCAAGCTCTGTTTCAATCGACCCCAGATCTTGAACTTGATTTCGATATCACTTGCTCCATCATGATCCCAATGGAGAACCCTTTTGAAGGAAACCCAGCCTTCGTCAATTCTGTAACTGGGGTTTTGTCCAGGTTGCTGAAAATTAATGCCAAGATTCGTAGATTCGAGCTCAAGGTTCGGAAGAAGTACGAGAATAACGATGATGGCGATCACTGTAAAGCCTGTAATTGTAAAATCTATTCCAACAATTGGATTATCGGTTCTTGGCTCCGTCTTGCTGCAATCCTTGGTGTCCAATTCGTTCGCCTTGATGTCTCGTTTGCAGATTCTAACGAATTATTCTCCAGTCTTGAGATGTTGCTGTACCTTGGAGAAGTTGCGATTCACAGAGCGTCTTGATTTCTCTGTTTCGGGTCTCCCTCGGGTTCGGTATCCCAATCTGAAGAAGTTGTTTCTCTATCATTTCAAGTTTTTTGGTACTAATAACCAAGATGAGTTCTTTGCAGGATGCCCTGTTCTTGAACACTTGAAGTTGATTGACTGTGATTTTTACTGGGTACCCGACTTTCCAATCGTTATACCTTCGTTGAAGATACTGGAAGTGGAGCCAAAGGTGTTCCATATAGATCATGGTTACTGATAGTGTTGGCTCCATAAATGAGGCTAGTAAACAAATTGGAAAACAGTTTGCCATTGCTCTTAAGTGTACATTGGGGAGACACTGTTCATTGGATTTCCACTTGTGTGGCGGTTTTAGGCGCCGGCCTAAGGTTCACGTTAATGAGTGGATTAATGGGTCCTTGAAGAACATGTTAGTTATTTCTAGTAAAAGCATTTCATCTGCCCAACATAATCAAAGGTTTGGTTATGATCGCATCCATGTCGAGCTGTATGTATATGCCGGCATGCAGGAGCTTTTGGGAGTGATGAAATTCAATGCTTATATAAGTTGTGAGGTGAAACACTTCTGCAAGAAGGCGTAGGTGGATGATTTGCGTCGTCCTAAAAAGATGGTCTACTATCGTCGTCCTCAGGATCCTCCGGGCACTGAAGAATGAAGGTCGGAATTATTATGGTCACGATGCTTCTGGTGGTGGTGGATTTTTGCACAAAGGCTGGTGCCATTGTACCATCAAAGTACTATTGCATTATGAGGTTGGTAGAAGGCTTAAACGCCCACATGATTCGAAATCTCAGTAAACCTATGATCCCAGTTTGCACTGCCACGAAATTATATGACAAAAAGAATTGCATCAGGCAAATCTAATTTTTTTTTATATATAACTTTAACAGTTCTAGTTTCGTTTTATGGCTTTTAGTTTTTACATCATCTCCAGTTTCTGAAAGTAGTTTTCTACCCACATGACACCTAATGCAATGAGAAAACCCCTCATTTCCGACTATAAACATGACTTTTCCAGGAAACCAAAGGCAAAGACTGCTGAAGAGCATTGTAAAGATGCTGATGGAAAATACTTGGTAGCCAGAAGGAAGATCATTTTGATAACAACTACAAATGTAACATGTTTACTAGAAGACCTTAGCCTATTGCCCTTCATATAACTTCTTACATAGCAGTGCCAAAATTAACATGTTCACTACAAGAACACCATAGCATTTTCAGTTTTCACATGACTGCTTCCATAGTAGAATGAAAAACAGCATGTTTATCCAAAACAAAAGGAAACTTAGATCAGGCGCCATGATACGGGTGAAATGATCAAACGATCAGATGGGACACGTCGATAACAGGAATTGGAGCATCGCGATACCAGGTATAAGGTTCACCTGGAGAACATTGGTTCAGGATCTGTACTTGACAACCAGCTGAACCTCTACCGTAATTCATCACCTCATCTCTAATGGCGGCGAATGTTTCCGCGAATTGATTGGCCGCGACAGGACGACCGCCTGAAGAAGACCTTCCTCTTCCCCTCACATTATCAATCCCCATTGGTGGTTGGCCAAGAGGAGCCCCTTCTTCACACAATATTGTCATTTCCTCCAGAACCATTGCATTTTCCAAAATGTATTTCAACAGCTTCAGTTCTTCCACCACTTTGCTTCTGATTCGCCGAATTTCCACCACCTTTAAGGAATGAAGCAAACAATGAGGCACATTACTTTGAGGCTTCCATTCGTATACTTGATCGCTGAAACTGAACCCCCCATCATAAACGAAGCCTTTTTTGGAAGAACTAGTGATCCCCTACAGAAACAGAGAAAACATAGGAATTACAGTTTTTGGTAAGAAGAGAAAATTAGGAATCTTTACTGAACTGCCATGAACAGAAACTGTGCAAAATCTCATTTACCAGGGGCAGAATAAGAGTCTCCAGCACCGGAGTAACTCCAAGCAAACTCGGAAGCAACATTGCACCAGCCATTCCATTAAAATTCACCTCTAGGTGAACCAATTTGTGATAAATTGGTAGTCTTATATCAAGAGCATCACTAAGAGACTAGGCAAAAAAACAAAAAACAAAAAAACATGGTTGCGAAACAAATATTTGGAAGCAAGATAAAAATTTCAAAGTTCATGAAATGTAATAGTTACAAATCTAAGACTTCAATTACCTCCAATGTGAAACTTCCAATTTTCAAAGCCTTCACATCAGAGATACTGCTAAATAGTCCACACACAATCTTTCCATAATACGTATTTCTTCCATTGTCGCGAGCTCCTGAACCCTCATTTTGTTTACAGAAACAAATGACATGGTCAGATGGGGCATAGGATGAACTATGATAGAACGAGAAGTATAATCAGTAAGTCTCAGACATTCAACCATTAGTGCATCAACTACCAATTTGCACTCGATTCGTTCGTCATTGTCCCAATCGTACAAGACCATGTCCATAATTTCAAACTCCAAATCCAACCTTTTTACTAAAGGCGCATAGATTACGAAGTTCTTAACGTTGTCCCATAACTGCCTGCTTATCTTCAATTCCTCCAGAACAGGGCAATTATAGAGTAGTTTTTCGATGGCGGAATCATCTTCATAAATCACATATAGGAGATGAAGTATCTTAAGGCACGGAAAAGACAGATCAGATGGGATGTTAAGGTTGAAATCCCCAGAGAGTTTGATGGTTTTGATTGATGCAGCTGCGAAACCAATATCCCTCCAATTCAACTCCCCGAAACTGCGTATATCCAGATCAAGCTCCTCCACATTACGCAGAGAACGCATCCATTTGTAGAGCAATTCAGGCTCGAGATATTCAGACTCCAGCCTGAACTTTTGAGTCCTTGAATCGCCACGAAACCTCAGGAGCCTATCCATAAAGCCATTGAAACTCGCAGCCTCGCTCTCTGCGAACCCAAAATCGGAATCCACTGCAGTTAAATCGGCGAAATCAGCCTCTTTTAGCCCTTCAAAACAGAGCACCGGAACCGAACCCCAGACATTTCTCCATCTTTTGGATAAAACCCCTGTTGTTGCTCCCAATTTGGTTGGAAGAAATGATAGCATGTGACATAGTATTTCATCAGGTAAACTGCTGATCCTGTCCATTAACGTAACATCAAACCCTAGAGCAAAAAAATTGCAAAATCAGCTTAAAGAAATAAAAAATAGATTTAAGATTTAAGCAGTTTCAGAGAAGTCCCTGATGGGTCTATCTCATAAAGTCGCGGTCTTTGAGCATCAAAGCTAAAACGCAAGTCAAAAGGATATAGATAAACACGGTTTAATTTGCAGAGGTAAAAACGAAGCTCTATAGGCCTATTATCAACTAACTCAAAATAGTGAATTAGCAATCTGAAAGGATGTATTGATGCATTACATGATACTACATCGTATATATTTAAAGTACAACTCTAATTGATTAATTAACATGTGATATAATCTAATTACAATCAGTTACGATAAGGTACTTAGCCTGAATACCCAAGATAAACATCACTTTCTAATTCTCAAATAACTATCCTCTATTAATTCTGTAATCGAGCAAAGTCAAGCCCGAATTTACCTATGCTCGAACTCAGACTTGGAGTTAATTTTACGTGAACTCGAGCTCGATCAAGCCAGAAAAATAAAACCCGAGCTCGACTCCACCAGACATTTCAACAAACATGTACTATGCATGAGATTGTTATTTCAATACATCGAAGAACTCCTGTACCTTACAGATTTCTTTTCGTTGTGGCACTTCAACAGACCAATACTATGCATATAAAACAACATTGTTATCTCAATACATCAAACTTTTTTAAAAAAAAAAATCAAAAAAAAAAAAAAAAAACCCAGTACCTTCAGTTTATAAATTGGATGAAGAACAAGAAGAAAATACATCCCCAATCAACAAACATGAAGTTTGAAGCGGGAACGATTGTGGTTGTTGTGCCATTTTTCTTCAGTCTCTCACCGAACAAAACAAAAGGGAGAAGAACTTAAGCTATTACTGTTAAGCTATTACTGTCCCTTTCAATGGCCGAAATATTTTTTTTTTTAACAAATCTATCAAAATTAGAGAAGGATTAGTGAAACTCAGATCAATAAACGGCTTTATTTGATTGAGTTCATAAACTCAATTTAATTGTTACGTAATACCATGAATTTGAGTAGATTAGGATCGGAGTTGGGCAAGGGAGGAGAGAGAGAGAAAATTCTATCGAGAGATGAGAGTAAAAGGGAGACCCGAAACAGACAAATCAAGACGCTCTGTAAAATTTTGGACGAACTGATCTTTGAAATCCTTTCAAGACTACCCGCCAAATCATTGGGAAGATTCAAATGTGTTTCAAGATCGATGCTTTCTTTAATCTCAAGCCGTGGATTCGTGAAAGCCCATCTCGCAATATCATCAGGACAGAAAGATTTTGGCCACCACGGTATGATCTTTGAATTACATCCGCCAGATGGCCTCTCATACCTGCAACAATGTTCTCTAAGCTCTGTAGTATGTCCAGCCAATTCCCCTGCTACTACTGAGCTGTCCGACATTGATTATCGAATGAAAAATCCACGTAAGTCATTTTGGGTTTTGGGTTCTTGCAATGTATTGGTTTGCATTTCAACTGGAAAGGGAGTACAAGGGTTTTTGTGGAACCCTTGTACTAAGAGATGTAAGAAGTTGCCTAATATTGATCTGGAAAGGAAGGGCAGCAGTTCTGATGGGCTTGGGTTTGGATATGATAAATCAAAAGATGATTACAAGGTTGTCAGGATGCTTGTCGAGCGTATTCAACCTCCTGAATCAAAAGAGGGAGTAATGTAATGCCAACATTAGTAATAAGGTAAACATAGGATGAAGTCACGTTGCTTAATTATATTTTACTGTATTTTAGTGTATTGGGTAGTTTAGAGGAGTTATAACTCCTTAATCTTAGTGTTGGAGTCTCTATTTATATGTTGTAATCCTGTATTTTGAAAACAAGAAGAAATTAATGAAAAAAATGGCTTTTTAGTCAGAACTCTGCCTCCCTCTATTTTCGGGAGTTTGATCCGACTCGAAGAGGATCGTTACATTTTGTATTTCCTTTCAGAACGTTTAGTTACAAGTAGTATTGAAAAGAATGCATTACTGATATGCCCTATTTATGTTCGAATACAGTTCAAAGAACTAAAGGTTTGGTCTTACCTGTTAAGGTTGCTTAGATAACTATCAAAAGAATTTTCGGAAAAGTTCTCTTTTAGCAAATGCAAACTATGCCATAGGCAATATTTTAGTGTATAGTCTAAAGAGTAATTCTTGGTACAAGATTGAAGAATTTATAGATTGGGTTTCGTAGTTTGTCTCTACTGCTCTCAAGTATTTAAGTGGAAGGCTCCATTGGTTCGTTCTTTATAACATGGCTACTTGGACAATTGCTAGCTTTGATTTGGCCGGATGACATATGTAGAAATGGACGTCCCGTATAACCCGTGTAACGATGATGATATGTGTGATGGTATTAAACTTGGAGAATTAGGTGGTTGCATTTCTGTGTTTTATGATTATTTCAGAACTCGTCATGTAACCTCATGGATTATGAAGGACTATGGAGTTACTGAATCTTGGACTAAAGTAGTCTCCATTCATTATGTTGATCCAGACTTTTAATTTCATTGTATCTCAATCTGTTTGCAATTTCAGCAATGGTGAAATACTGTTTATCTTACCTCATAGATGGTACTTCACAATCCAAAGCCGAATACACCTAGGACATATCCACAAATAAGTTGTCTTCATAACACGATTATGTGTGTCGAGAGCTTAGTATCTTCGCATGTCCATAACATAGGATGAGCTGCAACTGCACTGAGATGGTGGATAAAAGAAAAATGATGAAGCAAAGATAGTTGGTTATACTATAATCTTGTCTTTTGGTTTCCCTTTTGAGAAACCTGGATTGTTAGTTTTGTGTAGATAAAAAGAGGAGAAGAGCAGCTCTGTAGGTGTAGTCTGTGTTTCAATGATTTTCTTGGCTTTTTGCGTTGCCTTTAACACTTTAACATTTCTCTTTCAGGTACTGCTCATGATTTTATATTTATAAGGCAAATTTCATTATGTATCTGATTATTGTTCATTTAGTGAATGAAGTGTATTACTGAAATTCTCATCCCTTTTTGAATGGCACTGGTTCTGATAGCTAAATGGTGGGTGTCTCTCAGCAGCAATCATGTGGTTTCTCATTGTTTCCTCAGTTTATATTATAATTCAAGATGTTTTATTTATATTCAGTAAAAGGAGGCATTGATAAAGAGATGATTGGAAGCACATACTCTGATTTTTATTCATATTCACCAGGTTTAAGTAAAGCACAAATAACTTTGATGGAAGCAATGCTTACTCATTTCAGTCACTTAAATGACTGTCGAAAATAAAATAAAATGCACAGTTGGGTGTCAGTAAATAGAAGTTTCTAGCTATGCAGTATTTCTTCCAACCTGCCCGTTTGTATCACTATGGTGATGTATCATCTGCCGGTTTTTTTTTCTTTATTAATCCAAAGCTCTGAATGATGGGGTTTTTGTAGGTAAAATTTTCTGCAGTGTTTGCTGCTTGGCAATTTGTTTTCTGGAAATCCACATTGTGATTAACTTTCTGAATATATCATCTTTTCGGTTGCATTTGTTTCTTTACTCCTGGAGTTATGCATACATTCTTCCTTTTTTCAATACTGGATCATGAATGGATCACTTGCTGTTAATGCACAAAAATTTTGTCAAAAGCACCAAGTTTGAGAACCCTTTCAGCTTCCAAAGTTGTATTTCAGTTGAAATCTCCATCTGTGAGTAAGTTGTGTCTTTATGTTTGTGGACTCTGCCACTCTGGTTGTAGCATTCGACTGCTGAACATAACTGATGAATTTTATCTGTACCTCAGCTGCATATTTCTGCTCCTGTTGTATCCACTCTTCGTTTCTTTTGTTCCCCCTTTCTCTTCCCTTTTCCACTTGTTTCATTTTCATTGATTTTTATTTTTTATTTTTTTGGTAGACAGAGGAGATCAGTAGGCAATACCTACGTTACAAAGGCAATAGCACCTGCCTCTTGTTGAACAGGAATCTCTATACAACTAGGGGTTCTTTCACAAAACAAGATTCCTAAATCTACATGTAGACCCAGAGCCGATTTAGCAAGCACATGGGCACAAAAGTTGTTCTCCCGAAAGGTGTGTTCGACCTTGAACTCCTTTTCCGAGATCAAGAATCCATGGATCTCATTAAGTTCCAAGTCCATTTGAGCTTCTGAAACGAAACTCTGGATTCTTTCTACGGCTCCAATTGAGTCAGACTCGAAAATTACCTTCGAGTGACCGAGCCGTTTAGCAATCCTGATGCAATTCAAGATTGCTTTTGTTTCCGCCTTTCTCTACTGAGGACCTGCCTATTCTTTTTTGGAAGGCGAGCAAAAATCTGGGTGCTTGACTTTAGGGTGAGTCAAACCCAAATTTGTGGACCAAAAAATGTGTAGGGTTTAAAAAGTGGACAAATATAATGTTCTTGCGCTTTCAAAACGCGAAACAAGAAAATTAAATTAAAAATTGCGTTTGCGAAACGCGAATCCTTTTAATTATTTTTTCCCCAAATTCAACCGGGACGAAAGAAAAAAAAATTGAATTAAAAAAGGAAAACCAAAAATAGCGTTTTGGAAACGCGAAAAATCTAATTTGCATTTCAGAAACGCGAAAATTTTTTTCGAGTTTTAAAAATGCAAAAAGCTATAAATTTTAAATTTTAAATAAATTGCGGGTTGAAAATAACAATTTAGCGTTTTGAAAACGCAAAAAAAAAAATTTAGCGTTTTGAAAGAGCGAAAAATGATTTTAGCATTTTAAAAAAGCGAAAATATTCAGAAAATCTCCTCAACCACTCATTCGGCTCCACGTGTATTTTGATAATAAGTCTTGAATGTATTCGCTTTTTGTAAACGCAAAATTTAAGATTCACATACCAAACCAAGCAAAATAACAGCATTTCTTTCCAAACTTTTTTCATTCTGTTGAGCTCCGATTTTTCTTCCCAAACTTCTTTCATTCTGTTGAGCTCCGATTTTAAGTTTCACTCCGGAGGACTTGCTGAATCCATGAAAGCTCTCATTTCCTTCAAATTGAGAAATAGCTCCAAAGTTACAGAAGATTGATTTGAGTCCTGAAACCTATTTAAAACCCTAAGTTTCAACATTCAGGTAAGTTTATTTCGTTATAGAAAACATGTACTTTTTTATGCCTTATTGTGAGCATAGGATGATTTACGCATTATTATTAATTAATAAATAATTGTGATTTATCAATTAACGGTGATTTTTTAATTAGGCTGATAAAGTGAATTGAAAGAAATATTAGTTAATATAATGTTAAATTAGATGAGCTTTGTAAATTATTGTATATCGATTTCTGTAAAATAAAATAAAATTATAATAATGATATTGAATTTTTGAATATTTTTAGCATAAGAATAAATTATGTAATTCGGGCATAAGGTTTAGATTTAATATTAATTTTTAGCATAGAAATGAATTTGTAAATTCAGGCGTATAGTTGTTCTTTTGAAATTATTAAATCTGTAAACGGGGTAAATACTGTTTTCGCAAAACTAAAATTCAAAATGTATTCTAGTGTTCTGATTTCGTAGGAATTGATTTTGCAGGCCGTAAATGTCTTTCACGGAGACAGTTCGTCTGAAAGTATACTGGAATACTACTTATACAACTGAACCTGATGGGACTATCACGGTACATCGGGATGCGCCGGACGGTTATCTTATCATTGATCGTATGTTCGATTTCTCAGAACTTGTTGATAAGGTATGTGGTGTGATGGAAGTTGATAGAGACGGGTTGTATATTGATTTTTCTTTGGTATGGACGGAGAGGTCAGGAAAAAAGTCTCGTGTGCACATTAATGATGATAATACTGTTCGGTTCATTTATCTTTGTGCTGATAAATGGCCAGAATTGTACCCTGAAAATGTTAAGAGAATAGGCCATGTTTATACAAGTACATCTGGCCAGGATACTGTGCCAGCACTAGTGGTGGTAGAACAGTTGAAGACAATGAAGATGAAGATGGAGATGAAGATGAAGATGAAGATGGCGGGGTGTCAAAAGCAGTGATGATGAGTACGTCCCATCGGATGAGGACTCAGATGACGACACTAATTTTGAGTCATCTTCTTCAGTCCCATATGTTTTCGACGACATCAGTGAATGGGACAAGACTTTAGAGGAAGTAGATTGTGATGGGATTAAAATGTGGGACGGCAATCCATTGACGCTAGGCCTTGATGTACATTTCATCAACAAGCCTGAGGCACAGGCAGCAGTGGGAGAATGGAACTTGGTACATGGTCGGACTTTCCGGGTGAAAACGAGCTCTAAACGAACATGGTATGTCGAATGCGAGACCTGTGGACCCAAATATCCGAAAGAGCGTCTTCACAGCTATGATTGCCTGTGGAAAGCGCGAGTTTCGCTACAAAAGGCCACCGGTACTTGGAAAATGGTGGTATGGTCCGATTTCCACAACTGTCCAGGGGCAAACAAGAGAAACGAGTCCCGAAACGTCACGTCTTCTATGATTGCTAGACTGGTTGCCCAAAATGTGCGAAAACATCCAGATTTTGCAGTTGCCCAAATTCAAATAGAAGTTTGAAGAGGTACCAAGTCAAATGTAGCTACAAGAAGGCATGGCATGGTAGAAGAAAAGCACTTGAGGCTCTGTATGGTACATGGAAAAGTAATTTTCAACAACTGCCCAGTTTCCTTGATGCATTGTTCATGTCAAACCCGGACACCTGTGTGCAATTCAAGTTTAAGAAAAATTCAGGAAGCTCGCAAAGGTTTGTATGTAGGTATGTTTTCTGGGCATTTGGGCCATCTATACAGTTATTTCATGCTTGCTGGCCAGTAATAACCATCGATGCCACTCACCTGCGAGGATCCTATAAAGGAAAACTAATTGTGGCATGCGTGAAGTGCGCAAATGGCACAATTGTTCCCATCACATTTGCTCTTATGGACGAAGAGACCATACACAACTGGAAATGGTTTTTGAAGTATTTGAAAAAATTTGTTCTACAGGATAGGAAGACCTGTATTATTTCTGATCGAAATCAGGGTATCCTTACTGCCATGGACATCATGTTGCAAAAATTTCCAGAGATGGGAGTCCACCGGTATTGTCTAGAGCATGTTAAAGCAAACTTGGTTGGGCATTTTCGAAAGGAGAAACTATGAGGCAACTGTCAAATGATTGGTTTAGCGACGTAAAAGACAAGGTATTTGGCAGAGTGGCAAAAATTAGAAGAAAAAATAACAAGGCAGCTCGTTGGCTTCAGAAGCTAGGTGTTGAGAAATGGACATGTTTACACGATGGAGGGCATCGTTGGGGAGAAATGACCACTAACATTTCAGAGAGTTTCAATAATGTGCTGAAAGGTGCTAGATTCTTCCTGATCACAGCTTTGATCCTAGCATCCTTTCAGAAAAGTAACAATCTGTTTCTGGCAAACATTGATATGATCCAGAAATGTCAGAATGTTCTACCTCCTAAGCCCATGAAACTGTATGAAGAGGACGTTCGTAGTCTGAGTATTAAAGGCCATCGTACTTTCGACGCGGACTCCTTTGGTTATGATCGCTTAGGCGAGGTTGCCCAGGTTGCTGAGCGGGCGTTGTCCGTCAATGCAACGAATGTTGTACGTCACGATCTCGATAGGCATGTTGAGGTTAATGACATTTTGAGTCAACAACTTGCACCTGTAGACCCGACCCAACAACATCCACCTCCCAGACCTCCGAGGCGTTCACGCAGGTCTCAGCGTGGGTGTGGGGGGCAAGAGACAATCGCGCCCACTCAGCCACATCAGTGTTCCCAGCATCAGCAGTCTCATATCCCCTTCACTGAGGGTTCATCCCATCAGTCTCCACTTATGTCTCCACACTATTCTTCTCAGCATTCATCCCATCAGTCTCCACATTCTCCACATCATTCATCCCATCAGTCTCCACATCAGTCTCCCCATCATTCTTCCCCGACCCAACAGGCGTTTTATCGTCCCATTATGTCTCCCCAGCACCAGCAGTCCCATTTTGCCTTCACTCAGTTTTCCTCCCCTCAGACTTCTCAGCCTCAGTTTGGAGATGCTTTTATTGACTTTTCTGGGTTCCAACAGAGTTCGCTAGATGGCCAGTCGATATATTACACGAGTAACTTTCTTTTGAGTATGTTCGAGGGTGTTGCGGTTCAGCATCAGGCTGATGACCCAGGCTGAGGATGCAGACCAGGATGATCAGTTTGAGGGTCAGGGTCATCAGCGCCATGAGGAGCAGGGATCGAGTCAAACTCTAGGGACTCCACCGTTGGCTGTGAGTAAAGGCCAGAGAGTGATGAAGGAGCCCGATAGATTGACTTATAGCCATTTCCAGGCTAAAAAGCTCAAGAAGAAGTAGGATACTAGACTTTTTATGTAGTATTATTAGACTTGTATTTTTTTTTTCCTTTTGTTCATTTATGTTTTTTTTCCTTTTGTTATGACTTGTTTTATTTTTTTCCCTTTTGTTATGACTTGTAGTATTTTGTTATGACTTGTATTAATATTCTTAATAGTTTGATTTCACCTGTATCGTTGCTACTTTATTAATATTTATCAAACACATCTTCGCCGATCAAATCTCAACACATCTTTAAACTTTCTTATATTTTTTTAATAATTAATAGTTGCTTCATCTTTTTTTTTAAAAATAAACAGCAAAGCATTTAGTTTATCCAAACAAACAATGTAATTCTTAGCTCTTACATACCAACCATCTATTAAAATTACCACATCCACAAAAGAATAGTACCAGATACCTAAAACAAACATTCAGTAAACTAAAGTTCTCTTCAAAATTAAGATGCGGTGCATTAAACAATCGCATTGGCAGCACTTGTAATCCTAGGCCAAAGATCATCACACTCCTTTCCAATGGAACCACTGATTCCAGAACCTTTCATTTTTCCCTTGGGATTAACAATCACTCCCGCATTATCTTCAAAGTACATGTAGACACCGTCCTTTCGGCGCCATGGCTTGCACTGGCGGACAATGACTGCGGGCATGACCTTCTTTCTGACTGAGATCGGGCTTACCCTTCTTGATGGTGACCATAACCATGTCACCGACGCAATCAGAAGGGAGACGGTTGAGCCTACTCTTCATTCCCTTCACTGAAATGATGTAAAGGTTCTTTACCCCGGTGTTGTAGGTGCAATTCACCGTCGCAGCCACTGGAAGACCCAGAGACATCCTGAACTTGTTACCCGCCGATCCTCCGCGTCCTCGCTTCGACATTTTTGCTGTCTCCCCTCTGAGGTTTCCGAAGAAGAGATAATAATTGCTTCATCTTAAGCGTTGGTAAATTATAATAAATATTTAATAAAATTTATTCATATTTTAAGCTTTTTTCTTATATTGAAACCGTCATAATTAATAAAAATAATTTGTAAATTAAATTACATCTAATTAAATTCATAAAATTACGTCATTTATCATTATTGAAAATTTTTCATATAAAATTATTTTATAAAATAATGATTACATTTTTAATATAATTTTTTAAAAATTTAATATAATTTTTTAATATATTCATTATTAAATTTTTTATTTAATGTTTTAAAAATGTAATACTTTATAATAATTATATCATACTTTTTATAATTTATATTTAGAAGTATAAATTATATCATACTATTTAATTTAATGAGTATCAATTATAATATTATATTCTTATTCAAAATTTATTTTTTCTATTATTAAAATTATCAATATAATTTTCCTCTTTATAGTTCTATTCAAAATTTAATGATTATCAATTATAATTTTAAAATTTTCCTTTAATTTCATTAATTAAATTTAATAATTTTTTGAAGTAAATTTCCCTATAACTTTTTAAACTAGGCAAATTAATCAAATTTTTATGACTATTTCATTTTTTTATTTAAATAAAATATTCTTTTTTCTTTTTTTTTCGCGCTTTGAAAATGCGAATCTTTATTTAATCAATTTTTTTACCATTAATTAATTACGATTAAGTTAAATTAATTACGATTTCTTATTTTTAGCGTTTCTGAAACGCGAAAATTTAGTTTTAGCGTTTTCAAAACGCGAAATTATTTTTTTAGCGTTTTCAAAACGCGATTTTTCTTATTTTCGCGCGTTTGAAGCGCGAAAGAATCATTTTTGTCCACAATTAAAACCCTAGATCTAGTTTGTTCTTCATAATTTTTTGAGATATATATAAGTAAATTTTCCATTGTATGCATTATGTATGTCGGGCAATTAATGCCTAAAGCTCTGGTTTGAATCTGTTCGGTTTTTGGCTGTAGAGATCATTCAAGATCTCCATTTGTGTGTCGATTCTTTATGTTGCCTTCTGTTTTTGGGGCATGTTGTCATAGGAACTTTAGAACAAACTTGATGTAGTATTGCTTTTAATCTCTTTCATTCTTGACCCTCGTGTTGTTTTGATAATTTTCCTTTTCGTTGTGTTGGGTTTGACTAAACTAGTGATGATAGATTTTTGGAGACGCTGCCAAGCTGTTTTTCATCGTTAATATTCTGAGTAAGTAACCTTAATTTGGAGTTCAGACCTCCATTGACTATGTGCCCTTTGTTGAAAAGATATCTGTTTTGGTTTTCCATTGCATATGGTTAGTAAATTGCTTACACGTTGTTACTGACACCTCGTTGTTATTCCATACATTATTAGAAGCTGATGAAGGTAGATTCGAATGTAATGCAGCTAGTTCTATATAGGTCAATTTATTCCATCACCAATTATCTACAGAACAACGAATAAATCTGACAAGGGATATACGAAGACATATACTATCACTCCATCCATTTGGAAAAAAATAATCCCTCCGTCCCATAATTATTGTCCAGTTTTACTAAAATGAAAGATTTTATTTTTGGTCAAACTTAATTATATTTTACCTGAAACAACCGGATATACCCCTATATAAGTAATTGTTTAACCACTAAGATTTTATGGATAATGTTTTTTATTAAGAACAAATGTGTAACTTGATCCATAAAAAGTCAAATTGGACAATAATTTTGGGACAAAATTTTTTGGGCAAAGTGGACAATAATTATGGGACAGAGGGAGTACTAGCTAGTACAATTGTATGTTCAAAGTTACCTTGGGATTCATCTTCTCCAACAGACTTTTGGACCCAATATACTCTATATGGGTGAAAACAGCAAGGAATTAATAGAGCAAATAAAAAGTGCTTTATTTTCAATAATTATTTTCTTTGAAAAAAAGAAAAAAAACCCTCAATTACCTCTTTACTTACAGCGTTCCGTTACTCTTTCTTTTTTTACTTTGCGTCGGCAAAAGTCTCTGCTGACTTTTTTTTTTATTTTTTTTTTACCAATTCATACAAATTATTAGGTTAAAAAAATGTATTTGTATGTACTGTCCTTTCTCTCTTTTTTCAACTTTTTAGTATCCAGAGAACCTAACAAAATCTGAGGGAGGAGGGTTTTCCTTCTCCATAGAGTTTTGAGATCACCAACAATTTCATTATATAAAATTACCCATTCTTACAAACCATATTCTGAATTATCTCGTAACTGGACGAGATTGGTTTTGGTTTGGAATAGGAGAAAACTGATAACTAGGATTCGACTACGTACGTAGGTGTATATTCACCTCCTGACCTCATCAATCAATATATTATATACAAGTTCGAGAGATATCTTTGCGTTGAACAAGATGACGAAATCATTAGCAGCAGCAACTTACGAAGTTCCTGATGTGAAGCTTGAAGAAGAAGAAGAAGTTGGTGGTGGACATGTTGATATTCCAAAAGACATAATTTTTACCATACTTGCGGAGCTTCCGGTGAAAACCTTATTAAGACCAAAGGCATGATGGTAGCCTACACGTCAAAGCGCCAGTCTCTTTACCTTAAGGATGAGATTTACATCATGGTCCAATTTCCGGATTCTTATAAGGCTCTCCTAGTGTTCTCGGTTGGCGAGGAAAGATTTAGATTTATACATTTCCCGAAACAAGACACAGATGCTAAATATGGATTCAAGTGGTCTGTAATTGAGGTAAGGGAATGGGTAGCTTTAATGAAGATGCACCAAGGCATAGATATATGGAGATTGATCATCAATAATGCTGATAATCATAGTGAAGAAGAATGTTGGGAGAAAATTAGTATTCCGACCTACCCAAAATTTGTGGAACCCTCACAAGAAAGATTACAACTTGATGTAGGTTGTGCAATTAATAGCAGGGAGAATCTTGTTCAATTGATGGAGCTGGAGGAGGAGGGCAAAACGTATTGCTACTGTTGGGACATTAAAGAAGGCAAGTTCAGAAAGAATCCGAAGCTCAACTACTTCACTGGTCATGTGTATCGTGAAATCTATTCCAAACATGTCGAAACTTTATTCGATCCTGCTGTCCGGCCAAAATCATCACAAGGGTGACAATCAAATTACTCTTCAATTTTTTTGCATTTTGTTTGTTATTACTACATTATATATAAAAATGTTTCTTGTTTTAATGCAAACTAGTTATAGAACTATTGAACTATTTCGCTTTAATCTCAGCTTTGAAAATTTGTTTTTCTTTTTCCTCGTGATTTCCTCTAAATTCTCTGCATATATTACATGAGTAAACTCAGAACAAATCATTTACCAACTCTCCCTAGCCATTTGAACATGAAACCAGCAATTATGGCCAGAGTCTAATTTGATGTTCAGAAAGTTAGATGGAAGATAGTAATGCTATACGTATCAAATGTGACCAAATGTGGAGATGCTACATGTATATTTGCCATTTAAGTAACGTGTTAATGTAACCAAATTGCTTTTAGAACCAAGTTCGCCCTCCCTGATATAACCTTCTACGAGTAAAATACAATATCGATGTTTCTCAATTCAGTGTGCTAGCTTCACGCCTCAAACTATGCACCCAAAAAAGCCAAGAACTATTACAGTATCTTCTTTACCTTTTATAATTACGATGATCAAGCTCAGGTTGACTCCACTAGTCTCACGCCACTATCATGGATGCCCCAGCCACCACCTCCGCCACCATCATTATTGCCATTGCCACCACCACCCCCCCACCCACTTCTGCCACCATCCGTAGACGTGTTACCACCCCAGCCACCACCCCATCCGCCTGGGAAGGCTTCCCTACTAGACGAATTCTGAACTTTGGCACCACCAAAGTAACCCCATCCGTCTTCACCATCTTTAGAGCCCCACGTCTTGGAACCACGGTCCTCATTCTGTCTGTTGTAACTTCCCCTACCACCACCATATGAGCCCGACCCGCGGCCACGCACATGCCCACCATAAGGCCTTGGCATTCCACTAGGATGCCCAGCTAGACTGCTACCATTTCTGTAATCATGTCTTCCTACAAGAATTAAGGTGGCAAAAGAAATATCACGTGTTACTATAGAGGATTCAACATTCAATCTTGAGCGAACAAAACTAAAAAGTGAAGAACACATCAAGCAGCATGAAAGGGAAGTGGCCAAGGTGCATTTGAAAGCATAAACATTGACAATAAGAAAGCAGTATACACCAATCTACCACCACATGATTCATCACCTGCAATAAGATCTCGAAAAGAAAACCTACCTCTCTCTACTGATTGGCTACTTTTCCAGCCACCTTCATTAGATGAACCACCCCATTTGCCACCAGAACCTGATCCCCAAGCAGCAGGACTTCGGATTGGCACCATAGCGGCCACAGATCGAATTGATGGGCCAGAGTCCAGCGGGTCATCAATGTGCCTCTTAAAATACGCCACAAGGCGATCCAGATCCTCAAACATTCTTTTACGAAACATGAACCCTTTTGGATAGAGACCAATATACTCATGGTGCGGATTTGAACTTCTTATGTAAGTCAGGATAAATGTTCCGGGATGTTCGTGAAAAATCCCAAAGCTGTAAACAATTCTCATTGGATTCTCTGATTTCTCCACTCTTAAGAGATCGTCAACTTCCGCTTTAGTGCCCTTCCTGAACTTACGGTAATTCAGCATGGCCTTCAAATGAGTAACAAGGGGATCCACATACCGATCCATGACCTATTATAATTAACCAGCAACTCCAAATGTCAAGTTGGGACTTAAAAAAAATTATACTACAAAACATATTTCAGAGGATCAACAATTTAGAAGTTGAGAACAGAAGGACCTACAAGATGCTTACCTCATCCAAATCCTCAAATATGTCCTCACCAATTTTCAATGTTTTCGCAATTCTGAGCAAGCTTGTTATATCCTTGTGCTCCTTACCCCCTTCAGTTATATCCTTGTGAGCGTAAACCCCATCATATATTTTGAGCGTAAGAGTCAAGTAAGAAGGTCCACGTGAACTTGGACGGACAATACTTTCGCCAGGATCTTTGTCAGATAAAAACTGGAAACAGCAAAAAGTTAAAGGTAAATACTGGCAACATGTTAACGTCACACATATGCAAAAATTACCCCCATTAGGCAAAAGGTAAATGCAAAGAGACGTAACCTACACATATAACTGTAGATCAACTCACAGACACATAGATGGGCAACTAACAGAAGCTTTAAAGATCCATGAAATGGATAGCTACAAGGAGTCTAGTAAGAATGAACTGAATGTCAACTTTCATATCACCAGAAAAAAAAAACATATAACCACTGAAATTGATAAAGGAGATTAAGATTCAACGGAATATTAAAATTGCAGAGGGAAAATATAAATTACTTCTCGGTAAATATTGGTCCTGCAAACGCATTCTAGTATGAATAGTTTTTCCAAGTTTTAGTTACAAAAAAATGGTCTATTTTAACATTCTAAAAGATCAGCAGAGACATATAAGCGTATGACACCAAACAACCATACTTATAAGATTCACTTTTAGCAAATTTAATTTATTCGCATAGACATAAATATGATGCATAATCCCTCATTTCTTATTTCAATATCTCATACCTCTATTGCCTCATCAGCTGTAATATTCTGGAAACGAGGATGAACAATCAGCCTAGGTCTGAAATGCTTTTTGACAAGGTCCTCTTTGCGGACCTTTTCCTGCTGCGATTGCAAGATGCTGCGGTCTTCATGGTTGTAAGGATCCATTTTTCGGAGATTCTGATGACGGTTATTTCTCATGTCACTTTCCTTACAGCTTAGGAAAACCTGATACCTGTTCTTTTGAATAGATTTGACTCTGCATGTTAAAGTGAAACCTTCTCGCAGCTTTTCAGACAAATCATCTATACCTCTCCAGTCATCGGTATAATCTTCCTTTGCCAACATGCCAGTAAGTCCAGAATCCAGAACACAAGTAGCTCTTTGAGGTTGCACCCTGCGAACTGTTGCTTGCACGATCCTTCCTTCAGACAGTGTTTCCTCCGTCTCCCCAGAAATCATGTAAAATTCCTCATCCTGGCTGGGTTCCTGATAAGGCCTACGCCAATCCTGGAAACCATGCATCAATTCCAATCTTATGTCGTTAAGGGTCTCTTTTTTTCCCTGGTGGTGCTTATCAACAGCATATTCATAGGCATTGACACCCCTTAAAAGGTGAGGTTTACACCTAACATGCTCAATAGCCAAGTCCAGCGTTCCCCTTTCCTCATGGTTTGTCTCATCTCCAATATCCATAATATAAACATCTTTTGCCAGTTCTTCGGCAAGACCATACGATTCCGGATGTATTCTTGTATCATCCAACAAATCGATGAAATTATCATTGGTGGTAGCATTTCCACTACAGCGAACACGGAGAAAACCTGCAGCATTGACAAAGACCTTTCTTCCAAGCCATTGTGCAGTCAAAAGATCCTTTCTGGAAGATATAGCTCCAACTCTAACTAGTGATCTTTGCAGGGATGCAGCCTTCCTAGGTCCAAGACCAGATATGAATTGCATTGGAGCAAACAACCATTCATGACTTGCAGCGAAATTTACGTCAAGACCCACTTGGTTGGTAACATCAACCATGACCTGCTCAACAATAGCATACTTCTCATCAGGAGTAAGATAGCTATCCAACGGACCAAGCTTCCACGACAATATCTCTCTTCCTGGTCCACAAAGTGTAGCAACCATAGCTAATGGATTCTGTATGTAACGCCCAAGAGCCACAGCCCGCCTACCAATACCTAAAAGATTGGAATATGTCATTTTGGGCGTAATACAAAAATAACAGATTTGGGACAATAAAACTACCTGATTGCCCAGGAAGCTGATCAGCTGACACATGCGAATTCTCGTACAAATGTGGCAGAGATTCGTCTCCATAAACAATATTTAAGTTATCCAACTCTTGACCAACCTCTCTGGGATTCTCTTCCACCATTTTGAAGATGATCTATAAACAAAATTGGAGAGTGCATTTAGTAACTAAATTGTGTGAACTACAAATGAAAATCAGGTAATTCAAACAATATGAAAACGGAACAGCTCCCTACTGTATTGTGGCAACATTTTCAGGTTTTTGAAACTCAACAAACAAGGCGCAGATTCAACAAACCTAATCAAGATTCCAGGAAGTATACCTCATAAATATCCTCCTTTAGCCTAGTGCATGACAAATTCACTGCTCCAAGGACAACAACATGTGGTTGATGTTCCATCATAAATTTAAGAACCTGCTGCTGATCTTTTTTCTTCCTCTGTTGATCATTGACAGTTTGACCACGGAGAGTAAGGGAACCAGCAAACAGTACATCTAGGACTTCTCCAGTTGAATCCAACATTACAAAAGTAGTTGCAAGGTTTCCAGGATTCCAACAGCAAGCCATAACCCGTGGTGCAACTTCATCATCAGAGCTATCAATTTCTTTTCGCTGATATGGTGCGACAGAAACTCTGTCCCATAACTGCCTCCCATACACCATATGCAACCAACTCTTCGCTTTACTGGTTAAGTATGACCTAGCTTCCTTTTCCATTGAAGGGAGGAGAAAATTAAAAAACGCATCCTCAATGATCTGTTTCCTTTGCTCATTCCATAAATTAGCAGATCTGCTCACACTCTGACTACAATAATAATCATTTGCGTCACCAATAAGCTTGTCAAGGTTAGCCTCTGGCAGCGTAATTTTAACTTGAAGAAGCTTCTTCTCTTCAGCCTTCTGAATAAGAAGCCACTGAGCATCCTCAAATTTGGTAAGTGGTTTATCTTTTAACCATTTCACTCCAGCAAACTGATGAAAAGAATCAATTGTTGTATTTCCCTCGGCAGTAGGAGTAGTTGACACGGTTGCATTATCCATAAATATTCCACGAACATGTTTCCTGACACTTGGTTCACAGAAGATCTCAACAGCCGCCTGAAGTGGAAAACCAACCAAATGAACCACCAAAAAAGGGAACGGAAAAAAATAAAACAATATATACACATACACACACACACGTACCATGTGCCTAGCACCTTTGAGCACAGCTTGAGGAGAATCGAACATAGCACATGTAAAGTTTGAGGCCATTCCTTCGGGAGTTTCTTTCGCATCTTCCAACTCTTCCACTCGCTAGTTTTAATGAATAGAAGTTTAAAAAATTTTGTAAGAATTCTTTCCTTTCATCAGCTTTTAAAATCAAACATACGAAATAAACCAAGAAACCTACCATATTTTCTAGAGATATTTGCAAACCAAATTGTTCAGAGCTGTAGCCGAACTTGCTAGCAACCTCCCATAATCCAGCCTTACGGCATGTGCTATAGTGAGATTTCCGCTTTGGTCTCTTATACTGACCTTCATCAACGCCCACTTCTCCTGGTGGAAAATGCAGGTTGAATTTCATGTCGACATCATCGACTTCTCTCTCTGACTCAGCTGCCTTGAGAGCGTCTGTAATTGACTCAAAAAGCTTCTGATTCAAATTGAGTTGGGTTACATGATACACTCTATGTGACTCTTCCTCGTAAACTCTGTTGTAGTATGATTGTAAAGCAGTCTTCCGCTTCTGAAGAAGCAGCCACTTTTTATCCAAGTCCTGAATCGCCCAAAGCACCTGTAGTACACAAACTATAAGTCACGAACAGCAGATAGATGTTCAGAACAACAGACACAAAAGAACACATACCTTATGCCATCTAAGGGTAGGTTTTCTGTCAGAATTATTCTGGTCACTGTTTTCACCATGGAGCTCTAAATCCTTAAGGAGACTCGGACAATCCTCCTTCCGGTACATAGCAATGAAGGGAACCTAAACATAACGAAACAAAGAAAGTTACTACACTGAAGAGCTCCGTGCAGTGATTGACAAATTAGATTCTCTTGCCCAGAAAAAAAAAATATAAAACAGAACAAAAAGTATTTACGTCGAATCTCTGCACGTGTGTCAACTCCAGGAATCTCCTGATGTCTCTCTTGTATTCTTCCACAACTCTGTCTGTGTCATCAGTTATCATTGCCTCATTTCCATGAGCATCTGAAACAGTTACTTTTCTAATATTAACCAAAGGCAAAAGGCCATGTGGAAGCTGATTGAATATCCAGGAACTCTCCACTTGTATCCCATCCGATGAGGGGGTACCAGTGCTTTCCTCTGACACCTGCAGAAGTGAGACAATATAGATCAAAATAAACTATGCAGGCATCACATGCTAGTCTTGAGTTTCACAGCAAACCTGAATTCTTTCAGGAATGTCTTTTCCACGAATTTGGTCATCTTCCTTAGTCAAATACTTTTCAGACACAATGATGGGCTCAAATTCATCTTCAAACCTCCTCTCCTTACGGTCAACCGGGTCTTCATTCTGGCCATTGTTTTCAGATTTCTTTTGGTCAAGCTTCTCCTGGAATTCATCGGGATCACCAAAAATTTCTTTAACTTCCAGAACTGCAGATGAAGGAGGATCTGCTGGATCCCTAGTTTTCTTCTTGGGAACCCTCTTCTTTCTAAATCATCAATTAGGCATCAATTAAGGTTTCGCCAAATTTTGTAGAGAAGAAACTGAAAGCAATACAACTTACTCATGATTTAACATATTAATCAGGCTAAGGTTATTCTGAGGAGCACCACGTTCAAACATTGAAAACTTGAAAAGAAATAAAAATGATTTATGTCATTTGTTCCTCATCTAGAAATTCACCTGACGCGACCTCCATTTTCAACTTCTTCGTCACTCACAATGAATCTAGACATATCATCTTCGTCGTCGAAGTCGTCAAAGTCGTCTACAGGTTCCTCCTCAGGAATATCCTCAAGTGGTTGTCCTTAAACATAATAGCAGAATCTCAACAATGTGATCCAACAAGACAGTGATTTCATGACACTGTGAAGATAATAACAAAATGAATTTTACCTTCATCGCCATCAAACAGGCTGAGTTTAACCTTCTCCTCAGCTGTTCGTCCTCTCTTCCCAACCCCAGCAAACTCTTCCTCATCAGAGAATCCAGAATGTTCTTGTGTCGAAACATCTTGAGCTTTCTTCAACCGTTTCAACCTCTTGCTTTCCTGATAGAATTCGAAGAAGGATCAGAAAGGGGTCCAAACATCTCAAACTAAACAGAAGTTATATTAGCTACAACCTTAGGCCGAGGAACAGATACGTCGTTGTCCTCAAGCAGCCTATAGTCATCTTCATCAAGAGCAAAACTCCTTTCTGACTCTCTCCTATTAATAAAAACATCAATAAACTAACTCAGTGATACAGAGCCAGCCAGCCATTTATAACCAAATACACAAAAAGACAATGGCAAAAGACAAAAAAAAAAAAGAAAAAAAAAGAAAACCTTTTCTTCCTTTTCCTCTTCTTCTTCTGTCTCTCACCACCATCATCCTGACCTAATTCTTCTTCCTCTTCCGATTCTTCCTCAGCATCATTAACTATGAACCCATCATCCTCATATTCATCCTCTGCTCAACAAATGAACAAACATATAATTGTACATTAACCAATTGTGGCAGTCATCAACAACAGCTTTTCTGAGACAACACCATTTGTACTAACTCGAAAATCAATCTTAATAAACCAACTTCATGATCTTTCAAAATAAAGAAAACGAAAAGGAGAACTGTCTGAAAAATATCATAAAAAAAAAAAAAAAACAGCAAAACGAAGATGTTATATGTCCTACAACTATACCATGCAAACAAAAAACGACATGCAAAATCACAAAAGGCCATTAAACCAAAACTTTAACCGCGATGAAAATGTAAAAATCACAGCCACGAATTCTTCGACGCCTTGAAACCCTAATTTCTCAACCCAAAAAAAAAAAAAAAACGCCGCCAATCCACCATTTAAGGCTAAGAACAAGAATAAAGAAAACAAACCGCAAAAACACAAAAATTGTAGTATAAAGTCGACCAACCATGATCTTCGTCCTCGTCGTCCTCGTCGCCGTATTCAATATTCTCCCCTTCGGGCTCCTCCTCGTCTATTTCTTCTTCCTCGAGACCAATATCATCTATGGCAACGAAAACAAAGTTGTAACTTTTAAATTATCTTTCATACAAGAAACCCTCCATTTAAAATCACCATGCTTTGAAAACCAATTCAAACATTGAAAATTTACGGGAAAAAAAAAACTTCGAATGTCACCTTCGTCATCGGAGATAATAGCTTTTCCAACCATGGCTCAAATAAAAACGCAAAAAAAAAAAAAAAAAAATCCCTAGAAGAAACAAGAAGAAAACACGCAGTGAAAGTGTAGTATGAGAGGATTTGGGCCTCTATTTCTCTGATCTTCCAAGTCTCGCAGTATATAGACTGAAACAGAGAGGTGAAAACGGAGACGTTCTGATACACAATCACTCTGTACGTGAAGGAGGATTTTTTTTGAAGAAATAGCACTAATTGCTTAGTTGAGGCCCTGAAGTTTTCGTCAATTGACAATTACTGCCTCCAACTAAATTTATTTGTTTTCATACTCCCTCTGTCCAAGAAATAAATAGATTTAGTTCGGGTAGAAACTATGGAAACTTCCGGGTTTCAACTAATAAAATAAAATGTTAATTATTTTTCTAGAATAAAGCGAGTATTAACTAAGTCCGTTTGTTACTAACTGCAAAATCTGTGTATTAAATTTGAATAAAAAATTTCACTTTAAGTTTTCGAGTGATTAGTGATAATTCAAATCAAAATTGTACATTTATAATGTCGCAACAATTGATGTTTTGTGATACTTTTATAGTACACAATTCATGATATTAATTAAATAGTTTACACTTTTGTTGTAGCCTAAAGGGGGTTTATTCGGCTTTGGTGCACTTTTAGAGAAAACGCTCGCAAATCAAACCATAATTGTATAAGATTGCGCCGAATCGGATGAATACTTTTTGCCTTATCATTAGCATGGTTCAACCTGGCACACCGCTTTCTTCCTTTTCTTTTCCTTATCCTTATATTATACATAATATAAAGGCACAGTAGGCAAGAAATTAAATACCCAAGAAATATTCAGGGCCACCTTCAAATCGTTCTCGTTCGTCGGATGGTCTCGATATGACGCCAACGACTTATTAGGGGCAATAATGAGATTTCATAAATGCATGCCCTCCCAATTTTAAATAAAAATCCCCAAACTTTTAAAACAAAATCGTTGATCAATCCCTATAAATTTGTTTGAAAACTCCCAACCCACGAAACACGTCGTTTTGTATTACTCACTAATCAACTAAAATTCTCCATTTGCCCTCATCGTCCACCTTATCTTCTTCACCCAAAACCATTAAAAGAAAAGTTGTGCCTCCACTGCGACCCAAAGAAACCCGACCTGAACCTCATCTTCCTCTCCAAAAAACCAAAAAAAAAAAAAAACCATAGGGCACAATACTTTCTCCGCCTACACTGCCACCTACTACCTTTCATCGTCCTCCTTACCATGGAAAAACCAGATTCTCCATCAGATCCAATGCGTCGAGTCGCCGAAAGAGAGACAGCGGAACAACCGGTATCCGAAGCACGGAGGAATAGAATTTGGAAATTACCATTTAATCTTAGATTTGTATAAGGCTGTAAATTTCGAATTGTAATATGAATGGGAATTTCAGATTCATTAGAAAGTTGAGGTCGGCTACCATGGCTATAAAAGCCCAGCGAACCTCACAATTTTAGACCACATCAAGTTTTCTTGTTCAGCTCTCTAGCATAATACTTCGACGGGCTTTTCTACTGATGTCATGGTAGCATAGTGCTTTCTATGTATATATAGTCTTGTCATGATGAGATCAAATTCGCCATCCCCTTGAAATTCAATTAGGGAGGAGCTTGATTCTTAAAAAAAAAGGCATTATAAAAAACTTGGAATTGAAGGAACTCCGTCACTGGCACCGGCACCATGATGATCTCTCAATTCTTCCTGCTCTCCCAGAGAGGCGACAACATCGTGTTCCGCGACTGTGAGTTTCCTTTGCCCCTATATCTTCCCTTAATTTTTTCATAGAATAGTGGTACTGTAAATCAGATCTACGTAGACAGCTGATATTTGACAAATTGGAGCTCTTTCATTCCAAATTTGTCTTTTTATTTGTATGATTTCGGAATGCAATGTTTTTTTATTAACCCAGCTAGCAACTTGAATTTCTCTATTCTGAACTAAATCTTAATTCTGTATCTGTTGTCTTTCCGCTATGGGAGCCATGATTTACTGGATATTATGGTCCCCTTATAACATCGTAGTGTTAATTATGCTGCATGTTTTCTTTTTCCATTCTAATAAAATAGCTCTTCACTTTGTCATTCTTGCTCTTATAGAGTATAGAGCATGTGTGATTGTCAACCTTATGTTTGTAGTGGTTAGGTTAAATGAAGAAAATATGTGCTTGGGAATGGATGAGATCGTTATGATCACTTATGTGTGTTTGGCTGAATTTTAAAGGGTCTTATTGGTTTACGAATATCATGCAGACATCGATCAAGTGAGCTATATTCTGCTGCTGTTCAAGATTTTGAGATGTTGTTTTATGCCTTATTCTTTGAAATGCATATCGCGGTGACATACAAATTAAAGGGAAGTGCTGAGACGTTCTTCCACAAGGTTAAACTTTGGAGTGAAGACGGCGAAGAGGAGGCTCCGCCTGTATTTGTAGGTATTTCTGTTAGTGGGTTAACCCTCTGCAAGTGTGACTTAAGCTAATGATGTGTATGTTTCCGTTCATAGAATGTGGATTGTGTAAACTACTTCCATGTCAAGGTGGCTGGCCTGGGCTCTTTTTTGTTGCAACCACGAGAACAAACATTGCTCCTTCTCTCATTCTGGAGCTTTTACAGAGCATTGCCCGTGTCATCAAGGATTATCTAGCATTCTTAATGAAGATTCTCTGCGGAAGAATTTTGTGCTCGTTTATGAGTTGCTTGATGAAGTCATCGTAAGTAAATATATTTTGAGTCATATCTTGCATATGTGCTGAAAACTCAAATTATTCGAGTAATTACCAAGTCTTGTTTTCTCCCTTTTCTATCTTTTGGTTGTGCTAAGTTTCATGATGGTTATGATATTAACTGATTCAGTAAGGTTCTTGATCTGCGTTTCAGTAACATTTTTTTCTACAAAGACAAGCAGTAAGATTTTTTTTTCAAGAAATAATGCTCAAGAAATATTCAGGGGCACCTTCAAAGCGATTTTGTCCTTCAGACAGGTTCAATCCGACAGTCGGTATTAAATCACTTATTAGAGGCAAAAATGAAATTTCAACCGTGTTTTTGAGGGTAATAAGAAAAAACCCCCAATAAACAAACGTAAATTTTTTAGGATAAAAAGCAAAAAACCCCCCGATGAAGAAAACGATGTTGGCCCCTTCCTCTGCCTAATTTTTTCCCCCCAAAACTCCACCCAAATGACGTCATGCCTTCATCTCTAAACCAAAAAACCCTCTCTCCCCTCGTCGTTCTCAGAAATACCTCTTCCCCGACTTTTTCTTCTGCCACCCTCCGTTGGAAATCAGTCAATCGCTTCGTTTCCACCGTGACCCCAACACTGCCGGCAGAGTTTCCACCGACACCATGGCCTTGGGCCTTGGATTTATTTTGGCCCAACAAGAAACAGTTTCCGATTTTCCTCTTCAATCCTTTATTTGCATTACATTTTGGTGTAATTTCTGGGCTTTTTTTTTCTTCTTTTTTCCTTTTTTTGAGGTCTTTTCTTCATATTCTTTTTAAGTTGAACATGTTTAAGCAAACCACAAGTGACATGCATTGATGGAATCATTCAACTTTCAACTTTGATGTATAAATTTTGTTTCGCTATGTTGTGGTATCTAGTCGTAGGCTCGTAGCATTTGGCATTCCTACTTCAGAACAAAACTGATGAACTGCTGGGGTTGTTTACTCTTTGTTTCTTTTCTCTTTGGTCTCCCTTTATCCCATCCTTTTTCACTGTGATTGATAATCAACACATATACCATTTGGAAAGAAGATTCATTTGCCCTTATAAATATTTGTAGTATTCATTTGCCTTACTATTGAGCTCAGATTAGTATTTTCTCTCTTTTTTTTTTTTTTTTTTTACAATAGAAGATACAACGATGCCCAAGATTAGACTAGTACATTACAAGGATATGTCACTCCAATAACATCACTCCAATAACAAAGTCGCTAAATAGTCATCAACAAAATTTGCCTCTCAAAACACATGTTTAACCTCCACCAACCATTCATTCACGCTGCAACAGATCACTAATCCCAATCACCATTCTGGCATTCACCCCAACAATCTCTTCTCCACCTTGTACCAAGGATATAATTGCCATATATCTACTTAGGCAATTACCTTACGACTACCATTCATTAGAACTGAAAATTTTAACCAGATTCCTTGAAATTTCATTTGATTTATCGTAATCAATAATGAAAAATGTTTCAAAATTATTATTTATTGTGAAATCATTCCTGTCTAAACTTCCTTATTATCTGATATAATAGCGTGTATCTCATGCATTGTACTAAAAATATACGACCAATATATAAAATGTGTTTGGTAAAGAAATAAGAGAGTCGACAAAATCTAAAATTCATAAGGAAATACGAAGTCGGAAAGCTTGATTACCTCAACCAAATAAGCTTGCTTACGTTGTTATTTAATCTTTTGGTCTTCGGAGGGAGGCCTCCCTGGTAGTTTTCCTAAATTTGGAGGGAATAATTGTAACGAGTCCATATCCAGTGCACCCGGGTATATCGTATACCCCACCAAACACACGCGTTACACGCGCTTAATATTTTTCACTTTTACATTAAATGTTGTACTTGCATTTTTTTTTACTGGATAATCACTATAAAATATTCGGATAATCAGGTGTAACAAGTTGGATAACTAGTACAAAGATCCTGGATAACCATTACAAACGGTTGGATATTTTTGCACATTGGCTGGATAACCAGTACAAAAGTCCTGGATAATCAATACAGAGCATTGGATAATCAGTTTACATCTTCTGGATAACCAGTTTATAACTTGTGGATAACCAGTACGACATGTTAATTGGGGGGCTTCGCCCCCCATGATAAACTAAACGACTCCCGCGGCTACCGGAATCGCAAGTCACCAACCTGCCCCGGCTGCGCCGCCCCAGTGAACACGCCAATATAGATAAGGTAATCCTTTTTTCGTGTGTGTAAGGAGAGTATGTTATTGCATTAATAGGGGACACAAATTACTTGTATAAATCCCCCCGTGATAAACTAAACGACTCGGCTGCGCCGCCTTTCGCTGCTGCGCCGCCCCAATGCCGAACATGACAAATTTCATAAATAGTATTTAATTGAACGAGGGGAAGTTTGCCAAATGGTGGAGAACAAAAAATGAATGAGGGGCAGCTGGATAACCAGTATAAAAATACGGACAAGAATATCCAAGAAAAATATAAAAGGAAAAAAATGAAATTTGGCAACTGATTATCCAGCTGTGTGTAACTAGTTATCCATAATGTGCACACTGGTTATCCACTATGTCCATACTGGTTATCCAACAGGTTAATAATGGTTATCCAGCTGTGTGTAACTGGTTATCCATAGTGCCAACACTGGTTATCCACATGGTGAACACTGGTTATCCACACGCGTTAAAAAAAAAAAAGAAAAATGAATTATCTAGCGAACTCACACTATTATAAGAGAGTAAATTACACGCGTAGGGGAGTACACGGTGCCCCCGGGTGTACCAGATAATTTGCCATTGTTACATATTCAAACTAGTGATGTCTGGTCGCACAATGCGCGACCCTGGCCCAGTCTATCTGTAGATCTTAGAAATGTTTATATTTGAAAAAAAATAAAATTTTGTATTTGGAGCGATATATTTTAGAAATATTTGAAGGATTTAGAAATGTTTTATAAGTGTGATCATAGAAATATTTGTATTTCGCAAAAAAAAAAAAAAATTGTATTTCGCCATGTATGTTTTAGAAATGTTTTATAAGTGTTACTTATTAAATATAAATAGCCTTAATCGAATATATGTGTTGAAGTAAATATTAGATAAAATATAAAAGCATCCTAATAAATTTAAATATTAGTAAGATGATTTATTGATGTTCTCCATTAGTCGTGCCAAATCAATACTTAGTTTTGGAGATTTTTAATAGCTTTGTAATAAGCTTCATCCGAAGAGTATACACTTAAAACAAAATTGACACTTTGTAACAAAAAACTTAATTGATCAATTCAATTTAAAAAACTACTCTAGTTCAATGAAACATAAAGAAAAAATAAAAAAAAATGTCACGTAAAGTGCAAAGGGAGATTTAATAATTTTGTTATGGTTAGACAAAAGGGCAATTTAGTACTTTTTACATGCCACGTGGCAATCATATGAGGTGTTTGAAAGGGAGGTCGGCAATTTGAAAGGGAGGTTTTTGTTTCTAATATAGTAGGATATTAATTTTACTGGTTTATTTATGGATATTATTCTTCGAATCTCTTTCTATTGGAATTTTTGAAGCAAAAACATCAAACCCTTTGCCCCACAGTCGAAGTAGCCATAGAATCCAAACCAGAGCCACCATAAAAAGGACTCAAAATCAAACGCCGGCGTCCGGAAAGGTCTCAATCTGTTGCCTCAGATCCGAATCAGGAATCAGACCCTTCTTCGATGCCCGATTTGCCTTACGAACTCGTTGTTGAAATCCTTTCAATGCTACCCGCCAAGTCAGCGGGGAGATTCAAGTGTGTTTCGAAATCATGGCTGTCGTTGATCTCAAACCAAGCTTTCATCAAAACCCATCTCGCAATTTCTTCCAGAAGGGATGATTTCCAACACCATGGTCTCATCTCCTCTGTTTTCCCCTGCTCAGCTGACGGCCCTATTAACAAATTGCATCCTGTTAGTTCTCTTCTGTACTCAGCGTCCTCTGAAACTCCCACCGGTCGGGTGTTTGAAATCGATTTTCCAATGGAGTCATCGAAGAAATCAGTTAGGCCTGTAGGTTCTTGCAATGGTCTTGTTTGCTTGAGGACCTGTGGAAATCGTGAATTGTATCTGTGTAACCCTTGTACTAAAATTTATAAGAAATTGCCTAAGACGGGAATGCAGATTAGAAGGGGTAATAAATCGTGTTTCGGGCTCGGCTATGATAAGTTGAATGACGATTATAAAATAGTTGAGCTATTCCACGATGGTACGAATAAGATTACGGAATGTCACGATGGTACTATTAGTATTCTATATATATATGCAATTGGAGTGTATAGTCTAAAGAATAATTCATGGCGCGAGATTAAAAATCTAAGAGTTGAGGTTCCAGATAAATTCCGAAAATATTATCTCCATTATGCAAGTGGAAAGCTCCATTGGCAAGTCGATGGTGGTAAAATTGCTTGCTTTGATCTGGAAAATGAGACTTACGGAGAAATGGACCCCCCAGGGCCAGGCAATAAAGGCAGTACCTTTGAGTTTGATTATCAACTTGGAGTTTTAGGAGATTGGCTTTCGTTGTTTTACGACGATACCACTAGTGGTCATGCTGATATATGGGTGTTGAAGGATTCCTGGATCAAAGTTGTATATGCACCTCTTGTTGAAACTCCTTGCGGAAGAAGTTACAATGAGTCTCAATTGATTTGTTTGCAGTGGAACGATAAGGTGCTGTTTGTTCTTTACAATCGAAAGGCTAATACTTACTCGATCCATCCGCAGCAGAAACGTCCTCCTGGGAAGACAATTTTGTATGTTGAGAGTTTAGTTTCGCCTAATATTTTTATGAAAGATAACGAGCCAGCAAGTGCATTGAAAGGTTAGAGAAAGAAAGTGTTTCAGGCAAAGATTATTTCTTGCTTGATACACTATGCTGTTTTTGTTTTTAATTTATTTAGTTTTGGTTGAATCACTGTCTGTGTTTTTTTTTTTTTTTTTTTTCAGGAATGCTACTAAGTTGAACACATGAATTTAGTTTTTTTTTTTTTTTTTTTTGTCACACAATGCCAATTATCCTTAACATTGTTCGCGTCCAAATAGCCTTATTCCATCATCAATGATCATGTCTATTGACTGCAGTCTTGGGACTAACAAGTTGTCTAATGTCCTTCACTAGATTGATGGGAGTTAAAGCTAAAGTAAGAGAGTTGTATGTTGTTACTTGTATCTCATCGCAAATTCAATTTCCCTTCATCTAATATATTAGGATTTTTTTGATTCGCTCTTAGAAACACTACACTACACGCTGGAAGGGAAAGATTAATTTTTACAGTAGAGTTACAGCTATATAAAGATTAATTTTTATGGTAGTGTTTGAAAACAAATACTTTGATGGTTATGAAAGCGACATGGAGTAAGAAACTCGTGGACTAAAATTCTTGCAGTTTACATAGTTTTTCCTGAACAATTTGTTACCTGCCGATTTGCTGGTTAAGCAACGGCGACATAATTTTTTCCATCCATTCGGTGTTGGTAATTTACCGTCCAAAAAGTATTTCATTTTGGTGGTATCCTCGGATAAGTAAAGTTGAAGATGTTAGTATATTCATCAAGAGCTTAGTTTCACCCAATCTCAATCGTGGAGAATATATTCAAGAGTTTAGTTTCACCTGTCTCAAACACGGGAGAACCGAGTCTGCTCCGGTTTAATGGCTAAAGTAAGTAGAGTATTTTATTTTCTTCCAAAATAAGTAGAGTATTTGATTTCTATGTCTTTTACGTTTCCTTTCACAATGAATGCTTCTGTGGCAAGTTGTATTTAAGTTCAGCATTTACCTTCTTGTTTTAGATTGTTGTTCCCGCGACAGGAAATTCACTGTCGATATTCTCATGCGCTTTTTGAGTATACATGCTAGTTCACATGACTAAATTGTTCCCTTGAAATCGACATTTACATGGTTAGAATATCATCTGATCTGAAAATTTTGATTCTGTTTTTATATTCATTCGAAATAAACTGAATTGGCTTAAAGTCAGTACTGAATGCATCTTATCCATTCTTAATGAAGATATCAAATTGTGACAAGATGAATTTGTTTACTGCATTCTTTCCTTAGATCAAGAAATCAGAAGCTGATCATCCTATACTGATCCCCATCCGTCGATTCAATTCAGGCTGCGATATCTGAGGTTTAGTATTCAAATAAACTTTGATATCCTTTTTTGTCACAAGGTCATCTTGGAGAGAAGATTAACCTGCGGAAGTTCAGTTGAATCGTAGCTGAAAATCGCCATACAAACATTAATGAATTTGGTTGATGAAAATTCATTAATGTTTCATAAGGTTTAAATTCCTTATGAAACAAGTCAAGAGAAGCAAGTCAAGAGAATTAAGGTTTAAATTCCTCTTTTCAAATAAAATCAGAGGCCATACCGGCAAGGTATGTAAAAAAATAAAATAAAATAAATGAAAATGCTTTACCTAAGATACTCCCTCCGGTCCTTATTATAAAACATTTTGATTTCGTCTAAAGTTTCACTTAGAATGGTTTTTTTTTAATTGAAATAAAAATCTTAAAAACATTTCATAATAAATAGGAGAACACAACGAATGTGAAAATATATTTTTAAATTTTTTTTTAATTAAAAAAAATCCTAAGTTAAATCTAGGACGGAATCAAAATAACTTATACTAAGGACAGGAGGGAGTAATAAGTTTATCTAGTGCTGAAGTTGGTGCACCTTTAAGAGCAGTAACAGCCGGTGCGATTAGAGTTGTCTTTGGGGGTTATCACTTAGCGGGCTGAGTTGTGGCCTTGAATATGTCAACAATGATTAACATATTAATTTGTTTGTACCAAAAAAGAAATAAACATATTAATTTGTTCATAATCAGCTAATATATTGTAATAATACATGTTGCACGATAGTGAAGGAGTAGCATATTTTATGTAACGTCTTATTATGAAAGTCATACTTTGAGATGAAAGGATCAAACAAATGTGACCACCTGGAAAAAATAAAAATAAAAATTGTTTAGTACATTCCGAGAACAGCTTGGGTGCGTTGAATAATTGAATGCAAGAGCTGATTATAATTTCTAAGTTTCTGACCCAGTAAACACCTAACCTCTCACTGTCACAATTAATAATGCGTTCATCATTATTGATCAAGTTGCACAAGGAAGCTGATGTCCACAAACATAGATGACAGTTGACAGATATTAAAGCAGAGATAAGGTTCCAGTTTCATTTTTTGTTCCCCCCATCATTTCCTGATTCTGTTGAAGAAATCATGTGTGTGATCATGGAGCGAGCGTTGAAAAAGTATCAGATTTGTGTTGACCCAGCACTGCAAATCTTGAAACGAATGCTATCCCAATCTCCTCCTCACTTAAGGAATTCCATCAGGCTCATGATTGTGGAGTTGAATTTCTTCAAAATGTTCTGTTGGGGCGTGGGTTTTTCAGAAGAACTTTTGGAAGCTGATTGGATGTTGCGGTTCACTTTTATGGCGCAAAAGTTTAGGCGAACGGGCCAGGATTTGAGGATGCAATTTGAAGATGCATCGGAAGGAGAAAAGATCTCAAACTGGGAGCGGATGAAGAGTTGTTTAGAGACAATAATTAAGAATCTGAAGCTACAAGCCAGAGAGATCTGCATCCTTCACGTGCATTCAAAAGTGAGTGCTAGCTCTTACCAGCTCCAGGGCTGGTTGCCTTATGAGTATGGACGTGAGACCAGTGATTTCATAAGGTTGATCCAAATGAATCTTTGTACTCTTGTCTCAAATATTCATCTGATTGCTCCCGAACTGGAGCCACAGACTGTGAAGCAACGAATCGGCTTCATTCAACGGAAACTCGAGCTTTTTGCAGAGTTTGTTTCTCTTCTAAATTTGTGGCGTCATAGATACATGGGAACAGACAAACTCATATATCACATTCAGAATTGGGCAAGTCTCATCTCAAGTCTCGCGTGCCTGTATTGGATTGATGGAACAGATTTGGTCAGTCTAACATCCACCACGGTGAATATGCTTTCTGATTTGATGAAGAAAATTATGTCCTATAATCCAGGTTCAACAGCCTTGTTCCTTGATGTGTTTAAGGCTACCAAGTATCATAAATTTCGAGGTAAATGGTGTCCTACACTCCTTCCAAGTTATGTTGATTTTCTTCTTGAACATTTGGTCATACAAAATGTGGATTATGATATTGAACTTCTTCGCGAGGGGTTGTTGTTCTTGTTGTCATTTGTTATGGATTCACCGACTGGGGGATCGAAAGAAACAAAATTGATATTGGCTGAAATTTATGCTATTGTTACTGAACTGCAATCTGTCGAATGCATTCCCGAGACTAATATGTTACCTAATTTCCTTCATATGATTGATGGAGTCAAGGCTAAAGTGAAAGAATTGTACTTTGTTACTCCTTTTTCATCACAATTCAATTTTCCCTCAAGTAATGCATTAGGATTTCTGGATTCCCTCTTAGAAACACTACACTGCATACTTGAAGGGAGAGTGCATTTGATTCCTTCAATAAAGAATCATGTTGTAGGAATACATGAAGGGCTGGCATCACTGAAGTCATTTCTCGAACATGACTTGGAATCAAAATATGAGGACAACAAACTCAAAGATTTGCTTATGCAAATCAGTAATGTCATACACTATGCATCATATGTCACAAAACTGTGCCCAACCATGAGTTTCTCTGTTTGGTTTGGTATCACGTGCCTACCTGATGTCGTGCATCACATTGAGCTTGTGAGAAGTGAGGTGAAAGAGATAGAAGATGACCTTCGCATGTGTAGCCACGAAAAACTCATTACTGAGATGGAGTCTAGTAATGCTATGTTACCACAAGTAAAAACTTCAAACCATGAAGGAGTTTTATTGGTTTTAAGGAGGATGTTGAATCAATATCAAATAATCTTCTTCGAGGACAAAAGGATCTCACAATTATTTCGATTTCTGGAATGCCTGGTCAAGGCAAGACGACCTTGGCAAGAAGAATTTATGATGATCCTTCAATCCAGGATCATTTCCCCAGAGTTGCATGGTGTTATGTCTCCAAAGAATGTGAACTAATAAGTTTATTGGCCAACATCTTATTGGAGGATAACGACAACAAGGATCATGGCAACACGGACATCCACGATTTAGGCAATCGTGTGAGGAGAAGTTTCAAGGGAACAAGATATTTCATTGTTTTGGATGACATTTGGGATGTTGATGCATGGGGCCTGGTGCAATCTTTTTTTCCCGATGATAAAAATGGAAGTCGAATCTTGTTTACCAGTCGAAATGACAACCTTGCTTCTCAATGTAAACAGAATTCAATTTGTCATCCCCTTCGATTATTTTCTGATGACGAAAGTTGGGAGTTGATGAAAGGTAAGTTTTCTTATGATGGTTTACCTCCAGAACTTTTAGAGGTCGGAAAACAAATAGCAGTTTATTGCCAAGGGGTGCCTTTGGCAGTTGTTCTAATTGCCTCTGTTCTTAACAGGACAACAAAAGAATTGGATTCGTGGATGGAAGTAAAAGAAAACTTGAAGTCGCACCTAAAAAGTGAAGGGTGCATGCACATTGTAGAGTTAAGTTACAAGTATTTGCCAAATCATTTGAAACCATGTTTTATTTATATTGGAGTAGCATTTCAAAGGGGTGAAGGCATTTATGCTGGCAAGTTGATAAACCTTTGGACAGTTGAAGGATTTGTTAAGGGAAATGAGACATCTCCCTCGGAACATGTGGGAAGAGAGTGCCTGGATTACCTAGTTTCACAGAATTTGATTGTTGTCACTCAAAGAGGTTCAACCGGGAAGGTAAAGCGTTGTACTGTTCATGATCTCATATATGACTTGTGTCTTCAGAAAGCCACGGAACATAATCTCTTACAAATGGTTTGCTATAAGACCGTTCTAAATCATTCTTATCATCCTCATGCTCAAAAGTACAACTTTCAGCACCATTGGCTTCGCATTCATGACAACCATCCGGAAGCTTTTGTTGACCCAGCAAATGATTCTGCCCGAATGAAATTACCCTCAAGTTCGGTTCACTCTCTATTGTGGTCTTTTTTTGCTGGATTATCAATCCGGTACAAATTCTGGTCTTCTTTTCTTAACAACTTTGGATTACTTACAGTGTTGGATATGATGGATGTGAATCTGCGTAGCTCTAAGTTTCCTCAAGTAATATTGTACAATATTCATCTGAGATACCTAGCACTACGTGGCGCTTTTTCTTGTGTTCCACCATCAATAACTAGTTTGTGGAGACTGGAAATGCTCCTTTTATTTCCAGTAAGATGTCATGTGTTGTTACCAGCATCATTATGGAAGATGAAAAGTTTAAGCTATGTTCGTATTAGGAATTGTTATTTTAGATTGGATGCTTATGTGCAAGTTGTGTCTTCAAAGGTAGAAACAAGTAAGATAGAGACACTTAACGGAATAATTCTTCCTTGTGATGATGATGATAAGGCGCAAGAGTTCTTAAGAAGCTTATCAAGGCTTAGGAAGTTGTATTGCTCATATGATAAAAGTTTCCAACCTAAGTGGTTATCAATGTTTGAATCTTTGCAGAAACTGGAGAGCTTGACAATTGATGAGGTGATCCCTAAACGGTTTTTATTTCCGAAGCAAGGTTGGAGAAATCTAGAGTTAAAATTTCCAGATACTCTCAAGAAGTTATGTCTCTGGCATTTAGGACTACCTTGGAAGGCCATGTCAACAATTGGGAAGCTGCCTAATCTCCAGGTGCTCAAATTATATTATAATGCATGCAAGGGGGCTACCTGGGATTTGGAAGAGGGGAATTTCTCGCAACTCAAGTGTCTGAGTTTATATCGGGTTGATGTTGAGCAAATAAATGACTCTGACTGCGACGATCAACCATTTCCTTGTCTCGAGAAGCTTTATGTGTACTTTTGTACGAGACTTGAGGAGGTTCCACCCAGTTTTGGAGCCATTAATACCTTGAAAATAATTCATCTCATTTCATCTCCCCAAGCCTCAGATTCAGTTAAGGCAATCGTGGAACAACAGAAAGAATGGGAAAATGACGTTCTCTCAGTTGTCTTAGATCATGGCGTCAAGGATTATTATTATAGAGGTGAAAGGGATCATTCAATTGATGAAGAAGATGACAGGGATGATGAACAATTATGATCATGATGAGAATGAATGACCAAGAACATGCACATTACGAAGTGGACTTAGGTAATTCCCTTTTCTTACTCCCACTGTCCCATAATGCTGTTGAAGATGATTTGAAGTTTAAGTTTGACAGATTAATATCAAGAAAATGTATTTATTGGTTCTTGTTACTGCTTTACACTCCCTTTCATTTTTAGCTTTGGTTACATTCATGTACATAATCCATCCCCATGTTCATGTCTTCGTCGCTAATGATTGAGAAGCATTAGTTGGATGTCAGTTACAGGATTGGTCATTTTTCTAAAAGATCGTAGTTGATGTCCCACTTATTTCTTCTAGAAGATCATATGGTGTTTACAAAGCTTATAATTTTCAAGATAGATAGAATTTAATTTTCATTAGTATCTTTTGTAACTATGAATACATATCCAAAAGATTGGAATGGAACTCGGGTGTTTTGGTATGAGATTCGAACTCCCATTGCTCCTTGTCTCATTTATCTTTTACTTCCACCTGGGATCACTTCACCTCATATTTGAATGATCTCTTGGTGTTAATAAGTCTGCCTCAGCAAAGATTTTTGGTACTGATTGTTTCTTTTCATCATTTTGTGGAGTCAAATGTGCTGATAAATTGACAGAGTTCTCGTTTGACGAAAACATAAGAAATTTACCTGAAGTATACTGCAATTTTGTTGCATCCCTTGCTGAAGTTTACAGCGCATAGAAAGGACTATGGTAAAAACATGTAGTTTATTTATTGTCTGAACTTTTGTTTACTGTTTGTTATTTTTGGAGTGAGTCTTCAGGAGTCTTTCTGTTTTCAAGTACTTTGTGGCATTGTTTCTAGTTGGCAATTTGAACAAATCCTTCCTTTGCTACCTAGAGTCTATGGTGCATTTGAAGCGAGAGGGTGGCTTCAAGAACTTGGTTCAGGTTTCGTTTGAATGAATATGCCTGTCCTTAACTTTCTGTGAAAAATCTTTTCATTCTGCTTTATATAGGCAATTGCCAGGAAAATCGTGAACTGATGATACTATATAACCTACAAATGGTGGATATCTGAAGTGTTGGTAATGGAGTGGAAATTATATCATTATCTGTTCAATATTCAGATGTTTTTGTTGAAGATAGAATTACAGTGTCAGATATGAACTCATAACTCCTATGAAACATTCGGTTTCGATTTCCTCGCAAGTCAATGCTTGAATAATTAATACAAGAAGGTTTATGTATCTGTTGCCAACCTTGCTGTTTAAATTAACCTCTTTCTATTATTTAGGTGAGGCAGAATTATCTACATGGTGCTGGTCTATAATGCATAAATGCTGATAACACAGGCATCGTCGCATCTGGTGCATCTCTAAGTATCTTGAGATTGTGACGACACTTGCAGAAAGTAAAGTCGCATTTGTTCTGAGACCCCCTCCAAGCGAAGCTCCACAGCGTCGTTATCAGTTTCACCGTTTCACAAATAGCAGCAGTATCCCAAAAATATCTAGTCAGTACTCATTGATCTTCTACCCTACTCCACCTTAGAAATTAGGTCCTGTATGAGTGTATGTGACGAAGCGTGGATTCGCATCGCCGGTTTAACAGTGGAACTCCGGTTAGGGTTTCCTACAAAACAAAGTCTCGGGGGTCTCCCGAGGGTAGACACTCTGATGCTTAAGTCAATAAAGGGTTGCCGGAACATTTAGGTATGTAGTGTGTAAAGCTGTAGATTGCGTACCTGTACTGAGATTGATCAACCCTATTTATAGGCATAAGAATTCCCGGGAAGTCTCCGAATCCTATTAGGTTTCTACAACCTAAACCGCCCTAAGAGAGTCGATTGGACTCCTTTCCCAGTTAATGGGCCGGTCCAGTCTCGGTGATGGATATGGACTCGTCAAGTGCCCCTGTCAAGTGTTAGTTATAGAAGACAAATAACGCTTGACACAAAGTAAGTGTTACCTAGAACAAGCCCGAGAGTGGAAGGCTAATCTCGTTCAGCTAGTTGTCGAGCAATGTGTCAAGTGACCTCGACTCAAACACATAATTCTCGACCTTGTAAGCCTGGGGGATAATCAGCGGGTTAAGTCCTGACCCGGGAAGGTGATTTCATAGTCCCGCCCAAATTTTTAACCGTGCGTTCTTAGTGGGCACGGTCCCCAAACAGCGGTTTTACCATCATTACTCCCTTGAAACTCGCCCTAACTGCCATATCGTGGGCTGTAATTAGGGAGACGTGGGAGAATAATTTTTATTTTTAAGAAGAAGACTCCACCGCTCCTCTTTCATTTTGTCTCTCTGCAAAAATCCAAAGTGCCTCCCCTTGTCAGAGTTCTCTGACCATCCTTGCCGGAATATTCATAGCCCTCCCCAATACACTGCCCCAGTGACGTAACCACTAGGAGACTTGCTACCAGGGATTCAGAAGAACACTGGGAAGCTACAACTTGAAGGGCGAGTGGTCATCCCCTCCTCCAATAGTAAGTTTTCAGATCTGACCATCCCGGTTTCATTCAAAGTCTTTTTCTTTTCGAATCGCAGTCAGGGTAGATTTGTAACGGAACCATGGTTAGAGATTCTGAGGGAAAAACCGTTGATGATTTTACTTCCACCATACATTCTGTTGATAAGGTAGAAAACATTAGAACAAGGTATGACCTTTCTTTAGATCTAGAGGCTAGAGTCCCGTTAGAAAATGAGAGAGCTAATTTTCCTCTTGAGGGAAGAATTACTGTGTATGACCGATTTATGCATCTAGGGCTTAGATTCCCCCTCTTCCCTCTGTTTGAGGAGATTGTGCAGCACTACAAGACTCCCCTTGCTCATTTCACCCCAAACCAAATAACTTTTGTTCTGGGATTCACAAAAGTATGCCAACATGTAAAAGTGAAACCTCGGTTGATACTGTGAACGTATTTCTTCCAAGTAGTTGTTGCTTCGACCTCTTTCCAAGATTGGTACATTGTGAAGAGATGCCTTAGATCCGGCGTTAAAATAATGGTCGAGGCGTATGGCGGCTCTCCTGAATGGAAGCCTGACTTCTTGTTTGTAAGGGCGTCCAAGAACTATTGCCTGCCATGGAACCATCGAGAAATGGAGGGTCTTAGAGCGATAAAGGATGAGTGGACCCAAGAAGACGATAAGTGCATCGAGGAGGTTGATGCAGATGTGGAGAAAATCTTGAAATATTCTAAAGTCGTTAAATGGAACGACGTACAATATTACATACCCCCTGTATCTACCGAGGAGAATGACGATGCGAATGCTAATATCGAGATCTCAACCAGAATTTCTCTCGAAACTCCTGTTGGAGAAAACAAAGGTACTAATCATTTGCTTCTCTCTTGTCTGTTCTTAGGTCATGTCTTCAAGCAACGCTGGTTCTCGATTGTTTGGTGACGCAGATTCCTTTACTATTGTGAATTTAGATGAGGATGTTTCCATCACTGCAATCCCTGCGCAGAAGAAAAAGAAGAAGAGGATCATGAAGGCTGGTGATAGAGCGAAATCCAAGAAGGCCAGAACGGATGCGCCTTTGAAAGAAACTGCAGGTATAAGACTCCCCTTGCTAGTTTCACCCCAAACCTAATAACTTTTGTTCTGGGATTTGCAAAAGTATGCCAACATGTAAAAGTGAAACCTCGGTTGATACTGTGGAGGTATTTCTTCCAAGTAGTTGTTGCTTCGACCTCTTTCCAAGATTGGTACATTGTTTCGACCTATTTCCAAGTAGTTCTCCGGCGGACATTGCCTCGTTTCCTAGCGACGTGCCTGCCATCCTTGCCAAGGATCCAAGCAAAGAGGATTCCATACCCGATGTACCAGATGATTACATGGGTATTGAGCTCGAGGATGCTGATGAAGCCACCGAGGAGGATGTTGCCGACACTAGCCATTCCGGAGTGCAGAGAAATGTTGAGGACGCATCTCAGAACCCCTCCAAGGATCACCCTCCTGGCAGTGATGCTGTATGAATCCTGCCTTTTGTAATAGCTGCTAGGCTTGTTGAACTACTATTTTTGTAACAAACTGATTACTCCATTTTTTTTTTGTGCTTATACAAGCATCACCCTTTTTGTTTTTTCCTGGTTTGATGCGAACATCTTACACTCCTATTTTGAAGTAGCATAGTTGGCCCACCCACCGTGTTCACCTCATGGTTCTATCGGAGGAACAATCGAGTGAGTACCCGTTGTACTCCATGATCAGAGGAATTTTAAGAGGTCGTGCCGACGTACATAGTATCGAGACAGTGGCAAACCTAGAGAATGACCTTCTCGACGCGATGAGAACACACAATGTGAAAGTTAATCAACATCTGATAAATGAGATTAAAGAACTTCATGAGGGGATGAAGCGTCGGGAAGTTCAAAGTTTGAAAGACTACGGTGATTCACTGACTTTCGAGGCCGAGATCCATGATGAGCTGGTCATCTTAAAGAAGGAGAATGCTCGGTTGAGGGAAAGACAACAAATTACCGTGTCCCCTTGGTTCCTTGAGAAACATCAAGTGCTAGCTCGAGTTCAACACATGATTATGACCAGAATTCACCGCTTCATTGCAGCCATGGACATATTGAAAGGGAAAGCTCGTGAGATCGAGCTTCTTACGGATTACATTGCCAAACTGCAAAATCTGTTATTAGATAACAACATTGATTTCGAGGTTTTTGAGCACCCAGAGGAAACGGTGGATCCTCGAACTCGAAGTTCTCAAGAAGAGTTATTAATGAGGGTGCATGCCCAAGATCAAGAGATCGTGGATCTTAAGGACAAGTTTAATCAATGCGTAAATCTCCTTAGCCTGCATGGGTTTAAGGGGATTATTCATCCTTCTCCTGATAATCCTATCAGGGAAGTCCTTGTAATAGTGTAGAGAAAATATGTGCATAAGCTCGCACAGTAGTGTGGAGAAAATTAATGGATTATTTTGAAAGGACTCGAGTATCAGTTTATATGGCGCTGTTTGGGCCGGATGTAAAGTACACGGCTCTATCAAGGGAATTATGTACGAATTCCCCGATTTGATACTGCGTTTTGCAGCGTGTGCGAGGAGAATTCCTCGGCTTTGTGTCCGGATGTTCAATACACGGCTCTTTTACGAGGATGGCCCTGAAGAGGGAGTCCATCTCGATGACTAGTCATAAATAGGATGTCGACAATGAAAAAAATCTGTAATGTCTTTTATTGAATAATTACCCGATGACCCGGGTTAGCATTACATATGAGAGAATAAAACTGACGAAGTAAATAAAGCAACTAAAATACACAATGGGCAAATAGCAAGCAAAGATTTAAACATAGAACCTGCGGAGGTTCTAAATATTCCACCATCGAGGGAGAATAGTCCCGCTATCATCCAAGGTTTGTAAGCAGTAGTTACCTACGGGGGAAGCCTGGATAACCTTGTAGGGCCCTTCTCAATTTGCTGTGAGTTTTCCAGGAGTTTCTGCTCGACTGGCTTCATTTTTTCTTAGCACGAGATCACCTACCACGAGATCTGTGGCCTTCACCTTCTTGTTATAGTGTCTTCGCAGAATCTCTTTATATTTTGCTTCTCGAATTCTGACTGCATCTCGCCGTTCGTCAAGCAGGTCGAGGTTCAGCCTGATGTCATCATCGTTAGTGCTCTCGACAAAGTTTATTGTTCGAGGGCTCAATAAGCCTATTTCAACCGGGAGGACGGCATCCATGCCGTAGACTAAGCTATATGGTGTTTCATCTATCGAGGAATGTGCAGTAGTACGGTAGGACCATAGGACGTGAGGAAGCTCGTCGGCCCATGCTCCTTTTGCGTCATACAACCTGGTTTTGATCCCATTTATGATGGTTCTGTTGATGGATTCCGTTTGACCATTAGCTTGAGGATGAGCCACGCTTGAAAAGCGATGCTCGATTTGCATTTCCTCGCACCATGAATTGAAAGGATTACTCTCGTATTGGATTCCATTGTCAGAGACGACCACCTTTGGGATTCCAAAACAGCATACAATGTTTTGCCAGAAAAAATCCAAGACCTTCCTTCCTGTTATCGAGGCTAGCGGTTTAGCTTCTACCCATTTAGTGAAGTAATCTACTGCTACGATTACCCATCTTACTCCTCCTGCCCCTTCTGGATGGAAAGGGCCGATGATGTCAGTGCCCCATTGGTAGAATGGCCAAGGGCTTTGGATGGTGACCATCTCGTGCTGCGGTTGTCGAGTGATGGGAGAGAAGCGTTGACATTTATCGCATTTCTGTACAAACTGGTATGCGTCCTTGAAGATTGTTGGCCAGAAATACCCTGCCCGCAAGACCTTCTTGGCGAGTGCTCTTGCCCCCATATGGGCTCCACACGATCCCTCGTATATTTCTTCGAGTACATAAGCTGCTTGATTTGGGCCAATGCATCTTAGCATGGGTAGCAGGTACCCATGCTTGTATAGGATGCCGTCTTGCAATGTGTATTTAACTGCCTTCAACTGTAGGGCTCTGGCTTCTGCTCTTCCGCTTGGTAATGTGCCGTCTGTAAGGTATTGGATGAACGGGGTCATCTAAGTGTTTTCATCCTCAGCGATAGTCATTACGGGGATTTTCTGGATTCTAGGAGTGGGGAGAATCTCGACCCACACTTTGTGACTGAGGTGTGCAAAATTCGAGGAGGCCAACTAACTGAGGGCGTCGGCCCTTTTATTTCTGGACCGGACTATGTGAGATGCAGTGCATTCTTCGAACTTGTCCTTGATTTTGAGGACTTTCTCGAGATAGCGCTTGAGTTGCTCATCGTTTGCTGTATATTCACCCAATATTTGCTTCACCACTACCTGAGAATCACTAAAAACTTGAATTTTGCGGACCCCGAGCTTTAGTACCATGTTCAGTCCTACTATCAATGCTTCGTACTCTGCCACGTTGTTGGTGACTGAGAATCCGAACCTTAGTGCATATGTATATTCCGCGTCATATTCCCTCATGCTTTTGATATTGGGATCAGCTGAAGGTTTGGATAATATGATACCGGCTCCTCGCCCTTCATCACAGCGAGAGCCGTCGACTGCCCATTTCATCATCCTGCCGGAGGCCTCTGGCTTGAGTAGGACTTGTTGAATGGGTTGTTCTGTCAAAACCATGATGGGGTGTGCTTGAAAGTATGGGCGCAAGCGTCGGGCGGCTAAGACCAGGCTGAGGATGAGTCTTTCCATGGGTGTATCAGGTTTCTGCTCCTTGCAAGACATCACTGACGAAGTAGACGGGAATTTCTCTGCCATCTTTGCTTTGCACGAGCATGGCTGAGATGGCTTTCTCTCGAGCTGCCAGATAAATATATAAGGTTTCTCCCGGTTCTGACTTAGCTAAAGTGAGCAACTACTTAAGGTGTTCCTTCAGATCCTAGAAAGTTTCTGGCATTCTTCATTCCATTTAAATTTCTGCCTTTGAGGAGGTTATGGAAGAATGGAAGGCTTCACTCTGCGGCTCGAGAGAGAAATCTGTTTAGAGCTGCCAAGGAGCCCGTGAGTTTTTGAACTTCTTTGACGGTTTTTGGCGCTTCCATGGCCTCAATTTTTGCCGGATCAATGCTGATTCCATCCTTGGAAACTTGGTATCCTAGGAATTTTCCTGACCCAACACAGAAAGTACATTTCTTAGGGTTTAGCTTCATGTTAATTTTGCGTAAGATCGTGAAGATCTCTCGCATGTTTGCAGCTACTTGCTCGTCTTTGTTTGTCTTTATCACCATTTCATCCACGTAGATCTCGGTGTTCCGGCCGATTTGGTCATGAAAGGTTATATTCACGAGACGCTGGTACGTTGCCCCTGCATTTTTTAGTCTAAAGGGCATCTTGTCATAACAATAAACCCCAATCTCGATGATATAAGCTGCCTTCTCTGCATCTTCTCGTGCCATGAGGATCGGATGATATCTGACGAGTCATAAATTAACCCTAGGCCTATTGGGCCTAGGATTAGATTACTTGGAGATTAAGCTACTACCTAAACCTACTCCGCTAGGGTTTAAGGAAACAAGTAACACCACCTCTATATAAAGAGGTGGTGCCGCTCTCATAATTCATATCTTCTACCTATCTTCTACATCTTCTACACACGATACACATCCTTCTCTCTCTACTCTCTTTATTCTCTTATTGACTTAAGCATCAGAGCGTCTACCCTCGGGAGACACCCGAGGCTCTATCTTGCAGGTTTTAGGCCATCTGCCATTGCCTAGGTCATCATCGTCGCCCGTCCTAAGCACCGTACAAATTCATGCTTCGTCAAGTAGCACGCCCGGTGGGACCGATTTGTTTGGTCCTTACAACTAAATAAATTTCTTGAAGCGAAGTTGGAATTTTTTGGTGCTTTACGCTGCGCAACATCAATCGTAATGGCGCAAGAAAAACAACAAACCCCTGCTACTGCCGCTGAAAAAGACAAGCAGGTAACTCCATCAGGGCCATCCTCTAACAGGCCATCTGGTGGTTTGTTTGATCAAAACCTTATGGAGGCCTTTTTCAAATTTCAACCCACCTTGTTCAACAAGTTCCAAGATTTTGTGAAGAGTTTTCACGAATTCGACAGCAACCAGCGACAGCACTTGGTCGACAATTTGGGTACTTTTTCGAAAGAGGACAACGCTAGGGGCACCTCTCGAGGACATCACCTTGTAACTCGAGAAGAAACTCGTCCCCCTCGAGTCAATGTACCACCGCCCCGAGTACATTCAACCATCGAGGAGCAATTGCAGAAGGTTCTCGGATCTGAAGGAGGGGAGGAGGAAGATGACAGTCCGTTCATCCAACGTATCCAAGAAACACCTATGCCCGGGAAGTTTGAACTTCCGGATTTGAAGGCTTATGGACGAGATACCGATCCTATGGTATTCTTGCAGATTTATAAGAATGCAATGAGATTGAGGAATGCTCCTAATGATTTCATGTGCAAGGCGTTCCCTATCTATCTCATGGGACAAGCACAACTTCCGAGGAGTATCCGGTCATTTTATGAGTTAGGAACCTTATTCCACACAAGGTTCTTCCAAGGGAAGAAGATTCGTAAGACAATTACAGAGTGGATGTCCCTCAAGCAAGATCGAGAAGAGTCTATTAGAGCGTATTATTGCCGCGTCACCAAGGAACAGCTTCAAGTAGAAGGAATATCTGAGAAGACAATCATTGCAACCTTCACCAATGGCCTTTACCCTTATGGGGCACCCGCGACTTTGAGACAAAAGTTAACAAAGGAGCCACCACATACCTTGTAACAACTCTTTTCAGTCGTTGAAACTGAAGTTTGAGCAGAGGAGGATCTTCGTTGAGCAAGAGACACTGAATATTCGCGAGAAGCCCATCCTCGAGAACAGAGCTAAAGGTTCGGGGGCAGAGTATGGCTGAGACCAAAACAAGGGGCATGATCAAAACAAGGGGCATGATCTAGACAAGGGGCACGATTGAGAAAAGTGCAAGTTCAGCAGTACAGAGTACACGCCTTTAACTCGTTCTAGAACAGAGTTATTACAAATCCATAAGAACGAGCTGGAGGCCCCACCACCAATGCTTGCTCCCCCTTATAGACAATCACAACATTTATGGTGCGAATTTCATAAGATCACGGACATAAGATGGAAGACTGCAGTGCTCTAAAGAATCAAATCGAAGAAGGACTTAAGAGAGGGAAATTCCAAGAGTATTTACAACCTACCAGCTCTCAAGAAGACCACGGTTGAGAAGAACCTCGAATTCATATCAAGTAAAGCAGTTCTTGGTATCAAATAAGGTTAATTATTATTAGCAGTAAGAGACAAACTCCATATTTATATTTTTGCATTTAAAATATTTTATGTCAATGATTTTGGTGATTATCTTGTCATTGAGAATTTACTATTACTATTAACTTCATCCTGAGATTGGCCATTTCACGGATCCGAATACTCGCGGTCCACTGCGCAAACAAGGATAAATACCCGTGGTCCGCCGCGCAACCAAGGAACTCTCTAACACAAAGACCTTCTCGAGGCATTCTATCTCTCTTTATCTTATATAGGTGACACCCGAGAACGAAAGAGTTCGAGAACTGGGGAAAACACTACGAAACTCGAGGAAACATTAACACTCGTAGAAACCTATAGAAACCTATATTCCTCTCATCAAGTCTCGGGAATATGGCTTGCTAGGGGCACTTGATGAGTCATAAATTAACCCTAGGCCTATTGGGCTTAGGATTAGATTAATTGGAGATTAAGCCACCGCCTAAACCTATTTCACTAGAGTTTCAGGAAACATGTAACACCACCTCTATATAAAGAGGTGGTGCCTCTCTCATAATTCATATCTTCTACCTATCTTCTACATCTTCTACACACGATACACATCCTTCTATCTCTACTCTCTTTATTCTTTTATTGACTTAAGCATCGGAGCATCTACCCTCGGGAGACACCCGAGGCTCTGTCTTGCAGGTTTTAGGCCATCCGCCGTTGCCTAGGTCATCATCACCGCCCGTCTTAAGCACCGTACAAATCCATGCTTCGTCAATATCCCTTGTATGCGTTGAGAAAACTGAGGATTATGTACCCGGTGATACCCTCTACCATCTGATCTGGGACTACATCGCTATCTGTGAATACGATGGCCTCTGTCCCCTTGAACCTCTTGTGGCTAGGTTCCTTCGAGGAGTCTTGCTGACGGTCCGCAACGAATTCTTCATGGCCGTGGTGGATAAGACTTCGAGGGGAGCTCCGTAAATAGCCCCTACCTGGTGAGCGATCTGCTTCATCAGATCTGCTGGGGGGAGTTGCTGGAGTGGCTGCGGTGTTGCTTTAGTAATTTGGTGAGGTTGTTGTTGGGTATTGACTCTCGGTTGCCAACTGTTCCCTCGGCCATCTACCCGCGGTGGGCCTTTGAAGTTTCTTTTAGGGTAATTTTGTAATTGGGGTTTGTTATTCTTCTGCCGAGATGCTCCTTGTACGTACTGCTGAAACTTGCCAGACTTAACCCCGTTCTCGATTTTCCTCTTAAATTCTCGACAATCCTCCGTGTCATGGCCGTGATCCTTGTGATATTCACAATATTGTTCTGTTGACCTATTTGGATTAGGTGCCAAAGGTTTCGGGACTGGTAACTCGTCCTTATGGATCTGGAGGATTTCTCATCGCGGCTTGGTTAGGGGTGTTAATTGCCTATCCATTTTGGGCAGCGCCGGTTTGTTCTCCATGGAAACTTTTGATTTGTCTCTTAGTCCTACCGATGCAAAAGATTCCTGGGATCTTTTGAGTGTGTGCTCTCGTTGTATGTGGTTCTTGACAATTGCCCACATCTCCTGGGCGTTCTTGGGGGGCTTTGTCGAGAGTTTGACTCGCAACATTGAGGATTTTCCAAAGGGGTTGAGGCCTTGAATGAATCCATTGCGAACATCTCGATCATCAATTTTGTCGACCTGCAAGGTTTCTTGTATGAATTGTCTATGGAAGTCGGTGAGACTCTCATGTTGCCTTGTCTGATTGAGGAGAGGTCAATAGACATTCGCGATATTCATTTACTCTGAAAGAATCGGGTAGCTAGTTTGACGGACAGATCCTCAAAGCTAATTATACTCCCTTTTGGTAATTGCCCAAACCATCGCTGTGCTAGACCCTGCCAAGTATGAAGGTAGCGCTTTGGCCATGAAATTCATAGTTGCGTTTCAAATTCTCATAACCTGGACATATCCTTGCAGCCATTGGGAGACATCGGTGTCTCCTGAATACGGTTTAAATTCCTTAGGGAAGTCAAAGTCTTGGGGCTTAGGTTCATCTCGAATGTCGGGGATGAAGGGACTTCGATCTAACCCTATCCCGATGATCTTCCTCATTTCTTCTCGGATCAAGACGTTCTGATCTCTTGCTCCCTGTTGATCCCCACGGACGTATGGCGGATTTTCTCTATGCCTGTTGTATTGCTGATGTCTGGGAGGTGAGTACTGAGGACGGTGATGGTATCCTCGGTTATAATTACCTCGATGTTATTGTAACCTTGGTGTGGTTCGTGGCCAAGTTTATATTCATCTCTTCGAGGACTTCTTCGATTCCAATTAGGTCCTAGGCAATCGTGCACGTTACTTCTCCTTGGAAGATTCCATTCTCCTTCTTCTATGACCTCGATACTTGGAGAACCGTGATACTCTCGAGCACTTTTACGTTGGTATGTCGCGTCAAATTCTTCAAGGGCCGTTTCGAATGCTGGGTATTTTCTCTGAAAGCGTTCTAGAATACGGTGCCCCGAGTGGCGTTTGAGTGATCTTCGTGGAGGTCTTCATACCCCTCGACTTCTTGGTAATCCTTGTTTTCTTGGACCTTCTGCTTCCCCCGCTTCTTCTCGAGACGGGCTAGGGTTCTGTGAGCTTCTTTCTCGTTGATCAAATCACCCAACTCCTGTTCTGTGGGATCAGGTTTTCCAAGGAGACAACGCCGCTTGATTTCTTCGAGGACGTATCTTCGCATCCTTTGTTGTTGATCGCTATCATCTCTTAGCTTCTTCAGTTCAACCTCGATCTTGGCTAGTTTCTGGTCCTCCAAACGCTTTTTGATAGCAGGGGTATTTTGAGGAGAAGGTATGTCCTCCTTTTCGGGTGGATGATTGGCCTTGTCTTGCTTCTTTGGATCTGGCTGAGAAGAACCAAGGATCAGGCGCTCTTTTGTTGGTTCTTTTTCAGGTTCACGGCCCTGGCTTTTTCCTCCTTTCTTCCTTTCTTGTCTGCGTTAGAATTCTGCCAGGGTGGTATTGTCTCCCGGACTATGTCGCCTGTCGGAAGATGCTGTGCTACTAGAGTCTTTTTCAACTCTAACCATTATGCTCGTTGTTCCTACAACCCTAGATATTACTGGAAGATGTTAAGAAAAACCTGAGAAGGTTTTTGTGACACAAACCCTAGTTTTCGGGTCTCACTGGGCGTGCCACTTGACGAAGCGTGGATTCGCGCCGCCGATTTAACAGTGAAACTCCGGCTAGGGTTTCCTGCAAAACAAAGCCTCGGAGGGTCTCCCCAGGGTAGACACTCCGATGTTTAAGTCAATAAAGTGTTGCCGGAACGTTTAGGTATGTAGTGTGTTAAGCTGTAGATTGCGTACCTGTACTGAGATATGATCAACCCTATTTATAGGCATAAGAATCCAGTGGAAGTCTCCGAATCCTATTAGGTTTATACAACCTAAACCTCTCTAAGAGAGTCGGTTGGACTCCTTTCCCGGTTAATGGGCCGGTCCAGTCTCGGTGATGGATATGGACTCGTCAGTATAGATAGCAATTTATTTTGTATTTTGCATTTTGTTTTGTTCTTTTCAAATTTTGGGCAAGTAAAAGGTTGTATAAAATGTGAAATGGAATGCAGGCATACAGGCTGTACACTTGGGAGCTGGTAAAACTGGTTTATATGGAATTCTTACAAAATCCTGCATTTCCAGCTGATGTCATATGCTGCGCTCAAGTGGAAACCACTCTTATGAGAGTACCATTGGTCAATCTGGTGAAGAAAATGCTCAGTTTATATGGAATTCTTACAAAATCCTGCATTTCCAACTTTGAGGAAATTATGCTAGCATTTTCCTCAGAATGCTCTCATGGGGGCATCTGGTAAGCAAGCAGAAAAAGCATATCAGCTCTTGCTGGTCACTCAACTCGGATCAACGATTTCAACAGAGGTTCTTACAGTGCTTTCCAGCAGCAGAATCATGGGTGAGCATTGTGAAGTCATTCTTTATGTTTTCCTTAAACCATACAAGAGACAAGGGAGCACTTTAGAAACAGAGGAATGAAACCGGTATGTTTTCCTTTTGCATTCATCATCAGTTGTGATGTGGTTGACCATGTTCTTATAGCTTTGCATTTGATCTATACATTTAGTTCTTCAAAACAGATAATCAGTTTGTCAAGTTCTAAAATGAGTGCACTTACGAGATAATAATGTCGATTCCTTTCCCTTCATATGCACAAGCATTGTGTTCAATTTAATGTCCATCATTTGGTAGTATTAGACCAAAGTTGATTAGTTCAGTTCCCAAAAACCTCTCCACCAAAGAACCCTTGATGTATAATTGGGAGTTGCAATTGAGTCGTGTTTCGGATTGTGAGTTGGATTTTATTAAAAGGGTATCTACAATTTACTTAGTCTATCCTAATTGTATGGCAATGCATGGCATATCATATTTAGATCTTGAAAAGTGGTTCATTAGATCATCATATCAATCAGTTCTTGTTGAAGATTTCAATGAATTTGTATTGTTTGAATTGCATTAGGTGCGGATGTATTTTGGTTTCGACTTTTGAGGATCCTCTGCCTTTTAAACAAGCAAGAAAGCTTCTGTGTGGTGGACAGACAAAATTGGAAAATCATTCACTAATTGAAGCAAGTAGTCAATCATTTACTCAGCTGCTGCTCTATTTCTTCCCCCTGCTCCTTGAAAGCTACTTCAATCAATCCTTTTGCAAGCATTACTGTTCCTGAGGATTGCTTACTTGTTGTAATCTGGATTCTGATTCTTGAGGCCTGCAACTCTTGCTGGCTGTTCTTTCTCACTGATTTGTCAAAGAAATCTCACTCTTTTTGTTGTGTTCTGCTTCTGCTTATGCTCCTTGACCACATTATGAAGAACCAGAGATCCATACAACTGATTAAAGCTATTGTCTCTCATCACATTATGCATAAAATTTTTTTTAAAAAAAAATACATAAATAGATAGATTATTTGGGAAATACTCCCTTCAAAAAGAACATTTTTTTTTCCATCTCGGGACGGGGAAATTCGAGCTTTTATTAGAAAAGAAAATAAAAAAAATGAAATCAATGATTTGAGGATTGACAAATAGAGTAATGTCACAAGCAACAAGGTAAGGGCAATATTAAAATGACAATGTTAACCACAAAAATATGACTATGCAATGTAAACATGATCCATGAGAACGTGTTTTATTGGGTTATAGAAACAACTTTGATAGCCAAATGGAAAAATTTTCTACTTCATCTATATATAAACTATGTATATGGGGACCCAATTATTTTCTGAATATAAAGGAATATAATTATGCTTACATATATTTTTTTCCAAAAAAAAATACTAGTTCACATTCTAATTTGAAATGTAAAATATTTTGTAATGACATGGGAATAACATTATTTTTAAATATTTATTAAAAATAAATTACATATATCTTGCAGAAGTATCCGTGGATTTGCAGCTGGATGATTTCTCTTTTTTTTTTACTGCTTGGTTAGTTATCAATCTATTGAATGTCCCATAATTTTAGCATTTCTTTATTTTTCGAAAAAAGAAAGAGAGTCAATTACTCAAAATTACCTTGAGATGCTAAAAGAAATCCATAAACTGGCCATATTTTAGTTATCTTTCTCTTTTGACAAAAAAAAAAACAGTAGGTTCTAAATTTACATCCAACGATAAAAAATCTGCTGGACTCATTTGTAAGTTTCAAAAAGTTTAGTGCCCTTTTAGAGAAGAAAGTTTTCCCGGTCTTCCCCAAATCTCAAATTTCATTTCTGCCGCCCAACAGCCAATATTCTTTCTTTCTTCCATTGAAGCAAATTTCTCAAAATTGGAAGCCATGGTTTCCAAAGTAAAACCAGCAAAATTTTATCGTAACCGTCGCAAAAGGATCAGAATAATTGGCCATACGCAAGAAATAGAAGACCCGTGCCTAAGCCCTAATTTTCCAGACGAAATCATTGTTGAAATCCTTTCAAGGCTACCCGCTAAATCCTTGGGGAAATTCAATTGCGTTTCGAAACCATGGCGTTCTTTAATCTCAGGCCAGAATTTCATCAAAGCCCATCTCTCAATAGCATCTGGAAGGGATGATCTCGGTCACCACAGTATCATATTTGATGTTATGCAAAGGAGTGGCCCCAACAAGCTGAAGCAATGTTCAGTAAGTTCATTACTGTATCCAGCCGCCGCTGCTACAACCAGAAATACCACCGCCAATGCCACTATTCAGCTATCTGACATCAATTTGCACGAGGAAATTGGTCGTGAGTGGCTATCTGACTTCATTTTGCCCGATCAAATTGGTTATGGGTCGTTTACGATTGAGGGTTCTTGCCATGGATTGTTTTGCATTTCTTTTAATACAGATATTTTGTTTCTGTGAAACCCTTGTACCAAGAAATCTAAACAGATTGCGTGGTTTTTATTTGAAAAAGAGACGTTGGTATTGTATGACTTCTGGGTTTGGTTATGATGAGTTGAATGATGATTATAAAGTTGTCTGCATTTGTGTTCCAAGTGGACATCTTCAACCTGTGATTGAAGCTAGAGTCTATAGTCTAAAGCATGATCGTTGGAATCGGCTTGAGGACTGTAAAGTTGACGATGGGTCTATGGATTCATTTCATTATGCTAGTGGAAATGTCCATTGGGCTGCAAGGCACAGAAGTGATATATTTGGGAAGATTCTTAGCTTTGATCTGGCAAATGAGACATTTGGAGAAATGAAGCTTCCCCAAGTAATGAACTCTTCGTATAGTTGGTCGATTGGAGTGTTGGGAGGATGTCTTTCGGCACTTTATAGTTCTGAAGATTGTGTAGATGTGTGGATTATGAAGAAATATGGAATTGAAGACTCCTGGACTAAAATAATTTCCGTCCCTTGTATAGATTATCCTGAAGATTTTTATTTATCTTGGCCTGTTTGCTTGTTCGGGAATGGTGATATACTGTTGATCATCTGTTCAGTGTCGGCACTCTATAATCCACAGAGCAATACATTCAGGCAATATGCTCATATAAATAGTCTTCTTGAAGTGAGCATGTACATTGAGAGTTTAGTTTCACCTGGAAAACAGAGGCAGCTACGGTGACATTGCGAGTGGAAGTAAGTGGATAAATGATTCTTCTTACTTTTTGTATTCCGTGTCAAATATTTATGTTTCAGTAGTAATTAAGTATGCCATGTGTCTTATTGGATCTGATTTTTGATCCAAGGACAAGATGGTACCAATAAAGTCTTGTTCTTTTGAATGCTACTGTTAGTTCAAATAGTTGTTGGTCTTTGATATTTGCATTTCTGTGATTGGTATTTCTTCTTGTGTTTTGGTGCAATGTCAGTTTGTTTATTTTACATTCTTTTACTTCTATTCACTTGGGGAAGAAATAGTAAACCAGAAAAGAAGATAATGATCTTGGTTTGAGTAAAAGCATAATGCATGTTCATGATGACATTACTTTCCCTTACTCATTTACGTGTCATATGAGTTCGTCTAATAATCCATTGCATTTGACTGTATTACATTTTAGTTTTCATTCCTAATCTCACCTTGGAAATCTTTTCACTGGAGAGCTGCTGTAATGTATAAAAGTTGGCGCAGTTCAAGTCGTTTTTAAAGTTCGCAGGTTGGATGATTCTATAGATGTGAATCATATGTCCTCTAAATTTCGGTTCATTAATGCCAGACTTTTCTTTTATTTGATTAGTCAATGTATTCATTTACCTATACAAATTGACTGAATATGAGCCAAAAAAAATTTTCAATGCCTACTCACGAGCCTACTGTAGATATGAGATATGTCATCTGAAGGGCTGCGCTGCCGATTGTACGAGGCATTTCTTAGTGAAATGGAAAACTTTTAGGGGGTGATTCTTTGTCACTAATTCCCTTTTCTAAATTCTCTTTTAACTGGTTAAACTCTTGTTTATCATGAATATCCCTATTTGCAGATTGTGAATCCGGTAGTATGAGTGCAATTTATGATGTTCTTATGACTTCTGGAAGTTTTGTAGGGGTTCCAGTTTGTAAAATACATGAGCATTGTGGTTCAATCAAATTTAATTCTAATCTAAGTTGATTTTGCCGAGTACGCCTTTGTACTAGACCATATATTATGCTTTACTTCTAAAGACGGCGATGGTGTAACATGAGTTGTTTTTAGATTTTGCAATTCGGATTGTGAATATTTGAGGTGGTTTCTTTCTTGGATCCGTTTGTTGTTTTCTGGATTTGATTTCATTTTAGCTGATCGTCAATGTGAAAATTTCGGATCCATAATGGTTTATGTGGAAAATCAGGGTAATTTGAACGCCCATTTATGTTACTAACTCAAATTAGCTTGGATTCGTGGAATGTATGTGTCGATATATCGGTTCTTCATTCATCAACCACTCCTTTGAAGGTTTGTTTGTGCTGTTTATCAAACCTTTGATTGAAGTCACTGATTTGAAGTTTTTTCTTAGTTGCGTGTTTGCGGAATAGTGAGGGTTTTTCTTTTCTTTTTCTTTTTTTAGGAAAGTATGAGGGTTTTTATATTTGTGCTTTATAACTTTACATAACAATAAAATTAAGTTTAATAATTAATGGGTCGACCAGTTCGACCCATAGGCCGATCTAGTTAAACTCTGCTCCAAACGTCAAAATTTAAAGTCCAATGTGTTATAAAAAAATAAATGTAAATTTTATTTGGAAAAAATTTAAATGTAGATTTTATTTGAAAATTTATCTCAGGGAAAATTTAAAGTTCAGGGAATTGTTAAAAATAAATGTAGATTTTATTTGAAAAAAATCTCAAGTCGACTCCCCGATTACTGGGTCGACCCAGTTTGACCCACGGATCAACCCAGTTAAACTTGACTCGAAACATGAAGATTTAATTTTCAACGAGTTAAAAAACATATAAATGTAAATTTTATTTGGGAAAAAATCCAAATTCGAGCCGCGTATTGTGACTCGGTTCCTGGGTTGACCCAGTTTGACTCACGGGTTGGGTCGACCCAATTATACTTGGCTCGAAACATGAAAATTAATGTCCAACGAGTTAAAAAAACATAAATCTGAATTTTATTTGGAAAAAAATCCAAATTCGAGCCGCGTATTGTGACCCGGTTCCTTAGTCGACCCAGTTTGACCCATTGGTCGACCCAGTTAAACTTTGTTCGAAACGTGAAAATTTAATGTCCAATAAGTTAAAAAATATAAATGTAAATTTTATTTGGAAAAAAAAACCAAATTCGAGCCGCATATTATGACCCGGTTCCCTGGTCGATCCAGTTTGACCCACGGGTTGACCCAGTTAAACTTGGCTCGAAATGTGAAAATTTAATAACCAACAAAGTTAAAAAAATAAATATAGATTTTAGTTGGGAAAAAATCCAAATTCCACCCGCGTATTCTGACCCGGTTCATTGGTCGATCAAATTCGACCTACGGAAACTGAGTTGACCAAGTTAAATTTGACTCCTAACGTAAACATTTAAAGTCCAACGAGTTAAAAAAAAATGTAGATTTATTTAGGGGGGAGGGGGGAAAATCCAAGTTCGACCCGCGTATCATGACTCGGTTCCTGGGTCGACCCAATTCGAACCACGAATTGACCCAATTCGATCCACAGTTCGACTCAGTTAAACTTGGCTCGGAACGTGAAAATTTATAAACTAACAAGTTATAAAATATTAGACTATTTTAATTTTGAAAATTAATGTATGTTATTTGTTCAAAAAATTTAAAATTTGTAAATTAACCCAATAAAAACTATAAAAATAAGTCATGACCCGCGGGTCAACCCGCGGATCAACCCCCACGGGTCAACCCGCAGGTCAGAAATTTATACTAGCTTAAATTCAGCATGCTGTCCCACGCCAACCCATCTTGACCCAACCCGTTCTGACCTGTGCTTATGGCGGGTTGGGTTGGGTCTTGACCCGCCTACTCCCAAGCCCACCTTGACCCAACCCACGGCTGACCCAACGTGCCCAACCGCCCACGGCCCATCACCTCTCCTTCCTCTTCCCCCCTGCTTCCAAAGTCCTAAACCCCACTGCCCCACAGCCGCTTTTCTCTACCTCAAGTCCCGATTCCTCCTTCCCCTTATACAACCTGCTATAATAGCTTTCTCCGATTCTCTTTCTTTTTGAAGTATGAAAGGAAACCAAAAGAAAAAAAAATTACTTTCTGGGTTTTCAGATCTAAGTTGGATTTGTGAAAGCTAAATGGAGTTCTCTTCCCACTTCTTCTTTCGACAGAAAATCTGGACGGCGGATCGGCGACGGCTACTATGGAATTCGGTGCTTAAAAATATAGGAGATTTGTATTTTTCTTGGTGACCCGTCTTGACCCGCGGGTTGAGGCAACCCAACCCAACCCAACCCGTCCCTCCCATACCCATTCTAACCCGCGACCCGTTCCGACCCGCGACCCATTTGACCCAACCCGTACGGGTCAAAACACTACGCGGGTTGGGTCAACCCGCGGGTCGCGGGTCAGATTTACCAGACCTAGTGTAGAGTAGTAGTAGATATATATATATATATATATATATATATATATATAGGTAGTGTAGCTGGCAGGAAAAAGTAAGTTATATATATACATTTTGGTAAAATGTAAATACTTTCATTGATTGGCATGAAGAGCATATTTACAACCAAAATAAGAAACTACATTTCTATTACAACTTACTTTTTCCTGCCAGCTACACTACCTATACAATTCTAAGGAAATAAGTCTAACAAAACTTTTGTTTCACCTTCTGCTTTCCTACTTCCCAGGCTATGCTCTACTCTCCATCAAACTTCCATTTTGATTATATTCAAAAGGACCTCAGCAGATCTATTTTTCCCGGCAAAGATCCTTCCATTTCGTTCTTCCCAAACATGGGAAACTGTTGCAGCCATTACTGCAAACAGGATTTTCCTTCTCAGTTTTACAGTTTTCCGCAGAAACAATACTCCCTCCGATACTTAATATAAGGCATTTTGATTTGCCCTACATTTAACCTACTACACATTTTTATTCAACGAAAAAATCTTAAAAATATTTTATAACAATCTATAGAACACAACGAATGTGAAAATATATTTTTAAGATTTTTTTGCCAATTAAAAATGTGTGCTAGATGAAACCTAAAAAAAGTCAAAATACCTTATAATAAGGACCGGAGGAAGTACATCTCTTTTCCACTGATTCTGTCTATATGCTAAACTACGAATGCGAAGCCAATCAGCCACAAATTTCAGCACATACTGTGAATAACAGCACTCAAAAAACAGGTGATAAGAAGTTTCCTGCATGTTTTGGCAGAGAGAACATTCTGGTGTACCTCTTAACACATTCATACTAGCCAGTCTATCTTTGGTTAGTAATCTGTTTTTCCACGTCAACCATAGTATCAATGAGTGCTTTGGAGTATTATAACTAGACCATATAAAGATTGCAGCGAGGAAATCTTCTGCAGTTCCCATCACCTAGTGATAGCCAGAGGAAACAGAATATTTACCTGTTGAACTGTGAATCCACTTCTGATGAACAAACTCTGTTTTCACCTTCTCTTTCAGCTTCAAGATTCGCTTCCAATGCCAGCTAGAACTCTGTTTGGGAACAAGTTGCCAGAAATCTTTACCTTTTATATACTGCTCATAGATCCATTTGATCTATAAGTTGTCCTCTTTAGCAGCAATATTCCATATCTGCTTCACCAATGCTGCTTCATTCCATTTCTCAACATCTTTTATATTCAGTCCCCCTTGTTTTTTCCCCCTACAGACTTGATCCCAGCTGATCAGAGGTACAGCTCTACCACTTTCCTTTACTGCCCACAAAAAACTTCTACATAATCGATTAATATGTGATGTTACACTATGTGGAAGAACAAAAACAGAGACCCAATAGTTACCTACTGCCATTAGAACAGAGCTCATTAATTGTAGTCTTCCAGCATAGCTAAGCATCTTGGAGCTCCAACATTTTATTCTTCCTGCAATCTTAACCAGCAATTCACAGTCAATTTTGTTCCATTTATTGGGAGGAATTGGAACACCCAAGTACTTCATTGGGAATTTACCAGCACTAAAACCTGTAATCATACAAATCTGCTTCTGCATCTCCTCTACTACACCACCAAAGTAGACTTTTGAGTTTGCAGGATTTGCCACAAGACCAGTCACACTAGTAAACTCATTCAATATAGCTACAATACTCCAAACAGTATATAAGTCAGCTTTGCAGAAGACCATGAGGTCATCTGCAAAGCATAGTAGATATATTAAAAGCCATAAAACCATTTTTGGTGTAATTTCAATCAAATTAACAATGACAAAAATATTTAAACTTTCTAAGCAAAACATTTGAACCATTTTTAGATTAAAATAAAACATACTTTAAAGCTTAAGGTATAAGATCTCGAGACAAATTGTTTTTTTTTTTTTTTGAAAAGGGAGACAAATTGTTGTTCATGTATATTAAAAAAATCTGCCTATTGATTTTCTCCTTATAAATTTTTTTGGTTAACCATTATATATGGTTTTAAGGTCTACGGTGAAATCAATTAGTAAAATTTTGATTGTTATTATTTGACCTTTGATCTGCGGAGGTCTTTACAATTTTCGAAAACCAAATGGCCTGCATGGTAGTTTTACTAAACATTGAGGGATAAACTGTAATTTACCCACACTGAAGAAATCAAATTTGCGGCCCTATAACAGAAGTAAAGAACAAAAAAAAAATAAAAATAAAAAATTTCAAAACCCTTTCTCCAAAGTCGAAGCAGCAGGAGCCATGGAACCCAAGTCAAACCCACGACCGAAAAGAAAAAAGATCAATCAGCGTCTGAAAAGTTTCCCATCTTATTCTTCTTCCTCTGATCATGATCCTAATCATCAGGAATCAGACCCATCGTTGATGCCCGATTTGCCTGAAGAACTCATCATTGAAATCCTTTCCAGATTACCCACTGAATCACTGGGGAGATTCAAGTGTGTTTCGAAATCATGGCTTTCTTTGATCTCAAGCCAAGAATTCTTCAACGCCCATTTCGAGATTGCATACAGAATGGACGCTGATTGCGAACACTACTTTTGTCTCCACTGTATGTTCCTTCTCAAACAGCGCGCTGCCTTCCCTTAAATTTGTTCATCTAAAACCAACATCACCGCTTAGGTAATTGATGTCCCTTTATGCAGTTACAGTAATTCTGAGTTCTTGTATTGGGCTGCTTTGTATGTATGAGTTTGGGAAGTGAAATTTTCCTGTGTTAGTACCCTTGTGTTAAAGATTGTGAGAAATTGCCTGACATCGAATTTCGGGTTGGAAAATCTGAAAGGCCTCATTGTTGTTGGAATTTTGGGTTTAGTTTGTAAACTTTAATTACGAGGATCTTGGTCATAGGTTGTAAACAGCATGATAGTGAACTTACCTTTGAGCTGTAGCCGTTGAACAGTAGACACTCTTGATCTTCTTTGTGGTATAGAAGTACTCGGACTCCAAAAGGCCCACATTGTTAAAGGGAATTTCGGGTTTGGTTACGATGAGTTGAATGATAATTACAAAGTAGTATAATGTTGTCTGTTGTAATTGTTGAATCGTAAAGAATATTATTCTTGGTGAGAGATGGAGGATATAAAGATGGGGATTCTGAAGCTTGTTCAGCTTGTTTTTTTTTTTTTTTGCAACTATATATGCAAGTGCAAATTGAGCTCCATTTGTGATTGATGATTTGGCCAATGGGATATATGAAGCAATGGACCGTTCCCACAACAAACATGTAATTGGGAATGTTTGTTTGGAGGTTGCCTCTTCGGATATTAATTACGAATATGAAAGAACTCATGAGGAGATATGAGATATGGATAATGAAGGACTATGGAGTTACCATGCTGAGGATGTCTCTATTCCTCATGTTGATCTACCCCGTGAAGTTTCTTCCATGAAGAAGAACCAATCTGTTTGCACGCATGGAGGACTGGTGAAATGCTTTTTATCATAGGCTCAAACTTGTTACTGTACATTTAAGATGTACCATTAGATAGGCTGCCTCTATAACATGATGAGTATGTGTGTTTGAAAGTTTAGCTTCATTATTTGATCTCTATGATGTACAGTGATGAGGCAATTTCATAGAAATGGTAGTAGAGAATCATGAAAGTGGATTGAGTAAAAGATTTTTGGTAGATCTAGACGATCGAATGCTATTTTTCGGTTTTTCAATTAATTGAAATCTGAGTCGTAATGTACCTGCAGAGTTGTTATGATATGAATAATTTTTTTTTTTTAATTGGTCAGTTACCAATGCATGTAGATTTTGTCTACAGCACTAAGTTTGAGAATCAAACAACGTACTCACGACTTTGTAGATTTTGTCAGGAAATCCATTTTTGAGTGAGTCATTCCTTCGTGTTTCGGCTTCTCGTAGCGTTCCACTGCTGAACATAATTGGTCATCCTTAATTTTGTGTATGATCGCTTCATTCCTTTGATCTTAGTTTGATGTTGATTTATATATATCTATGTATATAGGTTGCTTTTTGCGCTTATTACCGAAGTAGGCAGCTTTTATACGTACTGAGTGTAGATTGGCTAGTATGTGAGTCATATCCACCTTAATCGAAAGGTAATTAGCTTTCATATTTGCGCTGATTTCCGAGATTTTCATATGCATTTCTTATTTAGATGGACATCAACTAGTATTTTCCAGGACATCAAAGATATGACTATTGCTTAGCTTGCAAAATCCCGAATCAGTGACTATTGTGGGTTCTTGCAATGGGCTGGTTTGCTTTTATAACAGGATTGGTGAACTTATTTTGTGTAACCCTTGCACTAGAGAGTACAAGAAGTTGCCTGACACGGGTATAGGAAGGGGCAATGAGGCTGGTTTCGGTTGGATTTTCGGGTTTGGTTATGATAAGTTGAATGGCGATTATAAACTAGTTGGGATTTATTGGGGCCTATATTCTGATTCAGACTATAAAATCATTGTGTCTAGCCTAAAGAATAATTCTCGGCGCAAGATGGATGATTTAAAGGTTGGGGTTCCCAGTTTTGGGAAAAGGTTTTATCTCGAGTATGCAAGTGGAAAGCTCTATTGGCCTGTCCATGATGGCATGGGTAGTTGGGTAATTGCTTGTTTTGATTTGGCCAATGAGACGTATCGAGTGATGGATCGCCCGAAGAACAAAGATGCTGAACATGATCATCGACTTGGAGTGTTAAGAGATTGCATTTCTGTGTTTTAAGATTACGAAAGAAATCACGCGGATATTTGGATAATGAAGGAATATGGGGTTAAGTATTCTTGGATTAAGGTTTTCTCTATCCCTTATGTTGATCGTCCTCTTAAAATTTCTGCCGAGATGTCTCGGCCTATTTGCATGTCGAGGAATGGTGAGGTACTGTTTGTCTTGTGCTCAGAGTTGTTACTTTACAATCCTAAGGCTGATACCTTTAGGAGGTATCCAAAGATAGGTTGTCTTCATAACACAATAATGTATGTTGAGAGCTTAGTTTCGGCAGCTATCCATGATACTGTACAACCCGGAAATAGCATTGAAATGGTAGAGAAAGGAAGTGGATAAACTAAAGATTGTTGGTTGATCTAGCATACTGTTTTTGGCTGTTGAATCAATGGAAACCTGATAGTTGCCTTTGTGAGGGTGAAAAGCTGGAGAAGAGGTACTGTGTAGTCAGCTAAAGGTAGAGCATGCTGTTAAAGAATTGCATTTTGGAGTTAGTTCTTGAAATTGGATATTTGTTTGTTAGTGTCGTATCAAAATCGTGCTTTGTGAAGTAATCCCTCCATTCCAAAATAAGTGTCATTTTAGAGTTTACACACAGTTTAAGAAACACTTAAATATGATAACTAAATTACTAGAATATCCCCAAACAACCATATTAAAATAATGCTCACTAATAATATTATTTCTTTTGAGGGTATGCTTGGAAATTTTTGACCAAAAATGCATTGAAATCTGAAAACGACACTTATTTTGGAATTTCTTCAATTTGCTAAAATGACACTTATTTTGGAACGGAGGGAGTATGTGGAAAGCAGTATTATGGTCGAGATTTTGCAACAGACTTGAATTTTCCCAATGATTTGGCCGGTAGTCTTGAAAGGATTTCAATAATGAGTTCCATTGGCAAATCTGCAAGGAACGGCAAAGGGTCGTCTGAACCCTCCAACTGATGGTGATCAATTCTATTTCTCTTGGATCGGTCAGGGTGAACTTTATGTTGCTTTGAATTGGATTCCATGGCAGGTGGAATTGCGGAAGCCACCAAAAAGGGAATCGATTTTGGTTTGGAGAATTGGAGAAGAAAACGAGACAGAGTTGCGGCAGAGGTGATATGGAATACAGTACACTACAATTACTGTTCGTTTCTTGTTTCTTTTTTTTTGGTCCTCGAAATCATTTTAATAGACCACTTGATCATAGTTATTGAATATCAGAAATCTAGTACACTACGGTACATTCAATCATCTTGTATCATAAGATATTTTTTTTAATATTATTATAATGTTAGTGAGATGTAATTTTTTGCAGGGCGGTCAATTCTGAAGGTATTTGGGTTGAGATTTTGAACCCATATAATAAACAAGTTGAATTCAAATTGAATTTTTTAATAAATAGGTCACGTTCGATTGATCGTTAGTGGATTATCCATTTAACCTGTATAAAAGAAATTTTTTTCAATCTAAAATGATATAGAAACGACTTGGGAGTAAACTCCGTAAATCTGCCTAGTTTGCTTCAGTTTTTACCTAGCTGCAGATGGACAGAGAAGTTCAACAAGGCCTCTCCAAGCTGGAGTTCTTATTGTATGGTGTTTTTATTCTTTGGCACATCTTGATTCTAAATGAAAACTTGAGAAGGCTAATGATCCATGTAATGATCTCCCTTTACCTCGACAATGGAATTTTAAAACGGCAAAGAGGCATTTTCTTGGTCTTGAGTCATGACGGTAATTGTGTCACGACAGCTAATAATATATCGATAAATAAAATTGTGTAAAGTATCGATATTCAAAACAAGACGCACATAAACTGGTAATTTTGATAATGATTCTTATTTTGAAGGAAAAGAATACTTCAATAATTATATATTTTACAATACATTTTAGTACTAGCAATGAGAAGCTTATTTTGAACAACACTTTTTCTCATTATTTTGTCTAGTTAATGTGCTCAATTTTAAATATTTTTATGTTTCATTCATTTTCCAAAATTTTTGTCCAAAATACTTAGTAGCATTTTACAATGCAGTTTACTAGTAGCAGGTTAGTATACATTCACAAATTAAGAGTTGAAACTTCAAAAATGGAGGTAGATTTATGGAGGGGTGATTTTCAAATTTTCTACTCATTTGGAAATTTCTCCCATAACCAAATGCTATTAGTATTTCAACAAAAAAGGGAAAAAAATAAAAATAAAAATCCAGCAAGGATTTATCATTTTATTATCTTCAATTGCTTTTCTTCAGTCAACTAGTAGTATTAAGGATGTTTATTTCAATTAGAAACCAGAAGCTATGAAGCAAAGTTCACCCTACATAGTCATCTCTCCCAAATCCCCACCAGTAGCCATGGAATCCGAATCAGACCCACCACAGAGAAACAAAATCAATCGCCAATGGGAGGGAATTCCCTCATCTTCCTCTGCTCCTAATCACGAATCAGACCCTTCGTTGATGCCAGATTTTCCCGACGAACTCGCCGTTGATATCCTTTCAAGACTGCCAGTCAAATCCTTGGGGAAATTCAAGTGTGTTTCAAAACCATGGCTCTCTTTGATCTCAAGCCAAGGATTCATCAAGACCCATCTCGCGATTGCATCCAGAAGGGATGATTACGAACACCATCGTCTCCTCATCAAGGTATATGATGACCCAGTTCTTGGCTCCAACGTGGTGTATTCTGTAAGTTCTCTAGTATACTCACCCACCTTCGAAGCTAGTGCGTCTATGATGCTTGACATTGGTTATCGAGGCACACCTAATAAGTCATTTTGGGCCGTGGGTTCTTGCAATGGACTGGTTTGTTTTCGAACTCTGCATAATAAGTTGTTTTTGTATAACCCTTGTCTCAAAATGTACAAGAGATTGCCTAATAGGGATAGGGACAAGCTGCGTTCCCCGGGGAATTTCGGATTTGGTTACGATGAGTTGAATGATGATTATAAAGTTGTTTGGGTATTTCAGATTTTCGATAAACCTAGCTGGGATAATTTATATGATGATGGTCCTGTAACTTATGAGAATGGAATGAAAGTGTATAGTCTTAAGGATGATGCGTGGCACGCGATTGAGGATCTTAAAATTGGGGGTTGCTTCCTTGACACGGGCGAATTGATGCAGTATGCGAGTGGGAAGCTCCATTGGTTTGTCGATGGTGGTACTTATGTTTGTAAAATTGCTAGCTTTGATTTGGCAAATGAGACATATGAGGAAATGGAACCCCCATGTGACATTGACGGTCTTTGTGATTACACACTTGGAGAGTTAGGGGGCTGTCTTTCTATGTTTTACCATTATGGAAGCAATCACGCAGAGATATGGGTAATGAAGGACTCCTGGGTCAAAATTGTTTCGATTCCTTATGTTGATCGTCCTAGTAATCATCGTTATTCTTGCAGCTCTCGAGTAGTTTGTGCATTGAGGAATGGTGAAGTACTATTTGTTTTATGCTCACTCTTGTTACTTTACAACCCGAGTACTAAAACATTCAGGAGGTATCCGCATATAGCTCCTATTGGAGGTGTGATTATGTATGTTGAGAGCTTAGTTTCCCTAAAATCCATGGTAGGGAATGATTAGATAGAGCTGGGAGCCTTTCTTCAGGAATAAAAATAGTAATTCTTCTTACTGTATTTTAAAACATCAACTTTGAATGGTTATTTGACTTACTCTTCTTCTGCAACATAGATTTTGTTGCTCTTTTGATCACAACTGAGAGTCCAGGTAGTTTGAAACTTTGGTTTTTATCTTGGTTTTGAATTTGCTGCTGTGATGTTCTTGCTCTTTGGCTTGCTACTCATTCTTTTTGTTACTTATTCACTGGAAATTGATATTAAAAAAAAAAAAGAACAAAAGAGGAACATTATTAGTTGGATTCATTAGCAGTGCTGATTGATGGCGAAGAAGCATCACTTAATTGATTGTCACTTATTCATTGAGTGTCATACAAAATACTGAAGTGATCGATTAGGGCATAAAACCTCTTCTCTTGCATTCTGCCTATTGTCCTGGAAAACCATTTTACTTGGTTCTTGCTGTGTTCTTCTTTCTTATTACTTTAATGTCGTTCATTTTGTTTGAAATTCCCCTTATCTACGAGGGAGGAGGAACCGGGAGAGGACAGAGCTTATTTGTGGAGTATATGACACTAACCAGTTATATGGAAATTGAATACATTAAACTTGAAGATTAGATTATTAGGTTGTTTAACATCTTTAGTGATAAAGGTCATTTCCCTGTTTTGCTTGTTGGTCATGTTTATATTGGGATGTTCTTTCTGTAACAGCTTGTCGCAGAGTAAATGACATGGTTATGCATTTCTTAGCAGAAACATATTATCTCATATTTGTCAAGTTTGATTGTCTCTCTTCAGGGTGTCGTACCTTTAGCTAATGATGAAGTTTCTTTTGCCCTTAATATTTGCAGTAGGCTGCATTTACAGTCTCCTTAGCAGAAGATTAGTCAGCTTGTTTTGCCAAATCAGGCTCATTTTGCCCTGTTTTGCCCTCTCTTCAGGGTCATTTGCCAGTCTGCATATCGCACCCTGTTTTGCCAGTCTTTCATCATCAAAAAACACAGAAACATATTATATCCACTTCTATTCATATGTTAACTAATCTAGTGACCATGATTGCTACTGGTCTCGATTAGTATGTGCATCGAGGAATGACGAAATTCTGTCTTAGACTTGGTTTTGTTGCTTGATGATCTGAAGATGAGTAAATTCAGGAGGTATCCACAAATAGTTACCTTTTGGAGCTGTAGATGAAATTATGTACGTTGAGAGCTAAGTTTCCCCTAGTCTCCATGATACTGAACTATGCTGAAATGGTAGAGAAGTTACGTGCATAGAACAATGACTTTGTAGTATGGGTATCAGAACAATTCTCTTTTTTCTACACTGACAGTTACAGTTCAAGTCATTTTGTGATACTGTGATTTTGTTTGCTGGCAGGTAGGACTAGAGCGAGTTTTTAGATTATATGAGACTCTTATTGTTTTATCTTGTTTAACTCAAATCATTGATTTTTAGCTTGTTTTCCTTTGGTAAGAAAGGCAGCACATTTCTCTGTTTTGCTGCTTGGTCTGTGTTGATATTGTGAGTGAAATGCAACATGCATTTCTTCTGAAAAAAACCACCATCGGTGAGTTATTCTTCTTATCCGGATTAAAAAAACCCCAACGAGTCTATAGGTTCTTGCAATCTGCTGGTCTGCAAGAAGTATTTCCATGTAAGCCTTGTATAGAAAATACTCTCCAGTCCTAAAAAAAGGATAATCTACTTTGTTCAACTAAAATATAATGACAATGTGCATTATTTCGAGATAGAGGGAGTGCAAGAAATTGGCTATTTAGTGACAGAGGGATCGTAAGAAATTGCCTTAACAATCACAAACAATGCCTCCCCAAATTGCGACTTACTCAAGCAGAATGACATCACTTTGAATGTTTGGATCGCTTCAGGCATTTGTGAAACTTCTTCTGCGTTGAATTCGCTTTCGCGGCTTCTCATTTTACCTTGGTTCATTCTTTCTACTCAATTTAATTAGATCAGATATAATATTAGGCAGTCAGCAAAGATAATGAACCAAATTACTTGAGTAAACCATTCGCTCTAAAAACCTCAGCCATTATGTAAATGTGCATCACTTAAACCCACCAAAGAGAAACAAAACGAATCAGGATTTGGTGGGATTTCACTCTTCTTCCTCTACTCCTAATCACGGTGAATCAGACCCTTTATTGATTCCCGATTTCCCTTATGAAAACGTCACTGAAATCTTCTCAAGACTGCCAGCCGGGGAAATTCAAGTGTGTTTCAAAGCCATGGCTTTCTTTGATCTCAAGCCCACGGTTTCATCAAAATCCTTCTCAAGATTGCATCTGCAAGGAATGATTACGGATACCATGGTCTCATTCTCAACATAGAAGTCCCACGCCCTGCATATTGTCCTAGTTATAATGAGATGTTTTCAATTAGTTCTCTGTTGAATGCACCCACCTCTGAGACTACCACGGGTAAGATATTTCGCATTGATTATCCAATGAAATCTAATCGCTCATTTCAGCCTGTGGGTTCTTGCAATGGACTAGTTTGCTTTCAGACTGGCGAAAATGAATTGTTTTTGTGTAACCCTTGTATCAAAAGTTCTCTGACGTTGCCCAACTCAGGTATGGAAAAGCCTCGTTGCATTTTTTCAAATTTCGGGTTCGGTTATGATATGTCGAATGATGATTGTAAAGTAGTCGGGGTGTTTGATTTTCATCATAATAGATCTTATAAGATTAAAGTGTACAGTCTAAAGAATAATGCTTGGCACACTACGGAGGATTTTAAGAGGGGGGTTCCGTGCTCGAGTTTGGTGAATGTATCCATTGTGAGTGGAAAACTCTATTGGCTCAGCAGTATTGGTAGCTTTGAATTGGCGGATGAGATATACAGAGATATGGAACCCCCAAATGCCGAAGCTAGTGTAGGTCACAATGGACTTGGAGAGATAGGTGGCTGCCTATCTGTGTTTTATGACAATGGAAGAAGACATATGGGTGATGGAGTCCTGGATCAAGTTTTATGACAATGTTTATTACTGCATGGCTCGATCAATTTTGCACGCTAAGGAATGGTGAAATTCTATTTGTCTTACGGTCAGTCTTCCTTCTTTATGATCCAAATACTAATACGCTCAGAAAGTATTCACAGATAGGTACCCTTGGAGAAGACACAGGTAAAATTGCAGAAGTGATTCTGTACGTAGAGAGCTTGGTTTCGCCTAATGTCCATGGCAGCGAACTGTGCTCAAATGCTGGAGAAAGTTAGTGGAAAGAGCATTGATTAATTATTATGTAGTATTGTATCTGACTTATTTCAGTTCCTTTGCAATTCGGATTTCATTTCTTTGAGCTAAACTGGGAGGGGGCAGAGACAGAATGAAGCAGGGGACATTTTCCTGATCTCACCATATGATATGCCATGTTGTCGCTTCTTTGGTTTGTTGCTTCTTTGTTTCTGTCCTTTCCAGGTTAAATGAAGGAATGAAATTGAGAAAGAAAGCTACTTAGATTCATTTGAAGCCCCAATAATGTCGATGAAAATGACGCTTCACCTAATTGATCATTTATTCATATCAGTCATCAGATGAGCTTAGTACGGAACAATCAAGACGATTTTATCAGAAAATCTCTGTTCAAGATGAGCTTGGAGGTTGGAAATGGAGAGCTTGGAGGTTGCGTTTCTGTGTTATATGACTAAAATGTACCCGTGCGGATATATGGTTAACAAAAGACTCTTGGATTAAACTTGTTTCTATTCCTTTTGTCGATCGCCCTGATGATGTCAATTACTTCATGCCTCGATCAGTTTGTTTATGGGCGAAAGGTGAAATACTGTTTCTGTTACTGTTTGTGTTAGGCACAACCTTTATACTTTAAATTTAAGCACTAACACATTTAGGAGGTATCCATATATCCGTATTCCTGGTAATGTCATTACGTATGTTGAGAGCTTAGTTTCACCGAACAACCATGATGGAAAGCTGCATTGAAATGGTAGAGAAAGTAAGTGGATGGAGCAATGACAATTCTTTTTCTTCTGCATCGCCAGTAACTGAATTTTAATGTTTCAAAGTATCATTTGTATAAGGGTATCTAACCCAGTGCTTCTGCAACCAAGATATTCTTCGCATTTCTTTTAACACAACTGAGAGTCGAGATGGCAAGAGTTTCTTTATATGGATTCGTAACACCATACTGTGATGATTTTTCTTTGGCTTGTTACTCATAATTTTGTTTGTCTACACTTGTAATTAAAAAAAGGCAAAAGAGAAGAAATTAGCTTATTTGATTATGTAGCTTACAAGATGAATACAGGATGAGATATTGCGGAGTAGCTGACGAGAAAATAAAACTCTGTTAGAGAGGATCAATTTTTCTACCAGGCCTCTTGTTAATAGTGGAACATTGCTGCTATCTTTCTGTTTCAATTGATTTGAAACCTTGTTTCATTTTGTTTTAACATTTCGATAGTCTAAGACGGGGGAAGGCGGGAAAAGAGCAAGTTCAGATTATATGATTCTATGATCAGTTTATGGAAATTCGATACTAAAATCAGATGCTTTGCTTTGCTTGTTTATAACATCGTTATAAAACAATATATTCCTGTTCTGCTTGCTGGTGTATAATTGCAGATTGAGCGAAATGTCAGATTCTTGCATTAGTAAATGTGTACAATATGAGGTCCAAATCTTGGACAGGAGTAAAGACTTTGAAGGTGGAATGCTGTTGTGTGCCCCAGGCCTGTTTGTCGATGTAGTCCTTGTCACTGGATATATCATCCAAGATAAGTGGAGCAACGTTAATGCAGCCTCTCTGTAAATACGATCTCTTAGGAATTTAATAGGGCATCTTTGTACATTTTGCAAGTATACACTGAATGTATGTTTGGATGATGAAATTTTGCAAGTAAGACAAAATCTTGATTGAAATTAGCTTTGATTCCTTATTCACTTTAAATTTAATGGGTTTTCAACATTGTTAGAGTCAAACTCTACTTAGAATTTATTGCATTGTGATTTTTCTTTGATTCTGTAGAATGTGGCAAGCTGTAATTTAAAGGAATGCTTGATAAAAAAGGATGGCCCTTACATTATTTGGAGAAGCTGCTGGCTTTTTATCACTGCAACTCTATGAGAATGCAAATGCTCGGGACACAAATCGATACTCCCTCCGTCCCATAATTATTGTCCACTTTGCCCAAAAAATTTTGTCCCAAAATTATTATCCTTAGTAAAAAACATTATCCATAAAATCTTAGTGGTTAAACAATTACTTATGTAGGGGTGTATCCGGTTGTTTAAGGTAAAATATAGTTAAGTTTGACCAAAAATAAAATCTTTCATTTTAGTAAAACTGCACAATAATTATGGGACGGAGGGAGTACTAAATTATTTTAGGCCACTATCCATTCATTACCTGACTTCACAGATTTTATGTCTTCCACATATTGTTTTGTGTTTTCTGTAAAACCAGAACCAAAAGGAAATCCTTCTTTTCCACTTTCCTCTTTAATGGAGAATGGAGGGGTCAAGGTTCTATTTGTTCTTTCAAACCTTTAGTTCGATTTTATGAAAATCCTCATTGTGAAATCTTTGAATCCTATATCAAGAGTTTCTCTTCTAGTCAAAGTTTATTGTTGTTCATCTATTCTATTCCTGTCAAACTTGATGATAAAATCATATAAGTAGTTAATGAATGAAATAGTGAAGGTAATAGAGACTGAACTCAAATCTCAATGAAAAGTGATATATTCTTTGGAGATTAGAGATGGTGATAGCAAGGCTGGTGATGGTGACAGGCTGGTCATGTGTTTGTTCTGTTAAAGCACTCATCAATAATGTTGTTAGTGAAGTATTTTAATGAGATGGTAATTGTTTAGATTATGGGGCCATAATCTCTATTTCCAGCCGTTCAAGTAATAACTAAAATAAGTTCGCATGGCAGTACAATGTACATTCCCTCAATGTGGACTATGACAGAGAGAGTATTATTATTAACTTGATAATGCTTTAATAGTTATACCAATAACTCAGTTCTTTAAACATGTGATAGTACTTAACAGCAATATGATAGTACTTAAAAAATACTGGCATACTTTCTCTCCCAATATTACTATTCGGTTTAAATTTGCTTTTAATTTAATTTGTACAAAAAAAAATTAAAACTAAACAATAATTTCTAAACAGAGAGAGTATAATACTTCGATTAATATCTTGGGTTGCAGCTAAAACAGACCCTTTGTATAATTTCAAGGTTATATAACCCCTAGTTTTTAAATTGGTTGGAACTCCGGTTAGGATTTCCTGTAAAACAAAGTCTCGGGGCCTCTTGAGGGTAGACACTCCGAAGATTAAGTCAGAAAATAGGGTTGCGAAATAGTCTGTGTATGTGAATTGGTACCAAAGATAACGTATCTCAATTGTGGAGTAATCATCTTTATTTATAGGCCTTAGAAACATCCGAATATTACTAGGTTTAGTAATATTAAGCCACCAACTTCATAGCCGGTTGGACTTTGGACGAGATGATTGGGCCGACCCATATCCAGGGGTGGATTTGGACTCGTCATCTTCCACATATTTTTTATTCCTGTTTTCTGTAAAACCAGAACCAAAAGGTTCTTTTCCAATTTCCTCTTTAATGGAGAATGGAGTCAAGGTTCTATTTGTTCTTTTAGACTTTTAGTTGGATTGTCTGTTTCTTGTTGTCTCTTCTCATTGTGAAACTCTTGAATCCTATATGGCTAATATTAAGAGTTTCTCATCTAGCCAAAGTTTTTGTTGTTCGTCTATTATATTCCTGTCAACAAGAAGAAACTTTTTTTTCTCATTAAGTAGGATCGGCTATATTGATCATATGTTGCTATATGTTGCTATCGTGTTCGATTGGTGACTGAACTCAAATTACAATGAGAAGTGAAATATTCTTTGGAGACTTAGAGATGGTGATAGCCAGAACAGAAGGAATCTGATTTACATAGGTGTTAAGTGTTGACTACAGAACAGACAATAAGAAGTGAATAATACTTCATTTATCTTCAAGACGTATCATTGGCTCCCCTCGTAACAACCTCAACCGACGACTTATTTTATGCGAATGACTTTAGATTATGGGACCATTATCTCTATCTCCACTCTTCCAAGTAATTTAAAAAAAGTCCGCATGTATACAATGTGGTTATTGTTAATTTGATTATGCGATGTGGTACCAATTACTTAGTCCTTAAACCATGTGAAATCGTAAATGATTCCAATTACGAAAAAAGTACTTAAAAACTGTATATGGTTCCTCAATTCAGACATTCACAGCAATAAATTACATGTTCAGTGCAGCCTGTCAAATCTTTCTTTATCCTAAGCCAATTCTACAGATAAACTAAAAAGTTGTTTAGTGAAAGAAGCAGAAATATTTATCTATTTATGGACTTCATTTGTGTAGTTAGAAACTCACCAAAAAGCTGCATTTGACTTCTCTCTTTCTTCAAGGCCGCAAATACAAACTTGAACTGAACCTTAAAATTTGATCTCTCTTTCTTGATTTTAGCCTATCCAGTAGTTAGTAGCTAGCTAGGGATACACAAAGATGGGATCATCCCTTAATCAACAACTCTTCAGGATGCTTGCTTGCTCAAGGTCATCTTCATCATCAACAGCAGGAAGATCCAAATCCCATGGTAGAGATATGTTCCTAAGGTTTCCTGTTAGATCATACTCGAGATTCAGGTGCGTTTCAGAACCATGGCTTCCGTTGGTTACAGGTTCTGGATTCATGGAATCCAGTGTCAAGGCTTCAAATGGTCTTGAAATGGCTGATGATTATACCAATCATAATCTTCTTTTGGCCTCAACGGATCCCTTTGTTATCAATATGTATTCTTGTTCTCTTCACTCTGTATTACACAATTTCCCTGTGAATATGTTTGATGTAGAGCCTCCTAAGCGAGCTGGATACCCTTCATTATACCTTATGGGAAGCTGCAAAGGGATCCTTTGTGTTCTTGAGGGTTGCGAGGATATCATCCTATGGAATCCTACCATCGGACACTTGAAGAAGCTACCTAATTCTGGCATCAATCATCACAGTTATAAGATTTCTACCCGCGGTTTTGGCTACGATGAGTTGAATGATGATTTCAAAGTGGTAGAAATATGCTGCTATGCCCGTCTTGGGATTAACCGCGAGACGATAGTCAATGTATATAGTTTAAAGTCTAATTCATGGAGAAGGATTAAGGACTATGAAGGTGGAATTATATCGTGTTCTCCAGGCGTGTTTCTCAATGGAGTCCTCCACTGGCCAGCAACTCATAAAGACGGTTTAAATACTGATTGGAGCATTTTGTCGCTGGATGTGTCAGCTGAGACACATGGGACAACACTGATGCTACCTCAATGCGAAAATGGTTTTGATGATCTGAGACTCGGAGTTCTCAAAGGTCGTCTCTGCGTGTTTTGCAATTACTATCGACATGAAATGCATGTGTGGATGATGAAAGAGTATGGAAGCAATAAATCTTGGTGTAAGTTTGCTTCAATCCCTTACTCCCAAAACATTCCAGGTCGGATATTGCCATTGTGTGTGTCGAAATCTGGTGAAATTTTAGTGAAGTATGGTGATTCACTGATGTTGTTTAATAAGGCAGATGATAGTTTCACAGAAACGGAAGTCAAAATGGATGATCCTGCATCCCTATATGAAGTTGCAACTTACACTGAGACCTTTGTTTCCCCTTACCTTTATGATGATGTAAAGGACCAAATTTGATATAGCAAGTGATTGAAATGATATTAGGTTTCTGCGAGAATTTTGCTCTCCTGATGTACATCTTTACAGGCTTCTGAAGCACTAGCCGTGCTTGTTGATTGAGTTTTGGTTACAATAAGCTGAATGATAAGTACAAAGCAGAGAAAATATGCTGCTATGATCATCTAAGGATTAACCATAAGAGCATTGTAATTTGTAAATGTGTTTAGTTTGAGGTCTGGGAACTCATAGTATTGTAAGAGGACATCTTTCTACACTTTGCAAGTACTATCAACATAGAATGGGTGTTTGGATGGATATTGTAAGACTGAATCTTGATTGAAATTTGCTTGGATTCCTTATTAGCTGCGAATTCAATGATTCTCACCATTGTTTTGTGTCAAAATACAAATGAAGCCCTGTATCCAGTATAATTTATTTAAAGCAATAGGCAAATTTACCCTCGTAATATCCTTTGTAACCACCAATATAATTTATCCGAGACCATTTGGTTTCTGACGCTTGATTCTCGGTTAACTAGAAAGGATATTACAAGGATAAGTTAACAGACCAACAGTAAACATTAGAACTAATGTAGCTTTGCTCTTCTTCAAAAATAAAAAATAAAAAAAATACTCTTTCTGTCCCAAAATTATTATCCACTTTGAGATTTCACTTTTAGTATAATTTGAACTAGAAATAAAAATCTAAACTGGACAATAATTATGGGACGACCAGTTTGAGTTTTCATTTTTAGTTCAAATTGTACTAAAAATGAAATTTCAAACTAGACAATAATTTTGGGACAGAGGGAGTAAATAAATAAATAAATAAAATGTAGTTTTGCTTTCATTTGTCTTTTTCGAAGACGTAACAGTAACTCCCCGCTTAACAACGTCAAAGTGACTTCAATTCGCAAATTATTTTATTCAGACGTTTCATCATCACTAAACTATATTTCATCTTAATGGATCAAGTATTTTTTTTTGTTCTTTCAATGTAAAGTATCCATCAATACTTCTTTAGTGAAGTATTTTAACCATCAGATGCTAATTGTTCAGATTATGGGACCATAATCTGCATTTCCAGCCGTCCAAGTAATTAAGAAAAGCCTCGTGGTTGTATAATTCAGTCCTTAAACAGTTAAATCATGTGAATTGGTAAAAGATTCTCGGTAACAATAGTATTATATTACTAAAACTTACTCCTATAGTACTCCCTCTGTCTCAAAATTATCCAGTTTGAAATTTCACTTTTAGTATAATTTGAACTAAAAATGAAAATCCAAACTGGACAATAATTATGGGAAGAAGGGAATACCTTTATTCAAACCATAAAAAGTACCAAATTTCATGGTCAATGCAGTCTGTCAAATATTTCTCTTTCCTAGGCCGATTCCACAGAAAAACTGAGTTGTGTTAGCGACACAAGGAGGAATGTTTCTTTATTTATGGACTTCATCCGTGTCCTTGGACAATTACCAAAAGCTGCATTTGACTTCTCTCTTTCTTCAAGGCAGCAAAAAAAAAACTTGAGTTTGAACCTTAATTTGATCTCTTTTTCTTCATATTAGGCTTATATCCAGCAGGGTAGCTAGCTAGCTAGCAAGGAATCAACAACATTCAAAGATGGAATCATCCCTTGATGAAAGACTCGAAAGATGCTCGCTTGCTAAAGATCATCATCAAGAAGAAGAAGAAGAAGAAGAAGAAGATCCAAATACCAAATGGTTGGCAAGACTTCCTCAAGAAATCATAGTGGAGGTGCTGCTGAGGTTGCCTGTCAGATCACTCTCGAGATTCAGGTGCGTTTCAAAACCATGGCGCTCGTTGATCTCGAGTTCTAAATTCATGAATTCCAATCTCAAGAAATCAAATGAGCATGAAAGGGATGATAATTACTCCAATCGTAGTCTTCTTTTGGTCTCAATGGTTTCCTTGGTCATCAACATGCATTCCTGTTCTCTTCACTCAGTCATACACGATAAATCCTCCGTGAAGTTGCATGAAGTAGAGCCTCCTAAGAGATGTTTTTACCCAGCATTATACATTCTAGGTAGCTGCAATGGGATTTTTGGCATTCTAGAGGGTTACCATGATACCATGTTATGGAATCCTACCATCAAACACTTGAAGAAGCTACCTAATTCGGACACAAATTACCGCAGGTATAAGATTTTCTCTTACGGTTTTGGTTATGATGAGTTGAATGATGATTACAAAGTGGTAGAAATATGTTGTTATGCCCGTCTTGGGATCAATCGCGAGACTATAGTCAATGTATACAGTTTAAAGTCGAATTCTTGGAGAAGGATTCAGGATTATGAAGGTGGGATGATATCGGGTTCTCCGGGCGTGTTTTTCAACGGAGTCCTCCATTGGCTGACGACTCACAGGGACGGTTTGAAAAGAGTTTGGAGTATTCTGTCACTCGAAATATCATCCGAGACACATGGAACCAGGTTAATGCTGCCTCAAAGTGAAAATGGTTTTGATCCAATGCTCGGGGTTCTTAAAGGACGTCTCTGTGTATTTTGCAACTACTATCAACAAAAAATGGATGTGTGGATGATGAATGAGTATGGAAACAACGAATCTTGGTCCAAATTTGCTTCAATCCCGTACTCATTGGACATCCGCGGTCGAATTTTGCCATTGTCTGTGTCGAAATCTGGAGAGATTTTAGTGCGATGTGGTTATTCCTTCATGCTGTACAATAAGGGAGATGGTTCATTCTCAGACACTGCGGTCAAAATGGATGATCCTACGTCCCTAGACGAAGCTGTTATGTATACAGAGAGCTTGGTTTCGCCCTACCTTTATGATGATGCAAGAGACCAAATTTGACACTGCAAATGATTTTAGTCTGCTACCTGCTATCAAATTTGCTGTTCTTTTCTTTTCTTTTTTGTTTTGAGAGTTGTTTTTCTCCTCTAGTGGAAGTTTAGTTGTTCATTTACCAACTTCGTGTAACATCATTTTTCCCCCTTAGATTTGATATAATTGTTGCTCAAGTAGTTACTTATGATATCAGAGATTGACGAAGAAGATGGAGACTAAATTGGTAGCATATCAGATTAACCAAATATTTGCGATAAAAAAAGAGACAATAAAAGTAATTTGGTGACTCTGGAATTCACCTTTTACCATATTAATTCACGCTGAATTTTTTTTGAACAACTTGGTTTCGAATTTGCTTCCAACACCTTCGTAACTCGATTCATCTTTCCGAATAAACTCTCATCAAACCTTGTATAATCATGACATTAAAACACACATCTCCCTTACTGCCTGTGGAATAACTGGGAAATTTACCTTTTAAAGATGTAACAGCAAACTCACATGAGCAGCCATGCCAATGCAGTACTTTTCCACAAAATTGAGTAAGTGCGTGTATAATATAAACTGCCCTGTCAGAGACTAACAGGAAGCACAGTCAACTACAGAGGTTTCAACAAGTTGTCAAGCACAAAACAGCAGTTGTTGATTAACCAAGATAATGCACAGAGTATTGCAATCCAAAGGAACCATCGTGCGAGGAAGGAACCTGCTAGACTCAAGGATTGCACTAGATATTAATTTATTGATGAATATAGTACTTGTTGATGCCTAGAGCATATTCTGTTAAATATGGTTTGGTTGGTTAACGGAGTCTGTATGCCGTAAGTGACATGTGAGATAATATCTAGAAGAGGCTATATATGTATGGACAGGAGAAGCAAAACGTAACAAGAAGAAAAAGTTATTTTGCTGTCTTATTTTTCTCTGCCTTTACTTTCTTGCCGTTTATTTTTTTGGGGGTGTAGGGGATAAAATACTTTAGCACAGCTAGAATCCACCAGATAATGCACAATTGATAATGATTCACTGGATTAAGCACTTGCGGTCTCTACCATTTCAATGGAGTCGCGGATTAAATTCTGGGTCAACAAGAAGCTAGAACCAGGAAATGGTGATGCGAAGTTGATAGATTAAGGTCAGAGCAAGTATCACTGTCTTGTAGGGAATTAAATCCAACTCTGAACATATGCTGAGGTCCATAAATCGGGGAACGCTTCCGCTTGTGTCACGAGCATCTCCATTTTACAATGAATAACTTTGCTTAAACATTCAATCAGCATACATCATCTCCAGACAAATTTATCAGGACACGTATGAAAAAGAAGCATTGGCTGAGACATAAATCAAATGGCTAACTGTAAATCCTCAAACGGCTAACTGTAAATCCAAGCATTTCAATATTTCAGTTGTAAAATGCCAGTATGACTTATAATTACTGCTAACTATGTTATAGGCAGACTAGCTTCCTGTAAATTGTTATAGGCAGACACGTGCTCTTCTCCTCCCTTCCCCCTCAAAGACTACACGTGCTCTTCTCCTCCCTCCCTTTCATATTCATAAACCACTGAAAGTCGGTCACCTAACACTCCAATTTCAAAATAATATGGTCTACCTACACAGTTTGGAGGGTTGAATTCAACATAGTCTCATTCGCTAAATCAAAGCCAGCAATTTTCCAACGAGGTCCATCACTGACGCACCAATGGAGACTTCCACTTGCATAATGGAAATAATAGTCATTGCAAATCTCCTCAGCTAGATTCTTAAGATTCTCAATCCCACGCCAAAAGTTATTCCTTAGACTAAACACTTTGATTTCGCCATACATAAAAGATCCATTCATGCCACTCCGTCTCCGAAATAGGCCTACTACTTTAAAATCATCATTCAACTTATCATAGCCAAACCCGAAATTTGCAACGTAATCTTTCTTTTCCATACCCGGGTCAGGCAATTTCTTAATTTGTTTAGTGCAAGGGTTACACAGAAACAATTCATCACCATTGTTCGTAATTAAAACCAGCCCATTGCAAGAACTTATAGACCAACATGATTTATTAGGATTCACAGGTAAATCAACCTCAAATACCTTCGGAGCGACGGTTTCAGAGGACGGCCGTATACAGAAGAGAGGTAACAGAATACAGCAGCTCGGGATGGAAGCCACCGTCTGCGGTATATGCAGTGAAGATGAAGCCATGGTGTCCAAAATCATCCCTTCCAGATGCAATTGCGAAGTGGGCTTTGATAAATCCTTGGCTTGAGATCAAAGAAAGCCATGGCTTTGAAACACACTTGAATCTCCCCAAGGATTTGGCGGGTAGCCTCAAAAGGATTTCTTCGATGAGTTCGATAGGCAGATCTGGGATGATATCTGATTCCCGATTTGCAATCTCCAACTATTGATGGATTGTTTTTCTCCTCTGCGGGTCAGGAACAAGTTCCGGTTGCTCCGAGTTGAAGGATTCCATGGCAAGCGTGAAAGTTGACTAGAAACAGAGAAGAAGACTGGAGTTGATGATGACAAGGCAAAAAGATCTTGTATTTACTCCCAAGTCCTGACGTTAACCCAAATAGCAAAAAGACCTCAGTCCTCACCACTATTGTGAAATATCCGAGACCTTCTTGACCGGTCAACTATCAAATACAAGATCTCTGCGAAACTCGTACATTAATTAACCATAATCCAATTGTTTATAAACAGAATTATAAATGAAATATTAATATTTTCTATTACATAATTTAGATGATACAGATTTCCTATGTTCAATTTTTGAAATTTACTTATCTAAATTAACTTGACTATTAGTATTAGCATCAAATTGAAACAAATTAAGATACGTGGTAGATGTAATAATATAAGGTTAAATTTGGCACAATGTGAAGTTCTTCTATCGAACATTTTGTGTATATTGCAATTGAGGCAACAAAAATTTCAATTTGAATACTTTTGGTGCTATGAGTTTTCTAACAATGGTCAAAGGGCTAACAATGTCATATCATCTTGAGGACTGAGATACATGGAACAATGATCAGTATTATCATTATGAAAACCGTTTTTCTTGAGTTGACGGTAAGGGTTCTCAAGGGCAGTATCCTTATCGGTTGCAAATATTAGATACTTCTTCTATTCCATAGAAACAATTTATATTGAATTTTAAAATTTATATTAATTAGTACAAATATAAAACTTAATGTGAATTGTTAGTATTATTTTTAATTTTCACACGGAGGGATTATCAACCTAAAATGAATGTGTATGAAGGATTCTTGCTGTCTCAATTTGCTCCCTGAATATTCCAGGTACAGAAGCAGTAGCAAATTACACCGCAAGTCTCTTTAGGCTTTTTTTTTTTTTCTTTTAATATACTTTTTTGCCTTTTCTTTTTACACTGTGTTCTTTGATGAGATTGTTGGTTCTCATTTATGGATGTTATTCTTCTCCCCTAATGAAAGTTTCTTATTGATCAATTACCGAGATCAATTATTTTACAGAGATTTGGTGTTTAATAGTCAGGCAGATAGTTCAATTTTATGTGGTATCATGAAGCCATCACAAATCATAGTTAAGCAAACGGATATAATTAGTATTCCAATGTAAATGTACAGCAAAACAGAAGAGCCGGGGGTGTGACTTCAACTTTAAATCCTCCCTAAAAGGGCAAACTAGCTTAACATCATTGGGAAAATTAGCTTAACATCCTTGAGTGCATCATCAAACCACAACATAAACTATGCAACTCGTCATGCTTGAAACTATAATGCACGTATTCAAAAGAAAAGAATCCATTGTTCCATACTTACAATTATCCAATCCCTTTTTCTCTAGTAATTACGCCCTCCGTCCCAATTATTGTCCCAATTACACCCTCCCTCCGTCTCTTTTTCTCTGGACAATGATTTTAGGATAGATATGGTATAACGCAATTGTTGAACTCGTTATACGCTAGGTCAAATATCAGGAGAAAGTAGGCTCTCAACACACAACGTCACGTTTCCAATCATCAAATGCCCAAGGTCCATAACTTTTGTACATCCAAAATCACCAATATGTAGAAATCTCCTGGATATATTAGTCTTTGGATTGTAAAGAAGCAAATACGAATCCCGTAGACACAGTATTTCACCATTCCGCAATGTGGCAAGTACTTGAGTACCGTAAGGACCTTGATTAAAAGAGGTCCTAACATAAGGAATAGAAACAATTTCTGTCCAGAATTCCTTCATTACCCATACATCTACGCGTGTTCCGTGGTTGTATAGCAAAGAAAGGTCGTCTCCTAACAATCCAAGTCGATAATGATAACCGCCTTTGCTATTTGGAAGATCTATTTCTTCAACATACGTTTCATTTGCCAAATCAAAGCTAGCGATTTTCGAAACCGAAAGATCATCAATAATCAGCCAATGGAGCTTTCCACTTGCATGTTGTAAATAATCTGCCAACTGATTTCCCCTAACACTCACCTTAGGATCTTTAATCCCACGCCATGATTTCGATTTTAAGCTATAAACTTTTAGTTCAAACCGATTGTTAATCGCCGTGGGAATCAAAGCAACAATTTTATAATCACAATTCAATCTATCATATCCAAACCCGAAATTCAGAGCGCAATCAATACCTTTCATCTTGGGCAATTTCGTAATTTGTTTAGTACAAGGGTTGCACAAAAACAAATCATTGTACATATTTCTGAGGCAAATCAGCCCATCGCAAGAACCGATTGGCCAAATTGACTTATTCTTCACTAGAGAACGGATTTCAGATACCTTAGCGCAGGCGGTTTCAGTTTCAGGGGACTCTGCGTGAAAATTAACTAAACACGAACGGAAGTAATCATTAAAGTGTTGAGGATATACGCTGAAGATGAGACTATGGTGTTCATAATCATCCCTTCTAGATGCAATGGCGAGATGGGTTTTGATGAATTCTTTACTTGAGATTAAAGAAAGCCATGATTTTGAAACGCACTTGAATTTCCCCATGGATTTGGCGGGTAGTCTCAGAAGGATTTCCTGGATGAGTTCTTCAGGGAGATTTGGGATCGGTAAAGGGTCTGATGATCCCTCATCGATTCTGTTTGTTTTCAACCTTTTAGGATGAGGTTTCGGTTGCGGTGAATCGGATTCCATGGCGGGTGAAGCTGTGGTAACTCTGGAAACAGCGGAAAAGAAAACGAAACAAAGCTGCGCGGCCGAAGTTATATGTAGGATCAATAAAAAAAATTATTTAGTATGAACTGTCAAAAAAGGAAAGAAAATTACTACGCGGCCCTCCAACTATTCTTCTCAGTCGTTTTGGCCTTGAAATTATCCTCCTACAAAATACTAATGCCCATTTTGAAATAAAAAAACCAATCTTCTGGACTAATTGATTTAAGTAATATGAAATGCTCATCGATTTCAAGTTTGATAAATTTATGAAATCCCATCTTATCTTAAAAAGTCGAATGATCACGAAAGTGACGATGATTAATGCCAACCGTAGTCTTCTTTTCGTAATTGATATGAATGACGATCCCTCGTCAGGATTTGTATACTTTGTTCTCTTCACTCAGTAACACATGACAAAGTCCAAAGTGAATTTGCATGAGGTATAGCGAGCTACTTACCCTTCATTATACGTTCGGTTGAGCTGCAATGAGATTTTTTGTGTTCTCATGGGTTACCATGAGATTTTTTGTATTTGCATGTTTGGAGCTTTTAGCTAGATTTACATGTGATTTTAGTGTTTGACCCTAGTGTTTGGAGATGTCAACTGTGGGTCTCTATTTGTAGAAACGTTTTATGCACTTTGATGCCGAATTGGCTAGGTTTAGCCTATAATTCAAATTAAGTACAAGACAGTTTGTGAAAATGCCTAAGGTGTTTGGGGCAAAAGTCCTTGTAAGTCGTGTAAGGAGTTAATAAAGTTGCGAGAGAGATTCGGGACTTAGGCCCAATAAATTTTGTGTTACCGTTGTTTTTGCTCAAACGTAATGAGTTTCTTGGTGTAACAATTTCATTTTTGTAAGATTTTGTTGTAAGATTCGAAGCCGGTTAACCTTAATTTTATAGGAGGGAATTTGGAGCCTAACAGTAACAGCTATCATCATATCATCCTATGGAATGTCACTATCAAACACTTGATGATCAAGCTGGTTTAGGGTTACCGGCTTTGACCAGAAATTAAATTAGGTAAAAAGAAAAAAAAAAATTAGGCTCATTTTTATGATTTAGTTGAATGATGATTACAAAGGTAGCCGAAACATGTTGCTTCTGTCTTGGCATTAATCGCGAGACCATAGTGATTGTATATAAATTGAAGTCTCAAATTTCTTGGAGAAGGATTCACAAGTATGAGAGTTGCTTTTCATTTATTTATGAAGATGGTTTGAATACATATACTACTCGAAATATTTATTCACTTACATATCATTTGAAGCACAGGAACTATGCTTATGCAACCTCAATGATTCATAAAGATGGTTCTCAGCGGACATCTCAGTTCACCAAACCATCATCCTAACCACCTGAAAAGAAACAGAATCTTTGATGATGGATCAAACGACCTTTTATCGATCCCTGCAGATTTCCCTGAAGAACTCATCATGGATATCCTTTCAAGACTACCAGCCAAATCCGTGGGGAAATTCAAGTGTGTCTCAAAATCATGGCTTTCTTTAATCTCAACCCAAGGATTCATCAAAGCCCATCTCGCCATTGCATCTGGAAGGGATGATTATCAACAACATTGTCTCATCTTTGATGTGTATCCCCAAAACTTTAATGGCCGAACTTTTCTAGTGGACAACTTTCAGGCAAAGTCCCCTGAAACTGAAACCAAAACCAAAACCGACGTCCCCAAGGTATCTGAAATTGATTATCTAGTGAGGAACAAGTCAGTTTGGCCAATTGGTTCTAGCAATGGGCTGGTTTGCATGAGGAGTAACATTAGTGTTTTGTTTCTGTGTAACCCTACTACTAAAGAATTTAACAGATTGCCCAAGACATGTATGGAACGGAGAGATCGCAAACTGGATTTTGGGTTTGGCTATGATAGGTTGAATGATGATTATAAAATTGTTGCGTTGATCCCAACTTCAGTCGACTCTAGCATTGAAGTCAAAGTGTATAGCTTAAAGAAGAATCTGTGGCGCGGGGTTGAGGAGGATCGTAAGATTAGGGTTAGGGTGAGTCAGTTTGCTGATTATTTCCAAAACACGGGAGGAAAGCTCCATTGGCGGGTACTTATCGATGGTGTTCCTTATCTGAAAATTGCTAGCTTTGATTTGGCCGATGAAACTTATGTCGAAATAGACTGCCCAAAAAACAAAGAAGGCAAACATCCTTATGGACTTGGAGTGTTAGTGGACGATCTTTCTTTATTATACAATGCTGGAACACAAACAGATATATGGGTAATGTTGAAGGAATCCTGGACAAAGGTTTTCTCAATTTCTTATTATCTTGGTGGTATTACTGATCTTGCTCCTTTCTGTAGTCAAGTAGTTGCCCCATTGCGGAATGGTGAAATTCTGTGTGTCCGGGATTCATACTTGTTACTTTACAATCCAAAGACTAATGCATCAAGGAGATTTCTACATATTGGTAATTTTGGATTTGGAGAAGGGATGACCCATGGATACTTCCTGTTTGGAAATGTTTCGTTGTCTGTTGAGAGCTTACTTTCGCCTAATGTGCATGACATATAACAAGCCTCCTATATGTTGGCTTATCCATTTTTTTCTTCTTCTTCTTCTTTTTTTTCCTTTTGTTTTTGTTTTTTCCAATTCGAAACAATGATCGTTTTGAATGCGATTCCAACAGTCATTGATTGATAAAGTAGCTAGTATTAGGGCCAGTCCTATATATATTTGATGATGCACTCACTTATCAAACTGTTTGGAAATCTCTTGAGCACTAATTTTGAATTTTAGATGTAAGTTTGTTTCTCCGTTTGGCATTTTTCAATGTATATTTTGTACATTGGAATACCTATATGCATTTGCTTAATGATCAATCGTGGTAGCTTTCTTGATAACATCTAATCTCCGAGAAATCATTGATCATCATTATATCTCACTTGAAGACAACAATTGAATAAGAAACTTCCAGTAGGGGAGAAAAATAATATCCAAAATGGAAGCAAGACTCTCATTCAAAAGCAGAAAAAGGGTCCCAAGAAAAGGAAAAAAGAAAAGAAAAACCAGATTAAAAGAGTTGCAGATCGTTTGGGTCTCGCAACTTCTTCTATATAGGTGTGTAGGATCATCCATTAATTTTGATCTTAGTACTCTGAATTTATTATATGCCTTACCGTTTAACATCATTGAAAAACCAGCTTGCACTAAAATTTTTGGCAAATTTTGACACAGGCGATGGCGAAATCCGGCCTAAAAATATTCAGGGAATAAGGAATTGAAGCGAATCCGCCCTAAGAAGTGAACTGAGATGTCCGCTGAGAACCATCTTTATGAATCATTGAGGTTGCATAAGCATAGTTCCTGTGCTTCAAATGATATGTAAGTGAATAAATATTTCGAGTAGTATATGTATTCAAACCATCTTCATAAATAAATGAAAAGCAACTCTCATACTTGTGAATCCTTCTCCAAGAAATTTGAGACTTCAATTTATATACAATCACTATGGTCTCGCGATTAATGCCAAGACAGAAGCAACATGTTTCGGCTACCTTTGTAATCATCATTCAACTAAATCATAAAAATGAGCCTAATTTTTTTTTTCTTTTTACCTAATTTAATTTCTGGTCAAAGCCGGTAACCCTAAACCAGCTTGATCATCAAGTGTTTGATACTGACATTCCATAGGATGATATGATGATAGCTGTTACTGTTAGGCTCCAAATTCCCTCCTATAAAATTAAGGTTAACCGGCTTCGAATCTTACAACAAAATCTTACAAAAATGAAATTGTTACACCAAGAAACTCATTACGTTTGAGCAAAAACAACGGCAACACAAAATTTATTGGGCCTAAGTCCCGAATCTCTCTCGCAACTTTATTAACTCCTTACACGACTTACAAGGACTTTTGCCCCAAACACCTTAGGCATTTTCACAAACTGTCTTGTACTTAATTTGGCGTGGGGCTGGGGCCTGGCCAGTGCTCATCTTAGCCGGTAAGACCAGGCAAACAGACGAGCAAGGAAACCAGGCCGGAATCCAAACCACCACCCTGGCTGATACCATTCATCCGGGAGCTATGCCTTGTCAGCCACCTACAGGATCAAAATCTCTATCCATCCTTAATTAAAATATCAATAATCGAGATGCATGGAAAAGTTTCACCCGACTCTCAAGCCTGTCTGGAATCCACAACTTATTGTGCATCATGTGGCCTCTTTTTCCCCTTAAACAATTTATCATAACGGGTACTTTTCCAGCCCAATGCACTTATTGTTGAGTTTTCCGACTGAACTCGGAATCGGAACCAATCTCAAATCATCGTATTTTAATTAAAAGAGAAGAAGGAGATAGAGCTTCCATGTATAATTTATGTAAACAAAAGCCAAATGTTTGATTCAGACAAAGGATTTACTCAGACATTGTCTGAGTACTTCAAACTATAAATTAAAACAAACTTAAAAGAAAAAATTACCTTTAAAAACTTCTTCTATTCTTCAAACTTGCAGGATATATTTACTAAATGATTTCTTTACAAGGGAGAGAGAGAATGTCGAGAAGAAGAAAAGAGAGAATACTTGGAGAGAATGATGCCCTCCAAAATGAACTTCTACATGCTATTTATAGACATTTCAAAATACTATTTTACAAAAAATTATTAATTCTTGTCATTATTTGACATGTATTTCTTCAGATTTGACTGATGGTGGGGTCCACTTGTATTAAATTTCAAAAGTAGATTCCCACTTTTGTCATTTCAATTTCAAAAGTAGATTCCTACTTTTGTCACTTCATTCTTTTTCTTTTCCTTTGGCTGATTGAGCTGTTTCTTGGATCTGCTGTAACAGATTTTTGATGAATTCATCGTGATCGTCATCTTTTTCTGGTGACTGAGATTCTCCGGCCAATATTGCAAAAGAATTTTCTTCATTTGAAGTTATGCTCTTCATCGAAACATCTGATTTTTCGAAATATTATCATTGTCGAGATTCTTTAAATTTCTCATGAGATCTGCTTTAACTTCTTTCATATAGGCGGATATTATCTCTTCCTTATTAATTGCTCCTTGCTGAAGCTGAATCCGTTTTGTGATGTGTTTGAACGGACTTTCTTCATCTGGGTTTGCTTTGAGCTGTCCTTTTTCTTGAGTATATTCCTTGATTTTCTGGGCAATTTCGTCCAGCAAATCTTGTCCTTCCATTCTTTTGGTATTGTGATTCATCTTTGTTAATTTATCCCAAAATTTAGTATAATATGTCTTATAAAGACGCGGAATTTGAAATTCATTGAATCCCACCTCAGGGACCCATTTATAAATCCAAGGAATCGAGAATTCAATAAAGAAGTATAACTGAGTGATTTTTCCTGGAGCACAGATATGACTGTGTTGAAGTTTATCAATGATAGGGGAGGATTTTAACCATTGATAATATAATTTTGAAAAATTATCTGGCAAAATTTTTGTTGTTGGGCCATATAATGCCCACCACTGAATAAACCAATTGGGTATGGGAGAAGAATATACATGGGAGCATATTTTAATGAACCAAGTATGCTTTTTTCTGGGGTTTTCATAATAAAAAGTTTTATAAAAACTTTGAATATAATCCCAGTAAGTAAATTTCAAAGGAGGAGAAGTAGGAGTATTACGTACTTCTCTTTCAGAAAGGGTTGAAATTCCCCATTCCTCAGAAGATAAAATCTTTTTGATAATAATTTTTGAGAAGTTATAAACTTCAGTTGTAGTCTGATTAGACTGAAAATGTGTTATTTCACATGTTTGTTTGAGAATATTCTCATAATAATTTCTGGGTTTGTATGACTCACCCGGTATCATTACCCTTTCTGCTAGATATCTTCGGAATATTACCCATGGATCATTTTTCCACTGAATATCAGCGTTTTCAAGAAGGAATATTACCTCCTTTGTGGATCCTTTTTCATATGACCGGATATCATCCCGGTCGGTGTCACTTACTTTGGCAAGAAAGGTATCACTTTGTTGCTCTTGGATATGATCCATAATCTGCTTATATAATGCGAATCATTCGAATAAAATCCATTATTTGGACCAATTTCGCATTCGATGAGGAGGATTCCTCCCGAGATTTTGAAAAATCAGCAGCTATTAGCTTTTATTCCCATGTTGTATTACAGGGTTTATTGTTCTTCCTCCACGACCTCTATTAGGGCCGCGTCCTCTATCGGGCGGATACATAATCCTGTAAAATTAGAGAATTATTAATGATAATTTTGCTTTACAATAATTCAACTTTTCTTCACTTTCAGTTAATCTTTCAGTGAAGTCTTCTATCATGTCATAGACAAATTCAAGGTCTTCTGAAACAGATGTTATCTGTTGTGGTGAAGTAAATGCATCAGCACAATCAAGAATTGTATTACGAACTCGTAAAAAGTGATTTAGTCTATGCTTCGCAAAAATATATTCCGTTCTACAATGCTTATATTCAGCAACAATCTTATTATAAGTAATATGTATTACGGATAGTGGTTTAAGATAATTAACTTGTGGCCACTCCATCCTGCAAATATTCACGTGATAAAAAATCAGGTAAAGAATTATCACTACCTTTTTTATATAAAATTTCAAAATCAAAAGGGGCTAAATTAGCCTGCCATCGAGCATATATTTGCTTTGACGAATCATGCTTATAATCTTTATAAATCATGTGTTTAACAGCAAGTGCATCAGTGTGAATGACAAACGACTGATTAAATAAATCATCTTGGAATTTTAATACACATTTTACAATAGCAAGAAATTCTTGTGCAACAGATTGCATATTTCTTTTGAGGTTTCGTCCATTTACCGAATGATATCTAATAAGATATTCATTATTATCATGAGGGTTAATCTGTTTCAAGATTCCACCGAATCCTATGCTACTAGCATCGTTTCTATTATCTTTTTCCAATTTGGATTTGCTAATGTTAAACATGGTAGAGTTTTTACCTTTTCTTTTATTTGCCTAACCAATTGAGTATGCTTTTTCATTCAATCAAATTTAATTGATTTTTAAGCAAATCATATAGAATTGCTAAATCTTTCGTAAATCCTTATAGTATGGTGAAATATAATTCAAACTTCCTAGAAATCTCGGAGTTGAATTTTCTCGATAAAAACATCAGAAATTTAGAAGAAAATTCAATTGATCGTTGAATAGGGGTTATTTTCCTTGACTTATTTGATGACCAAGAAATCTTATATTATGTTGAAACAAAAGCATCTTTGGTTTAGATATTACTAAGCCATTTCGTAAAATAACATCCTTTAATATATTTAGATGTTTAAAATGTTGTTCAATATTATCGAGAATACTAAGATATCATCAATGTAAACAATTATAAAATCCATATAATGAATAAATATATCATTCATGATTTTCGAAATTCGAAGGAGCATTTTTAATCCGAATGGCATCACATTCCATTCAAATTGTCCTATAGGCACATTAAAAGCAGTTCTATAAGTATGCTCAGGATTTATTTGAATTTGCCAATATCCAGATTTTAAATCGAATTTAGAAAATATGTTGGCATTATATAATTTTGATAATAAATCTTTTTTATTAGGTATAGGATATCTTATCCATTTTAAAACTTTATTAAGTGGCTTATAGTTTATTACTAATCTCGGACGCCACGTTCTTTTTCATTGCATTATTAACATAAAATGCAAGACATGACCAGGGAGATTGTGAAGGTTTTATTAAACCCTTTTGAAGTAAAGAATGTAATTCTTCTTTACATAAATTCATATATACAGAATTCATTTGACATGGTCTTGCCTTAGTAGGAATATCCTTTTCATTAAAATTGTCTTCATAAGGAAGATTAACTAAATGTTTCTTTCTATTCCAAAAGCATTTGGGTGATCAAAGACATACCGATTCTTGAAATTGTATTGTGATATGTTTTATTTTTCTTGTAATTTAGTATTACTCAATAATTCAGGTATTGATAAATTCATAATTTCATTTTTAATGAAAAATAATTGTTTTTCTTTAGCTTCTGTTAATGACCTAATAGACCTTGTTATAGGGTCTGAAACAAACTGGAAATTTATTGATTTATCTTTATTGGTTCCTGTAAAACCTTGAAAACTAACTTCTTTAAGTGGATATAACATACATAAAAATGGAAGTCCTAATATAATAGGCACTCCTGGCATATTTCTTACTAATAAAAATGTTTGTGGAAGACAAATATTATCTTGACAAACAAAAGCATTAGGCAATTTATATGAGATATCTAGTGTATGATTAGATGCGGATTTTAATGCATGCGAGGTTTTTTCAAAATATTGCGTGGGTATTAACCCTTCTTGAACACAAGATAAATCAGCACCACTATCAATCATTGCAACAGTGTTTAAGACAAATTGTCTATCTATCATTAGAGTTAATTTGATATACCATCTTTGAGATGTAATTATTTGTATTGTTTTTAGGAATTCATAATTATGATCTTCAGATATATTTTCAGCTAAATTCTGAATAGTTTGTGGATCAACTATAGAGGTTTCACCTGATTGTGAATACTCAATTGTTTTAATCCTTTTTTCTAATAATTCGTTATTTTGTTTCAAATATTTTATTTCATTCTTTATATTATGAACTTCTATTTGTAAATCAAATAGTTATAATGAAGAAGATGATTCTTCTTTATTTAGTAATTTTTTCATTCTTTTTTCTATTTCCTGCATTGAATAAGGATTATTATTGAAAACTATATCCTTTTTATTAACTTCCTTTTCTTTTTTATTAGACACATCTATCATTTTAATTATTTTATCACGAATATCATGATCTCGGTATTTGTTTTAGTAATTCTAAAACATTATCGTTGTTAACATGTTAAATTGTAAATCTTGAAATTGAGATATAATATTGTAAAGACTATTATCCTTACAACAATCATTATTATTATTATTTTGACATGGAAGACATTCATCCGAAGAACTAGATGAATATTCATCATTTTCAAGCATATTATTTTCGAGCTATTAGTTTCTTCTGTTTGGACTCGAGATTCGATTCTTCTATTACTTTGCATATTTGTTCTTTAAGTTGTTCATCTATTTCTAATAATCTAATTCTATTAATCTTTTTACAATTAGGGGCAATATGACCCTTTTGACCACATTTGAAACATTTTATGTCTCTTTTATTTTTCTATTAATTTTTCTAAATTCTCTTTGTTCTTTTGTTCTTTTACGTCGTCATTTTCCTTTAGGTATATAAGGAATTTTATTTTTCTTCATTCTTTTATCCCTATTTTCTGGCCCAATATCCATAGCAAATTGATCACAGAACTGACCTAATTGTCTTCGTTCTGATAATTGTTGTCTTTTAATTTGTTGATTTAACTTTATTTCATTACATAAAGCTAATCCTTCTTGTGTGCAAACACCTATTAGATGACCATAAGTATAATCATCATAAGGAATGTAAGGAAAATCTTTCCTAAGAACTTTTCTTATTCGTTCAAAGAAACAGAGTTGGTAAGCCATCTATAAATTTAGCTTTCCAATAAGAGCTATTACGTTCTGGTAATTCCATGACTCTTTATAAGAATGAATCTTTATACCATCTAAAAGAAGTAAGTGTTTTACACTTAAAATTATTCAACAATGTTCGAATATTTTCTTGATTATTAGTAAATTTTCCGAAAAATGTTCTAATATAGATGCTATCAAAGTATATACTGCATCTTCTATCATAATGGGTGTAGATGTTCCTTCATTCTCAATTTTTACTGTATTATAAATTTTTTGTCTATCATTTTCAGTTAAATAATTATCCCACCATCCTTTAAAGACACCAGTAAAACCACAAACAATCATTTTGCGATTGCCACGATCGTATTACCATTTGCTTTTGCAATCGAGGAGTACATTAACATCCTATGCACCATATTAGTTAATTGCCTATCAGTAAATGCGTCACAATTCCATTCATAAACAGAACGACTACTATAACTATTAGTAGTTTCTTGATGTTCTTCATAAAGAAGATCTTGTGGAGAAGGTCGAGGGTAATAATAATGATTCATATATGGTTTATTAGCAAATTTATTATGTCTAGATTTATTAGAAAGACGATTTATTTCATCTCGTAGAGTTTTATCAAAATCTTTCTGTATATTCTCAGAAAATTCTAAAGTGGATAATTTAAGGTTTTTAAATTTTTCTTCTAATAATTTTTCTAATATATGTGGAGATTCAAGATTATAATCTTTTACTATAGGAGGAGGTTGTATAAAATTTTGTATTTTAATATCTTTATTTTTGTTTTCAATCAAAACTGGTTTAACTGTTTGTTGAAGATTGTTTATAAGAGAAAATAATTTGTCAACTTTATCATGTAAAGAATTAATTTGTTCTCCTAAAATTTTTACATATAAATTTGTATAATTATTTTGCTGAATAAATTTATTTACTAAAGAAACAGTAGAAGGTAAAACTTCACTTTCAACCAATTTTTGAAATGCAGAAAAAGTTATATGAGTTGCATTTGTTAAAACAAATTCTTTTTGTGGAGGGTAAATTCCTTTTGTAATTTTTCCATCTGCAAGATGATATTCTCTTTCAAGGAGGAAAATATATTTATCAAGATAAGTTATTATAAACCACGGAACAAAATATATTATTTGATTGTGAAAAGAAGCATATTCATAAAATTCTTTTTGTATAAGTTTTTGATTTTCAATATCATAAGTAGAAAAGAACCATTCTCTGAAAAGTTTCCACTTTTCAGATTGAAATTCTTGTCTTATTATTTGTCTAATATTAGATCCTGGACTAAAATCTAATTTTTCAGTATTCGCCATGATAATCCATTTCAGAAGGTGAAGGCATATCCTTATCAAACGTCTTACTATCAGCAGACCGAACAATGTTATATGGATCAATTTTTACTTGATTTATTCTATTTGTTAGATCTATTTCAGGAATCGAAGATGTCGAAAATCTATGAGAATCGACTGGATCAATATAAGATTTAAAAGATCTTTGAGAGCTGGATCTTAGTAATTTAGGAATTTTTGGTTTATCAAAAGTAATACTTATCTGACCATTATCAGATTGTTCAATTTCTGTAACATTACAATTTGTAACATTATGAGTTAATGAGTTTCTTTTAATTCCTTTATTAATTTGCCAAGATTCTGGAAATTCAATTTCTTCCCATTTAATAGTTTTACGAGTACTAATTTGAGATTTATAAAAATTAGTTTCTATTAGTATGGTTTCATCAGATGGTTTACTTATAATCTTACATCTGGGTGTTAAGGTATTTAATAATTTAAAACAAATACGGTAATGTAAACAAATAAGTTCACTTCCCGGTAAATAATTATAACCATGTAATTTTACATTTAAAGTTAAAGCATCGAGTATATTAACATCAGACAATGATAACTGTAAATTTGGATAAACATTAAAATAAACTGGACCATGAGCTAGGCTGGACTGTATTATGCCCATTAGGGATTTTTTCCAATGTAAATTTCTACCATCACGTAAGGCAGCAACAAAAGATTCAGGTAAACCTTCTAAAGTTAAAGTTTAAATGCAATTTGCACCAATCCAATATGCATGAACTTATAATTTTTATGAGATCTATAAGATTCAATATCTGTAGCAGACAAAAGTTGTAAAACCCTTTCATCAGAATTTAAAGCAATTGATTGTTCAGTAGTTTTAACTACCTGTTTAACCAAGTATCGATCAAACATACCATATTCATACAAAGTATTAGTGGGTACCTTTGGTATTGACCATTTATTAAGAAGAGCAAGCTGTTGAGGCATATCGTATTCCTCTTGAACTGAATTTTTTATTGAGGTTGTTTCTAAATTATTCATTTTTAAATTAGGTTCTGAATCAAACAAATCTTTTGTAAACATATAAAATCCACAACCGCTCTGATACCAAGTTGGCGTGGGGCTGGGGCCTGGCCAGTGCTCATCTTAGCCGGTAAGACCAGGCAAACAGACAAGCAAGGAAACCAGGCCGGAATCCAAACCACCACCCTGGCTGATACCATTCATCCGGGAGCTATGCCTTGTCAGCCAGCTACAGGATAAATTACTTACTTTCTCCAGCCATTTCAATGCAAGTTTTCGGCTAGTTGTACCCCATCGACATTAGGCGACACTAAGCTCTCCACTTACAACATCACGTTGGGAAGAAAACCTTCCTGAGTTCCTGTGGATAGGTCCTGCAGGTGTTCGTCTTCGGATTGCAAAGCAATAAGGATGCACCAGAGACAAACAATATGTCCCCGTTCTTCAATTAACAAACTAATTGAGACCCACGGCCACGGGAAGTAACATCACGGGTAAGAACAACATAAGGAATAGAAACAACTTTAGTTCAGGAGTCATTCATTACCCATATATCTGCGTGACTTTTCTTATAATCGTAAAACGTTAAAAGGCGGTCTCCTAAAACTCCAAGTCCATAATCATATGGTCTACCTTCATTCTTTGGTTGGGCCAATTCTCCATATGTCTCATTCGTCAAATCAAAGCAAACAATTTTCCATCTACGCCGACCGGTACCACCATCAGTGATACACCAGTAGATATTTCCACTTAGATATTTCAAATAATGGCCCTTGCAATTCCCCGGATCTACATTCTCAGGAACCTCAATCTCATGCCGCAAATTATTCCTTAGACTAAACAGTTTCAATTCATAGTCAACCATTATACCACCAGGAGTACTACTTAAAATCTTGAATAGACCGAGCACTTTATAATCATCATGCAACTTATCATAGCCAAACCCATAAATATGATGGAAATGTCTATTTTCCATACCGTTCTTAGGCAATTTCTTAAGTTCTTTAGTGCAAGGGTTACACAGAAACAATTCATTATTCCGATTTGTAACTAAAACCAGCCCATTGCAGGAACCCACCGCCCAAAATGATTTATGAGGTAAATCAATGTCAAATACCTTAGGGATTGCAGTTTCAGAGGACGCCCCATAGAGGAGAGAACTAACATAATGCAGCACCTCATAACCTAAATGGCCGTCTGCGGAAACTAGTGTGAAGCTGGGACTATGGTGGCCAAAATCATCCCTTCCAGATGCAATTGCGAGGTGGGCTTTGATAAATCTTTGGCTTGAGATCAAAAAAAGCCATGGCTTTGAAACACACTTGAATCTCCCCAAGGATTTTGCTGGTAATCGTAAAAGTATTTCGTTGATGAGATTGATAGGCAAATTTGGGATTAATAAAGGGTCATATTCCCAATTTATATCAGAGGAAGAAGAGGGAGATCCCTCCAAATATTGATCAATTGTTTTCATCTTCAGATAAGAAGTTTCGGTTGCTCTAAGCTAGATTTCATGTCAAGCATGAAGTGAACGGTGGACTCATTGGGAAGGGTTATGAAGAATGCTCTGTCCTTAAAAGAAGTAAACGTATCAGAATTAGGAGCTGAATTAGCTACTCAGGAGATTAAGCTAGCCCAGCCTGAACCTGCAGAAACTCATTACCAGGACCTGTTAAGGACAAAGACAACCTTAAATCCAGCCAAAAAGACTGAGGCACCAAAAACATTAAAAGGAAGTAAAGATATGGAGGATAAGAGTAAGGAAAAGCTGAGACCTACCACCAAAGGAAGTTATAATGGAACTAGAAACCCAGGGACTAGTAACCATGAATAACGTCCTCTGCAGGAATATAAGAAGACTAAATAGTCCCCTGAAACATAGAGAGGTTGATCTCAGCCTCTCTATGAATAATGTTGGTATAGTTGGTTTGTTAGACACAAAACTAAAAGGAGAGACGGTGGAAAAATTAGTTAACCATAAATGAGTAACTATACTACAAAAGAAAAGGGCAGGATACTACTATTGTGGAAAAGGGACTCATATAGGATCAGACCTCTGCAAGTACATCCTCAATTCATACAAGGTTTAGTTTCCGTAATTGGTGGTCAACAGGTCTTTCTGATTACTGTAGTTTATGCTGAGCATCAACAGCAAGGTAGAATAGAATTGTGGGAAAAGATGTTAGAAATGGCTAGGAGTATCAATCTTCCTTGGTTAGTTCTTGGGGATTTTAACTGTATACTCAGAAAGGAGGAAAAGTTGGGTGGAACTGCAAGCCTTAGTCAAGATACTACTATGTTTCAAATGGTTATCGACACTTGTGAGCTTATAGAGTTGAGAATGCAAGGGAGTAATTTCACATGGACGAATAAACAGTTAGGAGATCAAAGGATTGTGTCCAAGCTACAGGGTGTTGGTGAATGAACTATGTATAGATGAATTTCCTGAAGCTACTGCCATCGTGATGAATACCAACACCTCTGACCATAATTCGCTTCTAATAAGATGGGGAATCAGTAGCAGTATAGATAAGAGGAGATTATTCTCGTTTTTTAAAATGTGGACTGACCATCCAGATTATAAAGGAATTGTAGCAGATGTTTTGGCGAACCCATATTGAAGGCACCAAGCAGTATATATTGCACAGAAGTAGAAGCTGCTTAAGTTCATACTGAAGCAAATGAATAAACAACATTTTGGTGATATAGAAGCGTAGGAGCAAGCAGCAAGACTTAATCTCGATACTACACAGAAGATGTTACAAGTTGATCTAAAAAACACGGTGCTGCAAATGAAGGAAAAAAGAGGAAGCAAAGATATACATGGAAAAGAGCAAGGTTGTACCAAGTTTCTGGGCACAGAAGCTGACAGTCCAATCGATTCAAGAAGGGAATCTAAATACACGCTTCTTCCATGCCAGTCTGAGATAGAAAAGGATGCAAAACAGGATCACTTCATACACTAATGAAGCAGGTGTGCTAATAGAGGATTGGCAAGAGGTACAAAACCATTTTATCTGTTATTATCAATTGTTGTCGGGAACTGAGGGTGTTAGAACTCCCGCTAATAGAGAAATTTTTAAGTTAGGGTTTAAACTTGTTGTAGACCAGCAGGTACTCCTTCTTAAAGATTTCACTAAGGAAGATGTTAAAGAAGCCCTCTTTAGTATTGGTATATGTAAAAGTTCTGATCCTGACGGGTTTAGTAGTGGGTTCTATACGAAGTCTTGCGATATAGTAGGTGAGGAAGTTTGCGAAGCTGTGTTAGAGTTTTATAGAACAGGGAAACTTCTTAAGCAGCTAAATGCAACTATCATATCCCTAATCCCTAAAACTGAAAACCCTAGAAATACAGTTGAATATCGCTCTATATCCTGTTGTAATACCCTCTATAAGTGTATAGCAAAAATATTGAGTCAACGATTAGGTCAAGTCCTTCCTAATCTAGTCAGCTTGAATCAAGGTGCATTTGTGAAGGGTCGAACAATACTTCACTATGTGCTTCTCACTCAGGAATTGATACGGCTTTACAAGCGGAAAAATGCTAAACCTAGTTGTTTGATGAAGGTTGACTTAAAGAAGGCTTTTGAGTCCATTCACTAGGGTTTCGTGGAGGAAGTGTTAGAAAATATGGGTTTTTCTCTCAGGTTTCGGCAGTGGATTATGGAGTGTATATCTACCAGCACTTACTCTGTTAACCTAAATGGCGTTAGCACGAGGTTCTTTCTTGGCAAGAAGGGGCTTCGACAGGGTGACCTTTTGTCGCCATTGCTCTTTGTACTTGCTATGGAATATCTCACTAGTTTGTTCAAGAAAGCAGCTCAGAATCCAGATTTCAAATTTCATCCATAGTGCCAGGAGTTACAAATTGTAAACCTAATATTTACAGATGACCTTATTCTTCTCTGTCAAGCTGATGCCGGGACAGTTAGAATAGTACAACAGGTTCTAGAAGAGTTTGCTAATACCAAAGGTCTCACAGTGAATCTTCGCAAGTCCAATCTCTACTTTGGGGGTGTCGGGGAGGATCTGCAAGCTGAAATTCAGAGCATAATTGGCTTTGAGATAGGAAAATTTCCTATCAAGTATCTGGGAGTTCCGTTATCTCCTATAGCTTGGGGGCAATCAGACTGTCAAGTACTTGTGGAAAAAATATTGGGCTAGTTGACACTTGTCATATGCAGGGAGGTTGGTGTTGGTGAATGCTGTGCTCTTGAACCTTTTCATATTGTTCAGGTATCTTTCTTATTACCAAATCTGTAATTGTCCAAATAGAGAGATGTTGTAGAGAATTTTTATGGGAAAAAATATATCTGGTAGATGTCACTCTATGGCTGCTTGGAATGATGTATGTTTAAGTAAGAATGAAGGTGAATTGCATATTAAACTGCCAGAATTGTGGATTAAGGCTTTGGTAGGTAAACAGATTTAGGACATAGCAAATAAGAAAGAAAGTCGATGGATCAAATGGATCCATGTCCATTATTTGAAGAGGAAAAATATCTAGAATTATCAAGTTCCAAGAGACTCAAGCTGGCATTGGAGGAAATTGGTAAGGAGTAAAAATGAGCTTCAAGAAGGGATCAACAAGGGTGTATGGCTTGGTAACAGAGGGAAACCATATACTGCAAAGAGTGGATATAAATGGTTGATTGGAGAAAAACCAAAATACAGGACTGCAGAGATTATTTGGGATCCTTATAGTCTTCCTAAACACAGCTTTATAAGCTGGTTAGCTTTGAAAGGTAGACTATGGACACTTGACAGACTAGCTAAACTGAATATGGTCTCAGGTTCATTGGAATGTGGTCTCTCTAATGCAGCTGATGAGAGCATTGAGCACCTTTTCTTTGGCTATTCATATTCACAAGGTTTGCTGCAGGAACTTTTCAATTGGTTGCAAGTAAGTTTACCACTAATAAACCTGAAAAGGGGAGTTACCAGATTGCTCAAGACTTGGAGATTTCATAAAATGAAGAGTCACATTTTGTTTGCTGGAATAAGATCAACTGTTTATCATGTGTAGATGGAGCAGAATAGCAAGACGTTTGAGCAAAAAGTAATGACTGTAAATTAAAGATTCTTAAAGATGAAACTAGAAATTACTTGGAAAATACTTAAGTTTTGTAGACAAGGTAGTAATGATGACATTAGATATAGAGAATAGCTTGGTATTACAAGTAGAAGGATGTAATAAACAAGAAAAATGTACATATCAGTCTTGAAGTGCAATAAAATTTATACTTTACTAAAGAAAAATAAAAAATTACGAGTGTGTAGTGGAGCAAACCCCCCATAATATTTTAATATTTTTAACTCCAGCCATTTTTTCTTTTCTTTTTTTTTAGTAAAGGGAATTTTTTGTGCGTAATTTTATGTATTTTTTACGTACTACTATATTGCAAATGTAAAATAATAAGTTGGAATTGAAAATTTATATTTAAAAAAATCTGAAAGCATACCATCTAAATGGAGATTTATCCATACAAATCCTTTTTCTTCTCTCCCTATATTTTAAAAGTATTTTTTATTTTAAATTTACACTTTTAGTTTAATTTGTATTAAAAATAAAAATTCAAACGGGACAATAATTTCATGATACAATTTATTAGGTAAAATCAAGCTTCTGCAGAACAAGGCACTTGGCAAGCATGCATACTCTTATAATACTCTTGTGATCACACCGAATACTCTTCTAGTACGAAGTTGGACTGCTTGAAACAAAGAAAGAAACAAATTAAACCATCATTATTTCCATCAAGGGAAAATGGGTTTTTTCATCCCAAAGTTTGGGCCACACTATCTAAAACATCCCAAAGTTTAAGAACATGCCATTTACATCCTAAACTTTTTAAAAACATGTTACATTAGGATATTCGTTAAATTTTTAACTCTAATTAATTAATTCGTGGTGGTACTTTATTATGTTTCTCCTCCCCTAATTCTTTTAATCATTTAACACGTTCCACTAACTCCCACCTTATAAGAAAATAGCTAAACCTAATTTGGTTTTCACATCATCCATTCTTCTAGATTCACCTTCTAGATTGATAACAATCATGAGAGGTTTTGTGTGTGTCCTAATTAGAAAGTAAGTCCTATTCATTTATTTTTTTAAATATGTAGCATTATTATAAAAATTGGTGTTGTAATTGATGCAGAGGCATGCAATTCTTTTGCTTGACATGGACCAAATTTACCAAACGCAAGCATGAAACTTTTTTGACTAAAAAAAAAATGGGGGAAAAGAAACTGAATGAAATATCACCGTTAATAACTTGAAAAATTTAACAAATGTCCTAATATTACATATTTTTAAAAAGTTTGGGATGAAAATGGCATGCTTTTAAACTTTGGGATGTTTTAGATGGTGGGGCTCAAACCTTGGAATGGAAATGCCCATTCTCCCTTTCTATCAACTTACTTTCCCGCACCATTCCAATACAGTTCCTGGATTGCTATTATATTCCATGG